CTCCGCTGCGGCCCGGCCTGGAGCCTCCGGCCTGGAGATGGCATCTCGATGTCTCGATATCTCGATCTGACGGCGGCGCCTCGGCCTCCGGGCACCCCGGGTCGGCGCCGCGTACCGCAGGCGTACCGTAGCGCCAGTGCCGGCGCAGAGCACAGTGCAGACTGATTCCGAGAGTCGCCTTCGTCGCGCTGTCTGCCTCGCACCCGTCCGGGGCGCCCCCTGCGAGCGAGCGAGAGAGAGAGGCAGAGCGACGAAGACGGCTCTCGGAGTCTGCCTGCGGCGCCCCTTTCTAGCAGTGCCGCGACGCTCTCGACTGCTGTTTTCGTCTTTGGCGGCGTGGCCTTGCGCCGCGCCCGTGTGATAGCGGCAGTAATGCAGTGTGCGTGCGTTGTTTGTTTCAGGTGCGTATGTCCGACGCTGCGCGGCGATAGCGGGCCTCGGGCCGGCCGGACAGCCCAGCCGAGCCGGGCCGAGTCAGTAACGCAGTGATAGCAGGTTTGCCCTATTTGTGTCGAGTGCATCCAGGTTATTGGTTCACACACAAGTCCTTGATGTTGTTATAATTTATTTTTACACTTAAAAAAAAATTGGTTGGTTTGAAATTGAATTTTAAGCGGCGTGAGACGTCCGCGCGTGCCTGCGGCTCCCTATGCGGCTGCACAGTGGGTCAGAAGACCGATGGAGGCGGCAAAAATTCTAGAGTCGCTCTAGAGTCGCTAAACGGGACTCGAACCGAACGTGTGACCCCACCAATGGATTCCTCGTTCGGAGAGCAGTCCATTGGTGGGGTCACACGTTCGGTTCGAGTCCCATTTAGCGACTCTGGAGCTCAACGCGCGTCTTCTAGCCCACTGTGGGCTGGTGCATCACTGCGGTGCGCGAGGTGCGCGCCTTGCACTGCGCACTGCACTGCGCGCCTCGCACGCCACATGTACCGCTGCGGCGCTGCGGCCACCACGTGATGCGTGTCTGCCCGGCGCAGCCCGGCGAGGCAAGGCCTGGCCTCTCGGACTGTCTGTCTCTCTCGCACCCGCCCGGCACGCCCCGTGAGTGCGAGAGAGACGGAGGCCTGGCCCTCGGCCTGGCCACCAGGAATTCGCCCCTTTCCAGCCCAGTTCCCCGCCCGGGGCGGACGGCGTGCTCGAAGTCAGTCTGAGATGCCCGCTGTGGAGGCTAAGACAATGCGAAACGGGGAGCCGGCCTGCGAGCCGTGTCCGGCGCACAGTCCATTCGCCAGAAGTCGCTAAATGGGACTCGAACCGAGCGTGTGACCCCACCAATGGATTGCTCTCGGAACGAGGGATCCATTGGTGGGGTCACACGCTCGGCTCGAGCCCTGTTTAGCGACTCTGGAGCTCAAAACGCGCCTAGGGTTTTGGCCGGTGCACCGGTCTTCTGACAAACCCACTGTGCGGTGGGGAGCTCTCAGCGGCGACATTGAACCCTGGACGCGCCGCGACGCGCCGGCAAGACAGGCGAGGCTCGCGCCGCTCGCGGAGTGGAGGCTGGCCCGCCTGGCTGGCTGGGCTGCAGGAATGGGCACCAGGCCGAGGCCCATGGCCCCATGGCCGGGCCGCCAAGCCGGGCTGGGCCGGGGCCGCTCCCAGCATCCCCCCTCTTCGGCCAGCACGGTCCGCGAGCTCTCCACGGCTCTCCGCTGCACGCATCGCTAGCTAGACAATGCTAGGGCCAATCCTGGCTGGCGGCCTGCCCTGCCCGCCCTGCCCGCCTGGAATGTAGAACTCCGGAACCGCCCGGACGGCCCTCCGGGACGGCCCGGCTGCATCTCCCTGCTACCGGCGTGCCGGAGGAAGAGGCAGCCGCCGGGTCGCTCCGTCCCTCTCGCACCCTGCCCGCCGCCCCACGAGTGCGAGGGAGACGGAGTCGGTCTGCCCTCGGCGGCGCCGCCAGTGGCAGAGTGAGACGGCGGGACTGTCGTCGCGCGGGTGCCGCGGCCCCACAGTGGGCCAGAAGACCGGTGGAGGCGGCCGAAACTCCAGACGCGTTTTGAGCTCCAGAGTCGCTAAATGGGACTCGAACCGAACGCGTGACCCCACCAATGGATTGCTCTCCGGACGAGGAATCCATTGGTGGGGTCACAGGTTCGGTTCGAGTCCTGTGTAGCGACTCTGGAGCTCAAAACGCGTCCAGAGTTTTGGCCGCCTCCACCGGCCTTCTGGCCCACTGCGGGGTGGCGGCTCTCCGTCTCGCTCTCCCAGATTGTCGCGATGCGCCGCCGCGTGCCGCCGCTAGATGGCGCCCACGCCGGGGCCGCCAATTTCTCTCCCGGCGTCGAGAAAGGGCGGCGCGCCGCCAACAGGAGGCGCAGGTGCGGATCCAGTGCGGGCTGTCGCGTCGAAGGGGCAGTTGAACCCCTCAGCCGCCTGGAAGGCAGGCGGAAAGCGAGACTTTGCCCCTGGAAGTCGGCAGCAAGAGGTACTCGGCCCCTCTGGATCCGCCACTGCCTCGGCGCAGCAAGGGCAGGCCTTCCTCCGCGAGCCTCGGCAAGCCTTGGCCGAAGCCGGTGCAGCGTGGCGACCGGGCTGGCGGTGCGGCGCGGCAGCTCCTCAGTCGGTCAGCCGGTCCTGGAATGCGCGCCCGCCCCGCCCCGCCCCGCCCCGCCCCGCCCCGCCCCGCCCCGCCCCGCCCCGCCCCGTGAAACTGAGCCCAGGCGAGGAAGCGAGCATTTGATTAGGACGACGGGAGCCCTATCGAAGAGGGGGGGGGGTGTTCGTCTGCTTGCGCCCCACTTGGTGGTCGTTTTTGGACGCTGGCCCTCCCGTTTTTCCGAGCACAACGTGTGACCCCACCAATGGATTCCTCGTTCGGAGAGCAATCCATTGGTGGGGTCACACGTTCGGTTCGAGTCCCATTTAGCGACTCTGGAGCTCAAAACGCGTCTGGAGTTTCGGCCGCCTCCGCCGGTCTTCTGGCCCACTGTGCGGCGCTGCAGTGCAGCGTCGCGGCGACGGCGACGCATCCGGCGCCGAAGGGGTGGCCGTGCAGGCAGCGCCGGCCATGTTGGGATAGGTCTGGCATCCCAATGGGCATCGCGTAGCATCGCCTCTGCGTTGCCGAGACGCACGCCCGGCGTACCAAGACACTGCCGGGCCCCGCGACGAGCACCTCGTCGTCTACGTGCGCCGCACGCCAAGGAGCACAGCGCGCTGCACTGGCGGCGGGCACTGCAGATGCATTCCGAACAGTGCTTTCATCGCTCTGTCTCTTTCGCACTGTTGGGGCGGTACGCAGGGGTGCGAGAGAGAGGAACGAGCCTGCTGCCGCCGCACAGCTGGTTGCCGTTGGCGCCGTTGGCTTGTCCATCCATCCGGCGTCGTCCCGGTGGCCGCCAGCCCGCCAGCCGGCCGCCAGCACACTCATCCCGAGGGGCGTCTTCGTCGCTCTGTCTCTGTCGCGCCCGCGGGGTGCTGCGGTGGGCGCGAGAGAGAGGGGCGACCTCGGCCAACGAGGCGGCGGCATGGCGGCATGCGCCTCGTGACCGCGGCGCGCGCCCGCCGCCCTTTTTAGCGGACGACTTAATTGGGGTGCCGGGGGAATGGAGTGCGGCTGTGTCTGTCTCTGTCGCTCTGGCTCGGCCCCGCGCAGGGCCCGCGGGGGCCGCACGGGTGCGAGAGAGACGGACTAGCGGCGGCACGACGGCACGATTTGAATACGCGGCCTGACACTGACCCCGCGTCAAGACCACGCGCCGCGGCGGGGCCCTGAAAACAAAAGCAGACGACGTGGGCTACCTAGTCCGAAGCGGCACCGACCGGACCGGCACGCGTGGGATAATGACGAACCCATTACGATCGGCCTGCAGTCCGTCTCTCTCGCACCCTCGCGGAACGTGCCGCGAGCCGGTCGCTTTTGGGGTTTGGCCCGGCGAGTGGGAGAGCCCAGCCCAGCCCGCGCGCCGAGCGCTCTCGGGGCCGAGGCCGGCGAAACCCGTTGAACCCTGGGCCAGGGTGCGCGTGTGGCAGCACTGCATCGGCCTGGAGTGCCGTGGCAGGGACACTGTTAAGTTGGCACCGGCTCCGCGGCTCCGCGGCTCCATTCCATCAATAAAGGTGATCGCGGCGCATCGCGGCCGCCCTATCTTATCTGCGCGGCGCTCCGCGGCGCCAGGCGTCCCGTGGCGCCCTCCGAGCCCTCCACTGTGGGCCACAGTGCCTGCGCAGTGGCCGCCGCGTCGCGTAGTCGCGTCCCCCGGCCTGCAGTCCCCCAGCCTGCCTGCCTGCCTGCACCATGGCCTCCAAGGCCTCCAAGGGCGGCACGCTGCCGCGCAGCTTCTCCAGCCTGTACCCGGCCGCCGCCGGCAGCGGCAACGGCAACGGCGTCGACGCGCAGCACCGGCAGCGCACGCTGCCGCGCTCCTTCACCACGGGGTGGGTGCAGGCCTGTCTCTGTCGCAGTCGGGTGCCGCGCGTGGGTGCTTCGGCAGGAGGGGCGGGTCATTCATTCCCCCACTGCCGTTGCCAGCCGAGTTTTCTATTTCGTCGGTGGCTGCGATACAGTTGATAGTGTGTCTACGCGTGCGGCGTGCGGCGGCTGCCGCTGCCGGAGTGGGGTGTCTGGGCGGTCGCGGCTACCCCCTCCCTCTCCTTTCAGTGCACTAGAGGCTCCGACTGGTTCCGCCCGAATGCAAGCAGAAATGAGAGATAGCTTCTTCGAATCCCCTTTCCGACATTTTTTGCGTACGTCATCGTCCGTGTGTCGCGATGGCTCCCCGTGCGTAGCGCCGTAGCGGCACCAGCGTTTGGCATTCCCTCGCTATCTAATCTTGGCATTCACTTGGCCACTGATTGTACCTGATTCTTATCTGAATTACGATTCTGAGGTGGGATTGGTTTTGTCGCTAGTCTGTCACATTCTTTGAAAAGTGAAAAGAGTGGACTTAGTTTTGATCGATATCGTCTTCCTGGGACGCGCCTGCGTAGGTGTTGAAATGCTGGCCCGGCCGAGTCGCTAACGGAAGCCTTGTTATTCTTGTGCTGCAGGTGGATTGAGGACGCCCAGCGGAGCCCCACCATGTCGCACCACAGCGATGACAACATGCTCATAGCGAGCTCCGACTCGTTTTGGGAGCCCAACAACTACAAAAGGACGACCAAGCGAATCGAGGATGGGTATAAACTCTGCAATGAACTCATCACTTTAGTGCAAGAACGTTCAGATATCGAGAAAACGTATGCCAAATCTCTGAAAAGCTGGAGCAAAAAGTGGAATGACCTTATTGAAAAAGGTAGGCAGCGGGGAGGTGTAGTGTGTGTTTGGTATAATTTTTGGAGGCTTGTGTTTGTTTACATGCGTGTTCTATTTCCAGGTCCCGAGTATGGAACCACTGAAGCTGCTTGGAAAGGGGTGCTAGTAGAAGCTGACAGGCTGTGTGATCTTCACCTTAAGGTCAAAGATAATCTTTGTAATGATGTAATAACACAAGTAAAAACATGGCAGAAAGATACCTACCACAAGGTAATACTTTTTTCATTTTCGGTGTCAGTATGATATCTGGTGTTGTTTTGCAGCCCTTGTCATTTTTTCTATTTTTTATTTTCAGTCTATGATCCAAATCAAAGAAAGGAAAGAAATGGAGGATCAGTTCAAAAAGGCACAGAAGCCCTGGTCGAAATTACTTCAAAAGGTCAATAAAGCCAAGCAAGATTATCACACTGCATGTAAGACAGAAAAATCGGCCGCTAATCAAGAACGAAATGCCAGTGGAGACAGCTCCTTATCGCCAGATCAGGTCAGTGCCACTCCTTGTTTGCATCTTCTCTATCGATCAAAATTTGGGTAGAATTTACATAAATTACACCAGGAAGGCAAGCATGTGCATGAAATTGCACGCAATCAGTTTTTGTAGGTTTTTTTTTCTCTTAAGTTCACAAATGATTTTTAGATTTTCTCTGTCGGCAAAGACTTCAAGTTGTTTCTACTGCTCAGCTGCAATTTCAAACTCGAATACTCATTGAAACATTCTTTTAATTATCATTGCACAGAATAAATGAAACACTTGCTTCTATTTTCTGTTCAGAATTGTTTTTATATTAGAATCAGCACCGGACTTTATTTTATTTTTTTTTCCTTCTTTTTATCTGTCTGGCAGCGAGCAGTGTTGGTGAGTTGGTGTCACTATTTATTTCTGCGCACAGCTTTCCTAGAGTTGCAATATAGTGCCACTATGCACCACCCAAAGCCCTGAATTATACAAGTATCTTTCAATTTATTTTTATTGATGCCAGAACTCAACCTATCCTAATTTCATTTTCATTTTCTCCCCAGGTGAAAAAAATGCAAGATAGAGTTCAAAAGGTTAAAGAAGATGTTCTGCGGGGAAAGGAAAAGTATGATCTGGCTTTACAAGAAATTAATGCTCACAATCCAAAGTATGTTGAGGAAATGACAGAAGTATTTAATAAATGTCAAGAAATGGAAGCTGATCGCTTACGGTTTTTCAAACAAGTTCTTTTCTCTATGCAAAAATGTCTGAATGTGTCAAATGATCCTGTGTAAGTACTCTTACCTGTTATTGAACCATATTAGGTGATCTTCTGATCCTTAACTTGAGAATTTGTTTGCAGCTTGCCACAAATTTACGACGAGTTTTATCACACAGTCAATAATGCAGATTATGAAAAGGATTTAAAGTGGTGGTCCAATAATCATGGTGTCAACATGGCGATGAATTGGCCCCAGTTCGAGGTAACGTATTCATTGTCTTGTTTCACAGTGCTTTACGTATTGTTTTGCCTGCCTGACTGTGACAGCGGAAGCAAGTTTCAAAATTTTGGGACCATGGTTTTTCTAATGAAGTCACTCCTGGTGACACAACATTGTTCCAATAGCAAGACTTGCAAAAGATCTTGTAGCACAGCTCACTAGTTTAATGAATTTTACCAATATTATCTTACGAAGTTAATGACAGCATGCAGTATAAATATTTTTTTTTAAATTGATCTATTTAATTTGATTTGAGCGCGTTATTTAGAGTTTTCTTTTTTATCTTATCACCTGCTTACATTTTATCCTCATTTTACTTACAATTCGCTTCTTGTATCACATTATGGTTATTAGTGAACTACGCCTGTGTTGTTTTGTAAAGGGTTAACATTTTATGTTTGCATGTGTTTTTTTTGTTTTGTTTTCTTCTACATATTCTGCGTGGCTTGCATGTTTCGTTTGGTGTGGCGTTTTGCTGTGCCATATTCAGGACTACACGGAAGAACTGCGGGAAATTGCCAAGGCAAAGCTGAAGGACACCCTCCCTGCAAGTTCCATAACTCTCATCAATCAACGTCCAGTCAGCGAGGATTTGCATGTAAATTGTTTTTTGTTTTGTTTTTTTCTCAAATACCAACATCTTAACCTATTGATCAAGGGGAGACTTGACTGTCAGCTTATCAAAATTATTGTGTTTTCTGGGCATGGTTGTTAACTCAAAGTACAGAAAACAGTGTACTTCTGCTACCATCATGCCTGTAAGAGCACCCTAATTTCATGGCTCAGTGTTGTCTCCGCTTAGGCAAATGATATAATTTTTAAATGACAGAGTTTTATTTTGGAGTTAAATTTGATTTTGTCAATAAGTGACATTACCTATGAGTCATTACAATTTATTGTAATGCATTATATTTACCATTTTCATATCCTTTCACTCATAAAATTTCTGCAGCGTTGGTTGGGAAGGAAGCCTAAAGACAATATTGTCCTCATCAACCAGAGACAAATCAGCGAGGACGAGCTGCTGCATGTAACTTGGTCCCTCACAGTTTTTCAAAGTAGTTTGGAAATGTAGAATTGGCCCACTATTATTTAATGCTCCAGTTTGGTGTGAAGTAGTTAGATCATAAATATAGTTGCATTGTTTTTAAGACCATTCTAGTTTACCCAAATTTTGCTTTTCTCACTTGAAGAAAGTAAGAACTAAGAGTTCCAAAGTTAAGTTAGTTTGGCAGTGTAACGACATATTTTGTTGCTAAATTTTGCTTACAGCAGTGTATTACAAAAGAAACCCTTTTATTTGCAATCATAAAATTGATTTTTTAATGCTCCTTGCCCCATTTGAAAGTTTACCAATTTCTGTCCCATTGTTTGTTGTGTAGGTCCTCTGTATATCATAGAACCCATTTCTAGTTCTAATGTATCTTTCCCCCTCTTTTCACAGGAATTCCCACCAGTTAACCAAAGGGTTCCTGCTAAGAAACCTGTGAGCCGTGTCATCCCAACTGATGTAAATGCTGATGATAGAAAGACGTCGCCATCTGCTGGGCACAATTCTAACTCGAAAACAGCTACAACTCCTACGTCAGCAGCTAACAATGACAAATCTGATGGCTCCAACAAGACACCTACCATTACGTAAGTTGAAGTTAAACTACACTGTCCCTTATTGTTCTCGCCTGTTTGATTCCAGATGAGGAATGTGGCTTGGTTTTGCACTCTCCAACTCTGTCTTCATGCTCGTACTATTTTACTCTGTAGAAAAGAACTAAATCTCTAGTCAATTTCTTTAACGTTTTAAAGTAGGGGAGTGTTATGAAAACTTATGTACATACAGTCCGCATAGCAGTTATGGCTTTCTCAATATTTTTCTACAATTTATTCTATGGATAGGGCAATATTACATATGAAATGGATGATATTTTTCTTTGTAGGTTTAAGTTGCTGTTGGAACAGTGTCCTGGTAAGCTACCAGAGTCACAGTCACAGTCCCTTCCTTTTCATTTGTAATTTAATTGAAGTTACAGCAAGTGCTCCTTAATGTCTCGCTAAAAGCCATGATTGTCTAATGCCCCTCTGCACTGTAATCCTAACGCATGTATTTTAGTGTTTGATTTTCATTTGGGGCAGTGCACTGTGTCATAAGTAACCAGGAGTCTTCAATTTGTTGTCTTTGTTTCTAAACACTCTTCACACTCTCTTCAGTTGAGCAATGCACAGTTGGCTACCAGCTTGAGTTCAAGCCAATCAACACTCTAGGGTCATGGGTCGTGTCTATTGACTTCTTATGAATTTGATGTTTTTTGTGTCCATTGTTCTCACATATATATGGCTGCCAGATTCCTTCTCTTTAGCTTTTGGAGAATCAATGTGAAACTTGCCCTGCTAAGAAGCGCTTCAGATTGACTCCCGTTGTACCATTTTGACTCCCATTTTGACTGATGTTGTTGTTGTTTGGCAGGAATGGCACGCCGCGGGCGGAAGCCAACCCGTTTGAAGAGGAGGAATGGGATGAGGAGGGCAATGAGGCCCTCGTAGACAACGGTGAGCCTGGAGTCCCTGTACGAGCCTTGTACGACTACGAGGGAGCAGAATCTGATGAACTTAGCTTCAAGCAAGGTACCAGTGGCAGTGGCTCATGCCCATGTCAACATGATACTCGACTTGCCTTGTGTTGGAGTCAATTTGTACTAATTTATACTGTCTGCCATCTTGCAGGGGAACATTTTGAAAAGTTGGAAGATGAAGACGAGCAAGGCTGGTGCAAAGGAAGGAAGGACGGCCGTGTGGGTCTTTATCCTGCAAATTATGTTGAAGTTGTGTCGCAATAACATCCCAGTATTATCAGCAAACTACAAGCACTCGCCTGTTGGGCTGAAGACCTGTGCTCTTTTCTGTATTTTGCTGTTCTGCCACAGTGTACTTACTTGAAGCATCCCCTGTTTGTGTGGCTTCCTGGGACTTTATCAGGGTAGACTTTTTTTTCCTCTGTTTAACTTCAATGTGAAAATTCTGATGTAAGCATGGGGTACTTTACTATCACATTTTGTTTGGAGACTCTAGCCATGGAGGGTGATAGTTGATAATTATGTGCATTTAATAATAATGAACATAATTGATTTCTTTTTCATGAAGTAGTCTAATTTTTTTGTTGTTATTGTGAATGTGTATATACCTGTTCAAGAAGGTTGTGACTTGGACCAATTGTTTGGATTTAAGTCGCTGGGTGGTGCTAAGTTGTACTTTTTTTTTTCCAGTAACGGTAGTCGGCTAAGTGTGACTTGGCCATGCTCAAAGAAGATTGTCTTGTTGCTGGACGAATAGTCACAAAAAAGTGTGCTTTTCCCCACTTTCATTATATTTTTCAATATCTTCAATGGTTTGTGTACTCATGTAAACTCACTTGTTATTCAGTCATTCAGTCTTATTTGTACGTACTAAAAGAAAAGAATAAGGTACATAGGAAAGCTGGTCAGTGATAAGTGGGGAAGAGCTGAAGCTCTTGATGATTTAAACTCTTGCTTTATATATTTGTGGTACAGATTTTCTCTGATCGATATGTTCTGGACATTGTTTACTTTCCTCTCATTTCTCTCACAACAAATAGTTTGAGTTTTTATTGTCAAGGACTTATGGTTGTTGAGCGCAGGTTTGCATTTCTGTTTGTGATGACTGCATTGGTATTTATACTCTAGTGCTAGTATTGTATTATTCTAATTTTTTGTTGTCAGTGAAATTTTTATGAACCGGGGTCCTCCCGCTGCTCCATGTTTATTGCAGTGTCACTTCATTGGGTTTTGGCAAATCCTGACCGGTTTTAGTTTTGGAAGATCTCTGTTTATTATTGTTTTGGTTGATGCTAAGTTGTGGTTCAAAAATTTGAGGTGGAAGCCAGTTGCAAACTGATGGTGTCTAAAACAAATTCAAAAAATCTTATTTTCTTGTCTCAAGAAAATTTTAAGATTCTCATCTAGCTCGTTCCTTGTTAGCTCTTGGTCACTCCTGAGTATTCAACAATTTGTATTACTCACGAGAATGGTTAATAGGAATAGGTAATGCAAGATAGGACATTTTTTATGTGATCATAATCATGAGTAATGTCACTTACAAGATGCTGTATCATATGGCTGAAATCACATTTTAGGTGGTAGGCATCTTTGCCAGTACTGAGTGATTGTAGAATGCCACTCAGTGGTTAGAACTTCCTGAAATATATGACAGGTCACTAGAAAATTGGACTGGAGGCTAAATCCATGGAATGTATCCTCTGACCTGATCAGTTCAAATGAAATTTTTGGTTTAGTATGAGAAAATTAGTATGTAGTTTTAGGACACTTTTTTTTCTCAACTTTCTGACATTTTGGCTCAAATTAATTGCAATTTGTAGTTACACTACAGCTACTTTGTATTCATTCTTGTAAAATCCAATGACTGAACTAGATTTTTTTAAAATTTAAATAGAATGTTTTTTAGCTGACGACATTGAAGTAGCAAATTGACTTCTTGTACCACTGATTAAATTTAAACTTACTACAATTTTGTATGAAGGGTAGTTGAGATTGTGAAAGAAAAATATTGCCTCATGCATTCCTACAGCTATAACATCTTCATTCTGTTCTCTTCTCCTGTAATTTACCAGCTAGGGACCAAGGCATTTAAATTGATTTTTCATGCATTTTCTGACAATTTCCACTTCTGTATCTTCCAAATTTATCACTTGTGTTGCTTGGCACTGTCTTACATCTGAAACAGATTCGTTGAAATAACCTTTCATCCTCATTCTTAATTATTTATTATTGTTGGAGGTAATTATATAATGATTGCGTTTTCACATTAACCATGACCCAGTGAAATGGCAGAGAGTTCTGTATGTATCATACATATTGGCATTTTAGCATCACGGAAGACCCTAGTCGTAGAGTAATATAAATTTTCAAATGGGTCATTCTTACATCCAGTAACGGAATGCACAGATTTCATTTAATCCAGAGTATGCGTAGGTATCTTTTGTCATTTACCTAGTGTAAATCCACTGACTTTTTTAGACATTCCAGTCTGAATGCGAGTTGGCAGACAGTGTGTATGTGTGTATGGATGTGTAATATAAATCAAAATGCAGTTGATTCTGCTGTGTGTATGTGTACAGTTGTAAGTTATTTGTGTCAGATTGAACCTCATCAGTTTTATTGCCTTATCATATATTTATTCATAGTTGTGTTGCAACTATTGTTTATTGTATAGTTAGATATGAATTTCGATAATTTAGCCTGGTCTGATATCTCATTCAAGTGTGCTTCCAAACATTTCCGTACTTTAGTTGGCATGCTGAGTTCTGAGTCTTGTCCATACTCTTTTGTTAATTTATCACAGGGCAAAAGGTTTTTGGTAACTCCTAAATCAGAGTTACGCTAACCAATACTGATGTCATGTGGAAAGTAGTATAGTTACTACAACTGCATGCAGTTTTGAGGTAGAGCGCTACAAAGTTATGACCCTACTGTAAATTGTGGTATTGTGATCACTGTAACTCCAACCCCAACTTAAACAATTATTTGTTAAAGCATTGGTCAAATCATGTTACTTCAGGAAATGAACAGTTGTACCTTATATAGAATGTGTATAGACTGAAGCAATAAGCAAGAGCAATTTATCAGAAAAATGTTGTCCTAGTTTTTCTGATCTTTTTCATAGGTCTTTTCAGCTTTGACAAGTTTTTAGGGACCTGTAACTATGCCAATCGTCAGTTTTCTACAGTTGTTTGAGAAATGTGATGTGTGTTTTTCTTCTCTGCTATGACTGTGCTGTAATTTAACAGCACAAGTCTACTGGTACATAAGGCGTTGTTGTGCCCGTGAGCTACTTTTGTTCCTGGCTGAAAACTGCCTGAATGTAAATGCTGTTGGGTGATACATATTATTGCTTAATCCTCACCAATGTAAAGCTTCCATTGTCAGTGGAAAAGGAGCATGTCCCGGAATTGTAAGTCACTACGGTAGTGAGACTGTCAATCTGCTAGTCTTTTGTATAACCCATGTGACAGGTGTTACTATGAAACTACCTTTTCAAACCTGGAATCTTGCAACATCCAGGTTTGCAGCTGTTGGGGCAGCAAAACTATCTACAGAATTATTTTGTACAGTTATGCATTTTAGAACTTGATTTTTATCATTTCTGTTTCAGTTAGATCATAAACAGGTGTTTAGATTGTTGTTGAATATGTTGTTGATTACTTTATTATAAAAATTTATTTACTTAGAAACTGTACAAAGCTTCTCTATGATGCTATATCTGACAAATTATTTGTTTTATGTGGGTGTACATATACGGTCACTGGTTAGTGTGATTTTTCACCTGAAATTGTTCTGTTGAGATTTGATCAGGTTGCCAAATTAATGATATTATCCTCTAGAGTTAAAAAGAAACATTTCATTCAGAAGATTAAAAAGTGGAACTTTGTTTTGTATAATGTTGACTTGACATTATATGTTGCAAGTGAAAGAAAAATTTAGTGATACGTCATCAGAATAATGTATCTATAAATAACAATATGAAATAATTAAATTACTCGTAAACTGTTCTCAAAGTGTTGTTCTTTCCCATCCTCAGCCCTTTCCCAGCAAGATCAGTAAGAACAGAAAGCGTATCTTTTTTTAGTAGCCTTAGGCGAGCCTGTATGGGCCAAACAGTAAGCACAAGGGATTCTCTGGAACCAAGCCTTGAAACAGCAAGTAAATAAGACGAGTCGCGATCACTCTCGGTTTAGGAGAGTTCGAAACGAACACAGACGTGACACAAATGGATTTCCGTTTCCGGAGGCTGCTTCTTGACTGCCCGCCAATTTGAACTACTATGACAAATTTCTCAGTACATCCAGCGTTGGTTTTGTTTTAGGGTAAAGTTTTGTTCATTAGGGATTCGGTAAATAATTTGATCTTCCATTTTTTGACACTAATTTTGTTCTGAAGACCGGCTACCAATACGTATAATCATCAAAATGGAGTATTCCGAGATTCCACCTAGTCGTTGAGTGTGCGTGAATTTCTCATAGTGCCAGAAAGTGCCGGCTGCTGGTAACCTGCACCGGCGTTGTTTGTTGTTGTTTGGGGCTTTAGGTTGTGGCGCTAGAATGAAATTTGACATGACTGCTCGACCGCTTGTGAAACATGTCCCGAAAGACCGACGCTCTGTCCACTGGTCATGAATGGGGTGCACTTTAGGTGACAACTGTTGCGTCGCGTTCGGTCAACGCAATGGCAGAGGACAGGACGACTGTTGCGGGCCTGACGCTCCCACCAAAAGTCGTTGGGGATGTGAGCGGGCATTTGGTTATGAAAGTGGATGAAGTTTTGTGGGCCCGAAAACCTCCTGGAGAGGTGTCGGCGGTTGTCTTATGGTGGGGTGGAGAAGAGCCTACGACCTTCAGGTGATGAACATTTACTTTTGACGGTATCTGTGCATCTGTTAGGAAAGCAACTTGGTTGTTTGTCATGGATGAGGCTGTTCCGTTGCTAGTTTTTACCATGTTCATGTTAAAAATTGACACGCTTTATTTCTCTGATCTCACTTGTTATGTTTTATTGTTCGCCCCACAGACCGACAGACGTTGCTCAAGAAACTATAAGAAAGAGGAACACTGGTGTCATCTATGAAATCCGAACTTCACCAGCTTTGTTTGAGAAGTACCTTCATAAATGTGGCAGCCTTGAAATCGCAATGGCAGACAAATACGGCATGCCCATTGGATGTGTTAGTGTTCCAAATTTGTGGCAAATGTTTGGCTCTTGTCCGTATCAGGGGTACTATCCCATTGTCAACAATTTTGGGAACCGTATTGGTGATCTTCATGTCAGCTTCAACTTGCGTATGTCTGCAAGTATTGACCCCAAATCAACGTCCTATAAAAATTCTGTGAAAACTAAGGTACTGCAAAAACCAACATCTGTGAAGCAGTCACAATTTTCTAAAGAAGCTAAAACAAAGAGTAATGAGAAAGTAGTCAATGAAACTATTTCAAAACGTGAAGTTTCAAGTGTATCAGCTCAAAAATGTGATTCCAATGATGATTATTTTGTGAATGTAGAAAGCCTAGATTCAGTCCAAAATAGAGTGTCTCCAACAAGCAATATAATTTCTCAAATACTCGAACATGGGACTAGACTAAGAGATGCAATGACTGCCTCAGTGATGGAAGATGGCGTCCCATTAGATTTGAAAAGTATTCCTAACTTCAATCTGCTCTCATCTGACATACTGAAAGATGTGAGAGTTCCGCAAACTCTTGACACATTACCTACCAATCAACTGGGTCCTTCCCATCAAAACTCAGGTGTAAAAAAAATAAGTCCAGTCTCTGAGAAAAAAGTCCTTGATTATTTATCTGGTAAGTCCTTCACTCTATTCATTTTCTGTATTTTTTTCTGTTAAATGTTGAAAATTTCTTTGTCTTTTTAACAAAAATATTTGAGTGCAGGTAAACCAATGTCTTCAATGGAGGAGGAAGAAGCGCTTTCTGCTTTACGAAATATTACTCCTACTAAAGATATATTGGAAAGTGTTGTGCCCGACATCTATGGAGAATCCAAAGTGAGACTGGAGCTGCAGGAGTCACCAAAGTCAAGAGAGAATATGCCTGAAGATTCAGCTGAGACAAATGAAATAAATGCTCCCATCAATGGGAATGAATGTTCTTGTAAGTTATGTTCACAATATTCTCTTGTTCAACATACACCTTTGATTACCCCATTGTAATCTCTTGTTTGATTTCAGTCGAAGTTGACTCTCAACTTCTCTCCCAAGTCAATTGTTTACGTGTAACCGTCCATAGCTTGGTTTTAAATTCTGTTGGGATTAAGAGAATAGGAAATGCCCCCAAGAAGAAGAGTTCTGCCAGTCACTCCAGTCAGTATCTGACTATAAATACATGTGAAAATTAGAAACATTTTTATTATGCTATAAGTTAAGCATGTTTCCAATGAGTAACATGAAAATTTTTTTTTTTCAGATATTTCATTGCAACCACCAGGTGTCACCTATTTTGTAGAATACAAGTTCCCTCTGGTGCCAGAGTCTCGCTCATGGGAATCAGACGTGCGTTATTGTTCAAAACGGTTTAATGGACATGGTAAGAAAAGCTTTTAGTTTCCACAGCCAGAGTTTTTACCATCTGTAATATATAAATGTTTTATTGTCATATTTCCCTTTCAGAGGTTACTTTTGGAGATCGTACTGTTCATAATATTCCTGAGACATGGCGTTGTTCTTTACCTGAAGAAACAAACTTGTGCAGCCTCATTTCAGCTCTATCCTTTAAAGTTTGTGCTCGACATCTGCATCAGCGTGTTCCTGTGTACTTGGGTTCTGCCGCACCAAATTCTGCCAAAGAACTTGTCAATTCATTACACCTTCGTCATGACTTTGATCTCCCTGTTATTGCTACTGATTGTCTTCCTGTTGCTCAGTTGAAAATTTGTTTTGAGTTGGGACGTGATCGAATACACTTCGGAGGCTTGCTTGATCCAGGTAGGTCTGTTGACAGCAATAGAGTTGATCAATACATTATTTTTAATAACACTCTGCTCTCTGCTACAGAAAACAATTCACTTGGCATCAGAAGTCCAAGAAAAACGTCTTCTGCTTCCAAAAAAAGCCAGGTTTCTCTGAAAAATGCTTCAAACAAAAAGGCTGGTAGAAGTGTTACTACAGTTACAAGAAATATTCACTCTAAACATTCCTCTGTCTATAAATGGAAGTCTGGAGTTCCTCGTCAAGTTTCCCAAGCGGATCAAGTAATCAAACGACTTGTGGCGCAGGCCAACAACGCTTCAAAGCCTTCCCATCTATCGGACTCTTCTAGTGCTCAATCATCAGCACGGCCAAAGCTGAAATCACACAGCTCCTCCCTCTCAACAAAAGACCAGGTAAATATTGTTGAGTGATCCATGTATTCTGATTCTACTATGACCTGAAAAGTTACTGTTTTGTTTTGTTCTGTTTTTAGAGTTTAGCATATGTGCCTAGCAGCAAGTCTAGCCTTCCCAAACAACATGCCAATGTCCAGGATACTGGGCAGCTCTTGAAGCATGAATTAGCTGTTGCTATTATTCAAGTTATAGATTCGAATTATTTAAAAAGTTCTGTTGCTGAGGATAGAAGTTTCTACATATCGTACAAGTTCCCAGTATCAAATACCTTGAAGAATGATTTTGGTAAATTACAGACTAAAGAAGCCACTCTTGGCAGTTGCCTTTATTATTCTCCTGAGTCCTCTTTTTTGATGATTGTATTATTTGTTTCAGTTGATTGGAATACTTGTAGCACTGAGCCATCAGAAGGCGCTGATGGAACCTGGCAAAAGTCTCAGAATAAAATTCATACTGCTGTTCTGCCCAAACATAAAGCATTCCATGTTTTCCTTGAGCAAGCCTTTAAACTTCAGGGAATGCAGAAAAGGGCTTGTGTTGTTTTTACACTAAACTTAAGGACCTACGGTGAAGAAGTGAAAGATTTCATGGTTGCGGAGGTGAGCATTTTCTTAATTTCGGCTTCAAATGTGAAAAGACTTATTTGTTAACACCTTCAGCAATGTAAATCTATCTTCTTATTTTTTTCCTCAGGCCTTCTTACCTCTAACCTGCATGTTAACTCTTGAAGATGCATACAATGATGCATCAAAAAATAGTGCGAACTTTTCTCAATCGTCCTGTTCAAGTGTTGTTTTAGACTTGCCTTTTCAAGACTTGTCGAAACAATGCCAGAAACCCACAGAGAATAGTGGTTCTTTAAGATTAAAACTAGACTATCGTCATTCTGTTGTCAACCTCATGCAAAAGGGCCATTTACCTCGAAGTAGAGGAGATTCTATAACGGAGAATCTACCTTCTTATGATTTGGTAGAAACACGCTTTCAAAAACAGAAACCAGAAATTGATGTTGTTTTGAGTGAGTCTTTTGATTTATCCACAACTGTTCCAAATTGGGCCAAAGATAAAAAGTTCCCTTCATCACAGCTGGATGACACCTTTCTGATTGGCAAAAAAGTGCGCCCAGAGTCTTACTGTACTGAAGGTATTAGACAAAATAATACAAATTCTAGCCCAAGAAATATTCATGCATCCTGGGAACCTGTTGATGAGCGCACTGCTAGATCAAGGATACCCAGCAGAATGTCAGACAGTGCATACCAGCTGAGCCCTTCATGCAATTCAGAAAACAACCAAAGTATTGCTGATATGATTGACATGACAAAGGGGATGAGTCAATGTGCTCTGAATAAAAATAGTCACTCTGTCAATGTCAGTTCTCGGCCTTTGAGAGTAGAGGATTCTTTTGACCGTGCCACTCCAAGGAATGCAAGTTTTACTTCCCAAGGGAAAATGAAAAAAGTTGTTGATGCTGTAACCAGCACCAGCCCTTCCTTACAGCACAATCATACTTCCAGCAGAGGTACCAGTCCAATAGCTTCATCGAAGCTGGTTTCAAAAATTTCTGATTGTGTGCATACAGCGACTAGCACAGAAAAGGTTTCTGCTCGAGATAAATCTCAACAAGTGATCATCGAAAGTACTTCTCAAGGAAGTCAAACCACACCCAGAGAAAGGAAGGAAACCTCCCAAAGGGACGTTGGAACTTCTGCTGATCTACCGGGGAATCAAAATGGGGAGCGATCACCATCTAAAAGTGAATTTACTACCATTGTGCTACCACAGCGGAGTATTGATGATGTGGAAACTTTAGAAATCGTATCAGAACAAGGCTCTAGCTCAGGCACATCAGTACATAAAGAGTTTTCTGTAGAAACTTCTACTGCATCAAAAGAGGTGGTTTTTGTAAAGGAGGTGGCTCAAGATATCACCAATGAGACCTCAAACTTTGCACCATCTTCTTTCCAAGCAAAGATTGGAGTAGAATGTGCTTTGCATTTACAAACAAGAAGCCCTCCTTCTGAGTCAAGAGGAGATCAAAATGACAATTCACTAGTGTTTGTCAGTATTAATCCTTGTGGAGTTGATGGTCACATATCGGCTCATATGGGCTTGAATCCTGTTTCAATCAGCCCTTCTGTTGAGTACAATGGTGAACCTGAGTGGCATTGGGAGACTAAGGTTCATCTGCCTGTTGACCTTCTAGTATCGGTAAGACTAATGAAGCAAATAATAATGGTAACCTTTGATTTTCAAAATCTATATGTTTCAATTGCTTTTCCAGACTGTTAAACGCTTAATTTTCAAGCTGTGGCTAGAAGAAAAAGCTGCTCATCTCAAGAAAAATCACCAGAATTCATCAGCAACCCTGTTAGGATTTTCAGCAGTTGATCTCACTGTGTTGTCTGCAGGTTTGCCATTCATATCTGGATGGTATAATGTCATGGACTTTTCTGGAGCTTGCAGGGGTCAAATCAAAGTAAGTTTGATACATTTGCAAATATTACATGAAGTAGTCTGTGTCTGTTGTAAGCTACAACTCTTCCAATATTTTTTTCAGCTTTCTGTTGAGCCACTGGAGAGTGTATCTGCACTTGTTGATTCATCATCACTGATCTTCACAAATGATACTCAAAGTAACTCCCCACTTTCAATGTTTGTGGCTCACTGTGCGTACCCTGACTTCCCATCCCACGTGACCCAGTTTCCTGATATGAGAGTTCAGAAAGTGGTCCCGCAGCCTTCTGATCAGGCCATGTCAGCTGTCTTGAGTGGTTACCAACTTGTTCGTCAGCATTGCTCTAGCAGCGGTTCTGACCATCACACCAAGACTCCGGAACCAGTAGCTGGTAATTCAAGATTGAAATCCTACACAACATTACAAAGGGAAAAAGATGCTCGTGTACTTGAAGCTTGCCCATTAGATGTCAGCCAGCAAGATGTGGCTCCTACAGAGACAGTCTCTGCACCCAGTGCATCACAACCCATTGCAGAAGCTTTAGGATCAGAATCTTCTGTTGAAGTTGAGAAGGACCCGTCTGTCCTGTTGAGGTATGTCTTATTACATTGTTGTTTTAACTCTGAAAATTGCATTCCCTTTCCACCTAAATTGACTTGCAGATGTCAAACATGTACCTGCTCCTGCCCAACTCTTCCCTCCCACCCCTCATGAGATCCATTCCCATCATAATTAAATACTTTAAGCTTTATTTACCTTTGTCAAGCTGCTAGGTAGGGATAGCAGAAAAGTTGAAAGCAAAGACTTGTCATCCACATCCTACCTAATTTTCTACATAAACTACTTTTATTTGCAGGGAAAAGCTGTCCGAACTTGATTCAATCACCAGAAATATCAAAGCAAGAGTATTGAATCGAGTGGAGTCTGCCAAAGCCTCTGGATCTCCAGTACCTCCCTTTGGTGTCTCTTTGCCTGAGTGTACACACACCCACTCGGGGACTGCCCACAACCATGTTGGTGGTGGAGGAGATGAACCTGAGGACTCTAGAAGAGACGAATGTCACGTTTGTGCTTGCCATCAAACTGCAAATGCTTGTAGTGATGACAGAAGTGAGCCTAACAAAGAGAAAAAACTTCAGAAAAATTCAGATGCTTTTGGTGATCATCAGTCAGCGAGACCAGCACCTACTTCTTGGAATGAGAGGAATAGAGCTATGCAAAAACAGCGCAGGATGTGGGAAAGGCACGAAGATCTCATTGACTTTGGAACGTTGAGCATGGAAGACGAAGATGAGCAGCCCCCTCATAACGAAGACGTATCAGAGTGGCTCACAGAGGCAGCCCTGCAGCAAGTATTTAATCCATTCCTTTTCAATGATATCCTCAACAGCATGAACTCCAGCCGTGGTGTTCAAGTGATTGAGCTTGATGACACTGAAGATTCAGATGACAACAATGATGATGAAGCCTCAGCTCCTCACAGAGCCACAGATGATGCAGGGCCAGATGTGCACTCAAATTGTCAGAGATGGGCCAGAAGAGGCGATGAAACATACAGGAAAGAAGCAGCTCACTTTCCCTCTAATCACATTAGAAGCAGCACTGCAGCATGTGATGCTGATTCTGGTGTTGACGTTGATTTGTCAGCAAACTTCCACCCAGGTTCCTGTAGAAATACAGCTACACGACCTGAATATTACTCCTCTCATCTTAGAGACACCATGGGTCAGTCAAACTGCATTGAATTCGCTTGGGTTCTCATTTCAATTGATTTTTATTAAACCATTTGTTTTACCTTGCTTGCAGGAACGCGGACTGCAAGTTCAGAAAGAGAGGAGTCCTCTTGGTGTGTATAATATTTATTGATTTAGAAATATAGTTCTGATTCTTGACTATAGTTTTTCATTAAAATTGTGTTAAATGTTGTGTGTTTAGTTCTCTTTCATCACGACACCAGCAGTCTACTGTACCATCATCAGCCTCAGCCACTCCTTCCGATTCTCCTCAGCACATGCCCCAAAGAGATATTCACCAAAATACTTCTCAAGGGACTCAGGTCAGTAAAGCTTAATTTTCCTTTTGAAAAATTACATTATTGTAAGTTTAATTGTACCTTCTGATTGTAGGGAAGGAAGTGCTCTGCCAATTACTCAAATCACCGTCAAAGGAATTAATTTCAAAAGGGAAAAAGAACAACAAAATTGTTTTTACTTTAAAGATGATTTATTTTTTCCTATAAATAAGGGATCTAAGGTAAGAACTATGTATATTCAGAACTAAAAGTACTTGGTGCTTAATGTTGTAGTCAACCAAGAATTATTAGTTCCATTAGCCTGCCTATAGAATTGTACAAAGTGTTTTTCTCTCTATTTTATTTGTGAGCAATTGAATTAATTGATCATTCTGATTTGTTATAAAATTGTAAATCCAAGATTTTTCATGAATTCAGAGACTTGTATTTTTCTTGATATGATTGAATGGTTATAATTTTGTGGTTTCTACTGTAAGAATAAGATTTTTTTGCCAAAAGGAAGGCAGTCAATACTGTTTCAAATAAAATGAAATTTATACTTATAGATTTGTACTTTTGAACACATCCCTTCTCAATTCTTAATCTCAAAAAGCAAACATGAGGACTAGTGAAGCTATGTACTACTGAAGTAACAAGTAGTCTTGAGAACAAAACTAAACAAATTATTAACAAAAACCAAAGATCTTGCACAAATGGCCACTAAGCAGAATGGTATGCGGTCAAAGTAAGTAAATTGTTAACGTGGTCAACATACCCACCCACAGCATGGATAGCATCACTGGTTATTATTAAATTTGCCTTCTTTGAAACAATTGTGGTATTTACGCCACAAATTACGATCTGTAAACTCATATACAGAGGTCAAATCAAGAGGAAGGGTCAATGGTTTGTCTTCACTTTCCATTGGCTCTTCAGAATATCTCACTAAATTTGTGCTGCTATCATTGTAGAGGATTTCACAACGTTCCTTTGGATTGTCAACATTTAAGCATTCGCTCACTCCAGAAACATCCTCTTCACTCTGACTAAATGAGTGGTCATCATTTGTGTTGAAGAGGGCTGAGTCAGAGAAACTTTCATGTCTCTTCAAAGTACCAGTTTTGGATAGGAGCTTAGATGCAGCACTATCCACTTTAACAAGAAATGTTCGGTCTTTATCACAGGAAGAATCAAAGCCCTCAATCTTTCCTCTTTCATCTAACCACAGTAATCTCTGCCTCTCCCAGGTCTCTACATCACAGATCCATTTATCATATATTTTATTTCTGTCTTCATCTTCGTCAATATCATGAGACCTAGTGTATAGCATTTTACCTGGTTCATATGGGCTCTTATCAGAGTGAGGTAACTTTTTCAATTTGCTTGTTACTTCATCAACTTCATAGCTGTTATCATCATCTTCAAAACGCTGCGAGAATTCGCAAAATTTGCAATTATCTTCGTCAGTCTGCCCATAACAGACAGAGGAACTACCGTACCATTTATCATACATCTCTCCATCAACACTGTGAAAATCTTCCTCTTCTCCTTCATCCTCCTCTTCCTCTTCATCATCTTCTTCTTCTGAGCCATCACTCATTGTGTGATCCCAAATTATCTCATACACAGCAGGAGAAGGATCTTGCCTGTCTGATCCACTTGCACTGCAATTGTCACTTGGGCTTTTCTCTATAGAAACGTCTGGAGTTGGGGAGGATTCCCTACCAAAGTTTGGGGAGCTCTGGAAAGGAGCTGACAAAGATTTGCCACAATGATTAATGTCTGGGGTTTGCGATCTCTCCCCATCTGAAGCTGGAGGCTGATCACATTCTTCGACAGGTGCTTTCTTCAGAGCTGCCAGAAGTTTACTATAGCGGTTGAAAGGGACTGCTGCGTTTTCCACACTGGGACGAGTCTCCTCACTCATTGTGATGTTGTCAGCCAACAATAATCTTAGTTCTCTTACCTAAAGGGAGAAAAACCCCAACAAATTTAAATAAATCAACTGATTTTAAATAGACGTTTGAGAATCAGTGGAGTACTTGCGCACCTCTGAATGGTAGGAGGTGTTTGCTGTATGGCAGTACAGTCAGGAGAACCACCAGACCTAACAAGGCAGAACCACCACAAACGTAGGCCAGGACGTCTTGATAGTAGTGCGGGCACTGCGTCACGTCCTCACACTTCCTGGAATGCACACAAGCACGACAGAGAATTAATTCTTTTCGAGAGAATCTCAAACAATTTCGGCGGGTAGATGGACATGTTATTCACACATGACAGCAACAGGTTAGATTCTCCCCAAAGGTTCACCCCGAACCCCGTAGGCAAAAGGGAGCGCCACACTGGTGAGGTACTTGTTGAAGTTGGAAATACCTTCTGAGAAACAAGAAGGGTGGAGGAATCAGCAAAACACACAGCCTGAGGGAGCGAGCTTCACACAACGAAAGCCGCCTAGTCGCTTTGTCCATGCTTTATCCGGCAAACATAACAATCCTGCCTGCAGTGCTACCAACTTCCGCCCACTCCAGCGCCCTCTTGCTTGACCGTGTGGCGAGCCAACATCTCGCGGCCCGGATAAAAATTGAAGCGGGCCTGCACTGTGGAAAGATAGGTCGCTCGGATCGACAGCAGCAAACATCAGCTCACTAGAAGAGAGAAGAGGCCTGACCCCAATGGGAATTCCCTGCTACTCTGCTACTGTTGGCACCGCCGCAGTGCGGTTCAAATCAAAAATGAAAAAAAAAAAAAACACTGAAGTGCACGCATATTGAAATTGCACAACTGCTCTGCATGCATTTTTGCTTCAAAAATCAAGATCAAACAGGATATCAATAATAAATAATATGACAAAAAAACTCGAAAAGTGATATGACGTACAGCTCCTCGATGATCATGACGGCGATGCCGTTGAAGAGCTTGTCCGCGAAGGTGACGGCCCCGTAGACGAAGGCGCCGCTGTCCGTGTTGGGGCCGATCAGGTCCGCCGTGATGCAGAGGGAGGTCACCATGGTGATGGAGCTGCCGGCGCCTGGGATGGGGTGGGATGGGGCCGAGCGATTAGCGCTGTCTCTCTCGCACTCGCTGGGCGTCCCGCGGAAGTGCGGGAGAGGATGTCCCTCTGACGGGGTGGTACTCACCCAGCAGCACGGCCACGCCGTACATCTGCGCGGTCTCGTTGGCGCCGCTGCCGACCCCCACCAGGATGCAGCCGCCCAGCGAGATGACGGCCCCCAGGAGGTAGCCCACCTGCGCGGCCGCGGCGGCAAAGCGAGAGGGAGTCACAAAGTCTGGAGTCGAGGCGCCTGCGATTCACAGGGTAGGCAACCCGCACACACCCGTGCCTGCTATCTGGGCGGTTGCCTGCCCTGTCTTCGCAAGGCGCCTGCGACCCGCAGGGTAGGCAACCCGCCGCACACCCGTGCCTGCTGTCTGGGTGGTTGCCTAGCCTGTCTTCGCAGGCGCCTTGGAGGCATGCACCGGCACCAACCTTGCTGCTGAGGAAGCTGTTGGAGTACTTGACGGCCAGGGAGGCGACGAAGGACGCCACGAAGGAGGCGAACGGCACGCTGGCCAGGGTCTCGGCGTCCTGGTCCAGGGACTCGTCCAGGTACAGCGGCATGTACACGAGGGACAGCGTGAGGAAGAGCCGGGATGCCATGTACAGCAGCGCCACCTAGCGGGAAGCATCATGCACTGCAAGGCCACTCATCGAGAACAAGCCAAAACTCTAGACGCGTTTTGGGCTCCAGAGTCGCTAAATGGGACTCGAAACGAACGTGTGACCCAACCAATGGATTGCTCTCCGAACGAGGAATCCATTGGTGGGGTCACACGTTCGGTTCGAGTCCTGTTTGGCGACCCTGGAGCTCAAAACGCGTCCAGAGTTTCGGCCGCTTCCGCCTGTCTTCTGGCAAGTCCACTGTGGGGCCGTCGCGTACCTGGTACAGGGCCGACTGGCGCAGGTAGTGCAGGCCGCTGACGCCGCCGCCCTTGCGGCCGCTGACGCCGTTGGCGCCGTTGGCGGCGTGGCGGTGGCGGACGGTGATGTCGGCGTGGCTAGGCACGGACAGCCCGTACCGGAACCAGATGGAGCACACCGAGCCGATGGTGATGCCCACGAACACGATGCTGCGGAACTTGAACACGTCCCCGGGGCCGATCTTGTTGTCGCCCATGGCGCCGCGCGTCACGTGGAAAACGACCCAGGTGATGACGTAGAGCGCCAGCGAGGAGCACACCGAGGCCGTGTAGCGGATGGCCGTGAGCTCGGCGCGCTCCGCCTGGCGCGGCGTCAGGTCCGGGATGAGAGACAGGTGGGCGATCTGCACCGTGGCCCAGCCCGTCTGGAAGGCCGTGATGAGCAGCGCGTAGTACAGCGGCGCCACCCAGGTCAGCGTCGGCGCCATCCAGCACACGCCGCACTCCGAGAACACCAGCGGGAAGCTCACCAGCACCAGCACCGTGCCTGCGGAGCGGAGGGACCGGAGTGTACACCGCGCCAAAATGGGCAAACCCGACTTTAAAACTCAGCCGTCTCACTAGCGTTGGAAACGCTGTGGCTTCACCACCAACCTGCGAGGTGCCATGTCTTCCGGCTGCCCCACTTGTCCGACATGATGCCCACCAGTGGGGTGGCCACGGCGTCCACCACCTGCCCTGTAACAAGAGCCCACTCTTCACGTCCCACTCGCCGCATTCGCGCAGATTCAGTGCTGTCTTGCAAGTAGGCAGGCAAAACTTCCATGGAGGCGGTTGAAATCCCGGACGCGTTTAAAGAGCCCCAGAGTCGCTGAACAGGAATCGTGTGAGTGACCCCCACCAATTGATTCCTCGTTCAGAGAGCAATCTATTGGTGGGGTCACACGTTCGGTTCGAGTCCCATTTAGCGACTCTGGAGCTCAAAACGCGTCTAGAGTTTGGGCCGCCTCCACCGGTCTTCTGGCCCACTGTACGAGGGAGGTTTTTCCTCCCTGGCAGCACTGTGTGGCACCGTGTGGGTTCGGAACGGATGCTGACCGACGAGGAGCAGCGCCCCGGACGTGGTGGCGGGGATCTTGAGCACGAGCTGCATGAAGAGCAGCGTGTAGGAGAACCAGAGCGCGGCGCAGATGTCGTTGAGCACGTGGCCCACGCCGTACGCCGCCTTCTGCGCGACGGTGAGGGCGGGCCGCGGCCCCAGCAGCGGCGTCCTGCGGTCCGCGTCGTCCATGGCGCCTGCAGCCTGCGGCCTGCGGACAGGGACGGCAAGCACGGCGTCACGCTAGGCGAGGGGCGCGTCGACACTCATTGCGAATCCGCATCCCGCGTCTCGCGACGTGACGCGTGTTGGCGGCACTGTAGAGTGCGGAGCCACGGAGTTGCACGGAGTGCGGCACCGGCGAGGCTTCCCCACGGCCCGGCCGCCCGGCGTGGGCGGAGGACAGGACGGTGGAGGCGGTGGTGCGCGCCGCGCGCCGGTAACAGAATACGTACTGATCCGGTGGGTAGGGCCGGCCGGCACGCCGCCGGGCACGCCGAGGCTTACAGTGGTGGCAACGCCAGGCGACGCCAACGCGAGGGCCGCGGAATGGACGCCGGCGACGCCGGGACGCGAACCCCGAACCCGGCAGTACCTTCAGGGCCGGCGGGGCAGTGTGGTGCCGACTGATGAGGCCAGGCAGTCCCAGGTGTCGGCCGCACCTGTCCGCGCAGCTGCGACTACCAGCTGCGCTGGCGGGCCTGGCGGGGCGTCGGCGTCGTCAGCGGCGTCGTCGGCGGCGGCATGGTGCGGGCGGTGGGTCCTCCCGGCCGGCTGCACGCGCTGGGCGTCGCGGCGAAGGCGAAGCAGTGCTGCAGTAAGCACGGCGGCACGGCCCGGACACGACTGGAGCGGAGAGGCCGAGACTCCCTGGCACCCAGCCACACGGTTACGTGATGCGGCCGACGCCGGCATGCAGTGCAGGCGCGTGCCCCCCTCCCCCCTCCCCTTCAAGGCTGGCCGACGCGTGGTCACTGTAGCTGCCGCTAGCTGCCGCCCGCTGCCCACCACGGGAACTAGTAAGGCTTTTGTGGTGCGTCGGTGTCGCCTTTCAACTTCGACCCCCCTCCCCTCCCCTCCCCTCCGGCACCGCTTGGATTTGGACTGCCAAAACGTGGCCATCCTGCCGGCCTACCGGACCGGTTCAAAGTCAAGGCCACGGTCGATGTCAGGGAAAGGGATCCGTCACCAAATTTCGATTTCAAATTAAAACGTCAGAAGTAGCTTTTTTCCTATTTTACAATTTTTTTATTTTTTCTTTATTATTTACAAGGGGGCTTAAAACAGTGTGATGATGGGGCTCGCCGATTCAAGTTGCGTACTTCCCTCTTCGTGGCAGAAGGAAGCTGAGCACGCCACACACTGCAACAACACGTCGGGAATGACATCATTCGTTTGGAACAACGGGACAGGTGTTCTCAACAAAAAAGCCTTGCCGCGTTAGCAGACGAAATCTCCCCACGCAACAGCGTTGGAAGGGTCGCCTGCCCATGCGGCGACACTGGGAATACTTGCCCGCCAGGAGCGCCCCGAACCCCCAGAAGGCCGAGTTGCACTGCGTGTCCAGCAGCGCGCCGAACAGCAAGCTCCCCGACATGGAGCCGCACCGGCCCGCCAGCATGCTGAGGCTCACCGCCGTGGCCCTGCGGGGATGCGGAAGGAACGAGCAAAGGCTTGGCACTCGCTGCAAGTGCAAGCGGCACGCACAGTGGGCCAGAAGACCGGTGGAGGCGGCCAATGGATTGCTCTCCGAACGAGGAATCCAATGGTGGGGTCACACGTTCCGTTCGATCCCTATTTAGCGGCTCTGGAGCTCAAGACGCGTCTGGAGTTTTAGCAGCCTCCACCGGTCTTCTGGCAAATCCACTGTGCGGCACGCACCTCAGAGTGGTGGGGTAGTTCTCGCAGGCCAGGGCCACGATGATGCTGACGCCGGTGCTGGAGAGCGAGATGGTGCCGCAGGCCAGCACCAGCATGGCCAGGGACGAGGGCACCACCGTCAGCAGCAAGGCGCACACCCCCGACAGCACCAGGATCCCCGCTGCGCGAACACAAACACAGACACCGCCTTCAAGGACCACAAAACGGGTGCCGCCGAGAAACTGCGCGACCCAACGCACCCAACATGTTCCTCTTGCCCATCCAGTTGACGAAGAACGAGCTGAGGAAGCCGAGGGCCACGTTGGACACGCCGATGACCCCCGTGTTGAAGAACATGGAGGCCGGCAGCTCACCACCGCACTGCAGCGGCAACGACTCCTGGAGAGAGTTTGTTTCCAACGTGGATAACTTTGGTGGATTCCAATCCAGAATAAGAGAAATTATTCACAGTGGGCTAGAACACCGGTGCTAGAGGCGGTTAAAATCCCGGACTGTTGTGAGCTGCAGAGTCGCTAAATGGGACTCGAACCGAACGTGTGACCCACCAATGGATTGCTCTCCGAACGAGGAATCCATTGGTGGGGTCACACGTTCTGTTCGAGTCCCATTTAGCGACTCTGGAGCTCAAAGCGCGTCCGGGATTTTGGCCGCCTCCACCGGTCTTCTGGCCCAGTGCGTGAAGCGGTGCGAACCTGGCCCGCCTCCGACACGGCCGCGGTGATGTTGCTCCGCAGCTCCTGCATGTAGTCGATGGCCTGGCACGCCGTCACCTCCACGTCGGGCTGCTCGACCAGGAACAGCGCCATCCGGTTGAAGATCTCCGGCATCCACACGAGCAGGCCGTTGGCGCTGCCAAGCACCCAACAGTGTACCAGTGTACAGTGGGCCAGAAGTGCTTGAAGTGCTCCACCTCGGACGGCCGACGCGGACCTACCTGCTGACGAGGGCGAACAGCACGGCGCACACGAGCGCCGTGTTCTTGAGGTGCTCGCGGCCGAAGAGCGGGGCCGTCTGGTTCCACATGGCCATGAGCTTGCCGCCGCTCTGTGGCCCGTCCAGGGACGCCACCAGGGCGCCGACGGGGAACTCTTTCTTGCGGCCCTGCAGGCGGACACCGTCAACAACGCAGTGGGCGGGGCGGCCAAAACTCGGGACGCGTGTTGAGCTCCAGAGTCCCTAAATGGGACTCGAACCGAACGTGTGACCCCACCAATGGATTGCTCTCCGAACGAGGAATCCATTGGTGGGGTCACACGTTCGGTTCGAGTGGAGCGACCCTCGGCATGACGCCCACCTTGTTGAAGGCGTGCACGGTGCGCAGCGCGTCCAGGGCCTTCTGGGGCCGGCCGGTGGCCACCAGGAACCGCGGCGACTCGGGGAACAGCAGGAAGGACAGCCCGGTCAGCAGGGCGGGCATGGAGTTGAGCAGGATGTACAGCCGCCACGGCCTGCGCAGTGTGTCAGAGCGTTTGCGTGTCGTTTGCCGTCAATCGCGGCGGAATGAAGCGCCGGGGCGTACCGGTAGAGGGCGCCTTCCCCGTAGAACGAGGGCAGCTCCCAGGCGATGTCTAGCGGCAGCACCAGGTAGGCGAGCATGGCCACGAACAGCGTCCAGCCGCCCGGGAACAGCCCCAGGATGATCATGGCCTTGGCGCGCGTCTTCTCCGTGTGGAACTCGCCCAGGTACGCCATGGCCGTGGAGGTGGGGCCCGCCACGCTGCGGCCCGGGACAGCGTAAGCAAGGGGTCGCCAACCCGCAGTGGGCCGAGCGGTGGGGGCGGACAAAATTCCAGACGCGTTTTGAGCTAGAGTCGCTAAATGGAGTCGAACCGAACGTGTGACCCCACCAATGGATTCCTCGTTCGGAGGGCAATCCATTGGTGGGGTCACACGCTCACTTCGAGTCCCATTTAGCGACTCTGGAGCTCAAAACGTGTCCAGAGTTTTAGCCGCCTCCACCGGTCTTCTGGCAAATCCACTGTGCAACCTCGGCCTGCCCGCCAGGCCGCGTCTCGGAGGCACTCACAGGAAGCCGTTGAAGAACCTGGCCGCGATGAAGAGGCGCTTGTCGGGCAGCAGGGACGAGATGACCCCGACCACGGCGTCGAGCAGCAGGGTCAACCTGAGCAGCGGCAGCCGCCCCCACGAGTCGGCGGTCACGCCCCACAAGTGGGTGCCCATCAGCATGCCTTCCGGGGCAACAAGCAAGCCAAGCATGCCTCCGTCAGAGGCGGGTCCGGCCACGGAGACTCGCACCATGCACGAGTGTCCATAGCGTTGCCAACCTCAGCCAGCTAGCCAGGCTCTATGTGGACTTTGCCCTGGAGACGTCGCCGAAGGGGCCGGCTGAGGGTGGCAACACTTCAGACACCGGTGTGTCGTGTAGTGGCAACGCTACCCGGGTCGCCCTCCACGTACCTATGAACACGATGGAGCTGAGCAGGACCTTGTCGGAGAGGTTCATGCTGAGGTCGCACGCCATCCACGCGGCCGGCGACAGCACGTACGACATGGAGACGATCTCGCCGACGGCGCTGGCCGAGCACATGCCCGTGGCCACCACCAGCAGCCAGTGGTACAGCCCCACGCCTGCGACCACCACCACACTCAATGCGCTGTCTCTCTCGCACCTTCATAGGGCGCCCCTCGCGTGCGAGAGAGACAGAGCCATGCAGACAGCTCGGCCTTCCCTCGCCAGACGAGCTTACCGGTGGCTTGGATGGCCTCATCTATGGTGACGGTCTTGAGCTTGGTGGCCGCCTGTGGTTCTGGAACGCAGACCGGACGCATCACCCCACTTATCTACTCAGCCATCCCTCAGAACGAACAGCCCCCAATGGAAAGCGTGGCGTGTAGGCAACACCGCCGCCCCACAGGTAGGCAAACGCTCCGGGAGGTCGGCACAGTGTAGCCTGCACGCCCCCGCTGGCCAGGTGGGGTCTTTCTGGGCGCGGCGGTGGCGGTACCTGACACGGGTCCAACGGGTGCGACCATGGCTGCTGCGCGCTGCTGCGTGCTTCGAGGAGGCCGGGACGGAACGTGTCTGACACGGCCTGGGGCCTGGTGCGCGCCCAACTCGCCGAGGTTTGGCTTTTCGCACAGTTTGATAATGAGGTACGAAAAGCGTGTTTACCGTCGCGCTCCTTTTCTTATCTTTTTCTAAAAACGGCGCGTCATGGTTGTCAACATGCGTTGCAATGCCGGCAGTGCTCCCAGGACCACTTCCCGTCAAGGCAACGGTGACGACTCGTCGGCAAATCCGTCACTACGTCACCCAATCCGCCTGTCATGGAGCTTTCCCATCGGACCATGTTTCAGGTGCAGGTCGCATAGAAAAGAAAACCGCCAGAGTATGTTGGTAAATATTTATTAATGCGTTTCTGATACAGGCATAGGCATGTATGTACAAGCGGCAGCACTGACGAATAGGGCGATCGATCGAGGAAACTCAGCGAAGAGCAGCAATTTAAAATTCAGCGAAGAGAGACACATGAAAATGGGTGGGACCGAAGGTGTGCGACACGGGGGCGGGGCGGCTAGGAGCGCCTGAGGGACTCGTGGATGAGCAGGTGGTGCGCGCGGTCCTCCTTCTTGAGGAAGCCGCTGCCGCAGATGTGGCAGGCGTAGGGCCAGGCGTGGCTGGAGGGGGGAAACACGTCCCTGAGCTCCTCCTGGCGTCGCACTCTCTTCGGCCACGTGTGCATCAGCGCCGCGGCCCGCGTCGCCTCCTCCTCCTCGTCGAGGCCGCCGTCGAGGCCGAGGGTGTGGCGGCGTCCTGGCGCGTAGGACGACGTCCCGGACGACGTCCCCTGCACGGGCGCGTCGTCGGGACTCCACGAGAAGCGGCCGTCGCCGTCCACCTCCATCTTCACCTCCACGTTGGACAACACTGGAAAAAGTCGGGGCGGTTGGCGTCGGGGCGGTTGGCAGTGGCGAAAGTCGCTCGCGTACAGTGGGCCAAGACCGGTGGAGGCGGCCCAAATTCTAGGCGCGTTTTGAGCCCATGGGTCGATAAAGTGGACTCGAACTGAACGTGTGACCCCACCAATGGATTACGAGGAATCCATTGGTGGGGTCACACGTTCGATTCGAGTCCCATTTAGCGATTTTGGAGCTCAAAACGCGTCTCGAGTTTTGTCCGCCTCCACCGGCCTTCCTGACTCGCACTCACCGCCAGAGAGGTCGTCCTGCTCGCTCAGCCACAGGGGGTCCTCGGAGTCGGACGCGTCAGGGCAGCCCGTTGGACCTGCGAGACAACGAAGTGTGAGGCGCAGGGACGGCCAGGCGGCACCGCGGTGTGCTTGCCGCCAAAGCGCGCCAGCGCCACGCCAAAGGTAAACATTGTGGCCATTTTAAAAAAAGCAAAAAAAAAAAAACTACCAAAGCATAGTCTATTTCCCAATAATAATACAAAAAAAAAAAATGCACTGAAAAGGCAACTTTAAATTACAGCATTGGTTGAAAGAAGAAAAGAGAAGTCAGATCCAATTTCTGACAGCTCATTACATGATAGAAGTCTAAAAGGTTCCCAGCCACCGACGCTATGATCCAAATAGGTAAGTTCTATTTGCACCAATTGAAAGATAATAAAACAATTTCATAAAACATTATATCCAACACTTAGAAAGAATAGAACCGATTGCAACCATTATACAAAATACAACAATTTAGTAGAAACAAAGACATAAACAATACAATTGTCAATGAACTAATTAACATATTTACAATGAATCCTCATTAGATGATCGAATTTGACACAAAACAACAAGTCGGCAAGAATGTCAGTTTGTTTCAGGTTCAGGGTCAGCAGGACACACGTGCTTCTTGTACTTGGCAATGTTCTGGAGCTGTTCAAAGTCTGGGTAGACGGTGTTGCATCGGGCACAGGGGTACCCGTAGTGCGCCAGGACGTGCACCTCCAGCTGCTCCATGCTCCCAACCACTTCCAAGCAGATGTGGCACTTTTTTTGGCTGTCACAAATCCGTCGCATATAGTGTGTCGTATTAACTGGTCCAATTTTCTTGAATAGCTTCCTTGTTTTCAGCGGCTTGGCTGTTTTGCTGGACTTAATTTTCAGGCGATGCGCTGTGGAGCGCCCGTGGGGTGGTCGGTTGGCTTTCAAGAGGGTCTCCTTGCCCTCCTCTGCCACCGAGGCCTTGCCAGTGGCCTTGCCACCGGCCTTCCCACAGACAGCGCTGTGGCCGACCCAGCAGCGAACCGAGCGGTACTTCTCCCCGCACGTGGGGCACTGTAACTTCTGTGGCTCCGAGCCAGTGCTGGAGCCACTTGCACCCTCTCTGTCGTCCTGGGGCAGCACACAGCTGTAGTCTGGATCTGCTCGGCTATCTGCCCCGCTCCAACTTGAGTCTTCCTCATCTGAGTTGTCGTACTTGAGGACCTTGTACGCTGGGGAGCCGCCAGCAACTTCAACACCTTCTACAGCTTCCCAATCTGGGTCGTTCCAGTCCGTGTCGTCGTGGTCGGCACAACCTATAGGACACAGAACAGAAAGTATGAGAAGCTGAAACAGAATAGCAGAACTGGAATGGTGGCTTTGCTGTCAGGTTATTTGAATCCCCGGTTAATTTGAGGAGGAACATTTGTTTATAGATAAAAAAGCAAACTACAGAAAACGAGTGGTACTTATGAAGACTATTTACTAAAGCCAAACACAAACCAGATTTTCACAGACATTTGTAAGAACACAAATTTGTCACCCAAAATCCTAACAGAAAGTACCTCCCAGCACAAATAAATTAAATTATTGACAACCCAAACAGAAAAAAAAAATAACTAGCCACAAACACATTTGTCAAAAGGTTAGTTCCCTCACACAAATAGTTAAAATGATTGCAAACACAAACAAAAAATAATTAGTGACATACATTTTTGTTCATGAACTAAACCAAAATAAAAAGCAAAATCCTCTGAGGTTTGACATAAAAGCAAGTGTCTCATTTGTGAGCACAACAGTCATGCTAATAAAATATTAAGATCACATTGTAGTAATCACAAAGGCAGTACTGAACAGTTATAACAAGATTCAGTTTGCTCAAAACAGACAAAAAAAAATTGGATTTAATTATGTACATAAAGGAGAAAACTGGTGCTAGGCACTAGCTTTTGTGCGCACACAACGGTGATCGTCCAGCAGCTTCTTTTCAGGGAACACTTTGAAACATACAGCACACGGAAGACCATAATGAGTTAGCAGATGCAGTTTAAGATCGGCCTGCTTGAACAGCTCAAGGCACAAGTGACACGAGACCTTTTTGCACAAATGAGAGGTTTTGTCAGGTTCCTCAGGATACTGTTGTGACAGCACCTGTTCTGAACTAGGTGGCTTCTGCCCATGCTTCAGCAAAAGATGACGCTTCACATTGTAAACTAACTGACCACACTTGGGGCACTTCTTCAACGTTTTAGTTGGTGAGTTTTCCGATCCAGACAAATTTACAGCATTCTTCTGCTTGCGCGGAATGTTTTGATTAGAGGTACTCGAGCGCAAAATCGCAGCAGACGGTGCCCTCACTGTCCTCTTAGCTCTTCTCTTTAGGATAGTTGACTTCCTGGCCTTTGTCTTTTTAACATTTCTCTTTTTGAGGTTTGCTCTTTTGGCCATTGCACTTGAAGCAGGAGGTTGGTACACAGTTGCATCGTGTTCAGTTTCATAGGAGTCACTTGAATCATTAGCAAAGCCAGGATCGTTTTCTTGGCTGACGCTATCTCTGCCACTCGCTTCTTCTATAATCATATCCAGGTCATTTGTTTCTTGACTGGCTGTTTCTCTGTCGTTTTCTTCTTGACTAATGGCATCACTGTCATCCGTTTCTTGGCTGTCAGAATGTCTCTGATTTGCTTCGATCCTAACAGCATCCCAGACATTTGCTTCTTCATGAACTGTGTTTGCTTCTAGATCGTCATCATCCAGATTGAACTTGAAGGAAGAGTCGCTGGAAGATGCGGCAGCCAACATATCCTCTGGAAGTCGAACCACGGAGTCAGTGTCGCTGTTCCCCTCCTCTGTTTTCAAAGAGCCTGTGAACAGAATGGCATACATAAAACATAGGACACAACAGCACATAAACCAGAGTATTTAAGACTCTGGATGACTAAAAAACGACTGGTGCATTTACCCAATTACCATTTACCCCATTTACTCCCTTACAACTTTTCAGATATCATGCAACACAAAGGGTCCCAAGAGACATGCAAAAACATAAAGGTTGAATTCTTGACTAAAATTTAAACATTTTCTAATTCAGATTTCTTTATTTCAAATTCTGGGATGTCATCATTTATGAGTCTTCTGAATGTGCCTGTCCATACTGTCTTTGCGGGAGAACTTGGCGAAGCACGTAGGGCACTCGTAGGGCTTTTCGCCAGTGTGAGTGCGAATGTGCAGCACCAACTTGGACTTCTCCATGAAACTCCACGAGCATTGTGGGCACTGGAAGGGGCGGGGCAAGGTGCGCTGGCACAGGTGGCGGTCCAGGTTCTTCTTGGTGGTGAACATCCTCAGGCACCTGAGGCACTGGTTAGCGAGCACGGCGCCAGGCTCCACCCCAAGCGGATCGACGGCCAAGCCTGTGCAAAGACAAGACAAAAGTGAGCAACAAGCAACAGGCAACGCAAGCAGCACCAGTCCCATTTGATGAACAAGCTGAAAACAAGAGAAGCACAGTTACAGTCATTCTTTTAATTTTAAATAGACATCAAAACTGATTCAGAGAAGGTATAACCTAATACGGAAAGCATTTAAAATACATTGGAACTTGAACATGACCAAACAATCCATTTACAGAGATCAGATGTCTAGGTCTACTAGGAATTAATTTTGAAGTGATATTTTTAAAATGAAAAAGGCTTAACATAAAAAGAATTTAAAGTGACATTCAACAAAAAGACAATTGCAGTCCTGCTTATAATATGTGAAGTTTGGCGTGTAGTTTCAAATAATTCAAGTCTTCAAATCTTTCGTTGCAAACAGGGCACTTCATAGCCTTGTTTTTGCCGCACTTGGAGCACTTAGCACATTGGGTTTTCACTTTTTCTCTGCCCCCAGGAGGAGCTTCAGCGCTGATCGAATCACGAGGTCCACTGTGGAGCTCGCTGGGGGACACGCTACTGGAGTCGGAGGAGTCCAAGTTCAGGGAACCTGGGAATAGAACAGGAGAGATAAAAAGGTGGATTCAGGGTAATGTGGAAGATCGCGTGTGCTCCAAGCGATTTAACTACGAATACACCCCATAACTCTGCGCATACCATTGAAATAAAATAAGGTACTACATTTCAAACTACGACTGCTGCCCAATGATAATGAGTGAATGTACAGCCCAGAAAGCACCATACACATTTTCCTTCAAAAGGTTAGGAACCCTGGTGGTCTGGGGCCATTACATTTATTCATTTCCTGGGTGTACAATTTCAAAAACAACAAACAGTTACAACAAGCGAGATAATTCAAAGACACTAAGAACAACTCAGTTAAACTAATGATAAAACATTTTGAGATAAAAATTTGTATTTCAGACTCAGCTATTAGTTCCAGAGATCTAACTAAAATTTAGGACATAACATAAGTATATTTTGAGGAGATAATACATTTCACTTTACTAACAAATATTAATTTCACTTATTGCATTTGATTGCTAAGATTCGTTAATAAAATAATAATTCAAAATTTGTACTTGCACATCTCTGGTTCTAAAGTTAGACAAAAGGTACACAAATAAGACAGATGGTGAAAGGCACAGGCTCATTGAAACAGCAACAGAAAATTCAAGAAAGAATGATGAACACATAATTTGACACACAAATTCGGCACTTGAACATTCCAATTCTTCGACATGGGCACTAAGCTATGGTGCACTGCCTCATCACTTCCCTCGGATGTGGATTCTTAAGTGGGAACTGACATGCGCTTTCTGGTTAAATCGTTTATGGCACACTGGGCACTCAAAAGGCTTTTCCCCTGTGTGAATCCGAATGTGTGTATTGGCATGGCCACGATGGGAGAAGACCTTGTCACAAACCGTGCACTTGAACACTTTAGTCATCATGTCTCCACGAGTGTCGTTTATTTCCTGTATTCTGTCATCAATGCGTGACGGCAATCGCACCCTTGCAGAAACTCCTGGATTGGTCAAAGGGTCCCGGCGAAGATCACACATTTCAGTCAGCTGGTTCATTGAGTCCCCGTAGTCTTGGAAGGTGTCCAGTTTGTCAGCGAAATAGGAGCCTGGAACAAGAGAAACAAGAGTTAAGTTTCGTACAGTAGAGGCACCCTTCTCAGCCGCCGAAACGGCGTTGCCCGGCACCAACGACGGGGACGTGAGGGTGCTGTGGTGCCACACTGCTAGAACTGGAATGAGGCTTTCAGGCCAAAGGACGAGCGAAAATGCATGCAGTTGGAGAAAGTGGGAAATAGCATCTCAGCATCTCGAACTTTCTCGCGAGGTATTCTTTCACTTTCTTGAGAGTGACACAGGCAGGATTGGTCCAAGAGTTGGTGTCGCGCCCAGCCCAGGCACTGCAATGCCGGCATGTTCCCTAAGTAGAGGGAAAGCAATGCACTACAGCGTAGTGGCAAGACCGAAAGTCCTGGTGTTTGTCGAGGTTATGCTCTCTTGTCTCAACGCATCCCACGTCGTGGACAACTCGCGACGTTCGGCTTTGCTACAAGGGTCGGTCAGGGCCAGACGATCGCACGAATAATAGAGCTCCAATCTTCGCCGGAGCGGCGTTTCATGTCGTTGAAATAATTCCGAGAAATCCTGACAACCGAAATGAGCGGGCATTGTTGTTGTGGTTTGAAGCCGCCAGCCGCCCGCATGCCGCAAGGCACTGTGGGTATAGTCTTATACGCAAACCACTATTCGCAGTTCACACCGGAAGCAGGGAAGTCTCCGGAAGTCTCCATGTCAGCGCCAAAGTCAAATAAAGCCGTCGGTTGAAATAGCTGGGCATTGAAGACAGAACCTCACCGTTCGGGAGAGACACTGAAGTAAGGGGTGTCCAAGAAAAAGGTTTTTTGGAGTATATTAAGTGTTCACGCAGAGGGGCGGCTCTAAATTTTCAAACATGATATTATAACGTTGTCATGTTAAAATATTCCTCCAAAGGTAAAATAAACAACATGTACGTATTTGGAGCTGTGATCCACGTCATTTTCCCAGAAACAGTCACTAAAGTCGCGTTATTTATGCTTATTTTATTGCTCATGTTATCTCTGAGGCAATACTTGAACGATTCGGAGCGAGGGGTGACCCACTGTAAAATTTTGCGTACAATGATTGTGTAAATGTGCAAGAATGTGCTAGATTTCTACCGTTTTTGCCACACATGTTGCCTACTTACAGGCGTTTTTGCCACCTGAATGTGGAATGTGGTCAAATTTTGTACAACGAATGTGGGAAGCTGTTCCCCCCTCGATTCGGAGAGTCATGTGGTCAGTTCCATTTTCCCGAGCCAAGCCATGTCCGAGGTGCGGGAGCCCCACTGTGGGATCACCGTACCACCCTCGGTGTGGGTGTCGTGCTTGTTGCCTACCTCCAGGACGGAATGCTTGGCCGACAGAGGAATATTCTGCACTATTCTGCAGAATTGTGCCGTCTCAGTCGTGCAGCCGCGACGGGTTATGGTGCTCGTGACTGGCCGTCGAGGGCACCGTAATGATTGGACGTCACGAGCGCGGCGTCCCGAACACGTCGTCAGCCCTTTAAAAGGCGACCGCCGGCCGGGGGAGGCATTCCATCGCCAACATGAAGGTCAGCGTGCTCCCCATCCTCGTGGTCCTCGCCCTGTGCGTCCTGGTGAGTGCACTCCAATTAGAGCCCTTCGTCTGTTGGGTCAGGTCTGGTTAGGTGACGTCGCACAGTGGGCCGGAAGACAAGCGCAGGCGGCCAAAGACGCGTTTTGAACGCCAAAGGCGCTAAACAGGACTCGAATCGAACGTGTGACCCCACCAATGGATTGCTCTCGGTAAGAGGAATCCATTGGTGGGATCACACGTTCGGTTCGAGTCCCATTCAGCGACTCTGGAGCTCTGCACGCGTCTTTGGCCGCCTCCACCGGTCTTGTGGCAATGGAGTGGCTCTTGCAGGCCGTGTTCGGCGCCCCCGCGGAGGAGAGCCGCGAGCGTCGCTCCCCCGGCAAGGGCTGCTTCAGCCTGGCCTGCTTCGGCGGCGGCGCCAAGAAGCCCAGCGGCAGCAAGTCCGGCAGGCCCGCCGGCGTCGGCAAGCTCATCGCCCACAACATCGCCCACCCCAAAACCGGTCCCGGTGGCAAGTGAAGACCAGCAGCGGCGATAGAGGACTACTCATTCAAGTCCCGCGAGCGCGACACGAAGGAGTTGAAATAAACATCGTGTCTGTCCCCAGCGCACTCTAACATTACTGCTCCATGGCCACACTGAAAACCTGAGTGCGTGGTGCGTATTCAGTACACAATTAAATTTTCAGTGCAAGAGAATCTACTTGCGCTTTAACGCGAACTATCCATGCAGATTACGTACATGCATTACCCATGGGTGTACTATTTTAGCATCGACTCAAGTGAGCTTCTCGCTAACGAAATCGTGCTCAAAAACACCACCTGCGACCTGCGTCCACCAACTAATAAACTAACAAGAACATACCAACTCGCGAAGGCGAAGAAACTTGTGAAAGTAAGTCAGCGGCGAAAAAAAACTTTATTGCGAGACGGCGTGGGTGAGGCAGGCTACTGCATGTCCTTGCTGATGCCGACCAGGATGTTGAGGGTCTGGTACCAGGCGCGCAGGGCGCTGCCCGCGCTGCTCAGGCTGAGCTGGCCCAGGCCCTTGATGGCGAGGTGGGCGGGCCGGGCCGCCACCAGCATGGCCAGCAGCAGCACGCGGTGGACGGCGGCGCGGTCGTCCTGGGCGTCAGCCTGGGCGTCGGCCGCCGTGTAGAACGCGCCTGCAAAGGAGATTAGCTAGCAGACGACGCGGAGCGCGCGGGCCACGCGGCGGCCGCACTGTGACGTCACGGCCGGCCGCCGCCGTCAAGGAGTTGCCGCGCTTTTCGGGCCACGTGGAGTGGAGGGCCGGCGAGGGGCGCCCTACCCGGCGGGACCCGGCGCGTAGGGTGCCCCGCAACGCGGCAACGCGCGGCAACGCGCTCCCATTGGTCGACAGGGCGATAGGCAATCCCGGCAGCTAAGACCCCACGCGGACCGCCGGACACATGGCCCACGGCTGACTCGGCCAATCTGCTGCAGACTGCGGGCCAGACTGCCGGCCAGACCGTTTGAGTGGTCTTCGTGATAACGGGCACGAGTAGAGAAAGCACACCGCCAGCACGCACTCTCGGACACCGCCGAGCTCGCGTCCATCAGCCCCTGACTCATCGTGGCCAGCGGCAGGAACACGCCGACGATGGTGGGGACCGCCGACAGGGTCATGGGGTCCACGTCGTTGAACAGGACCTGCGGGCACGTGGCGGCCGTGTTCAAGTCGACTGTCAGTCTCGTCGGCGCGGGTCGGGTCCACCCCACTGTACCTGCAGTGTGCCCACGAGGGGCAGGGCGAACACGGCCACCATCACGTGGACCAGCACGTCGGCGAGGATGTCGTTGAGCCTGGTGGCGCACTGCGAGACGCTCTGGTGCACGCGCACGGCCTGCAGCACCTCGTGCAGCCCCCGGGCGGCCGCGATGCGGTGGCCGGCCACGCGGTACAGCGTGGTGAGGCTCATGGTGATGCAGCCCACGACCGCCATGAGCGAGTAGAAGCCCAGGCAGGACAGCGGCAGCGCCACCACCTGCGCAGAGGGACTGGCCACGTGCCACGGGGAACGGCGCGGCCAGCACGCACAGTGGACCAGACCGGTGGAGGCGGCCGAAACCCAAGGCGCGTTTTGAGCTCCAGAGTCGCTAAATGGGGCTCAAACCGAACGTGTGATCCCACCAATGAATTGCTCTCCGAACGAGGAATCCATTGGTGGGGTCACACGTTCGGTTCGAGTCTTGTTAAGCGACTCTGGAGTTCAAAACGCGTCGAGAGTTTTGGCCGTCTCCACCGGTCTTCTGGCCCACTGTGCAACAGCGTTCTGGCCAAAATGCATGCTCTCCGAAACGACTTAGCGACCTGGAGGGCGCAGATGGCGGCCGTGCCCAGCGTCCCCGGCAGCTCGGGCCACATGGGCGTGAAGGGCTGGCCGGTGGTGGCGACGTGGAACCACATGCCGGCCACCACGAAGGAGCCCAGCGACGCCATCAGCACGGTGTGGCGCCGGATCTGGCGACGGGTGCGGGCGAACGCCGACGCCGCCTGCGCGCCGAGAGCACGCCGACAACAACCTTTGTCTTACCTTCGTTGAGCAGTGGAATGACCTTTTTGTTGTTTTTTGGAGCGGCTACCTCCAGCGAGGCACGACTAGCCACACCCTGCACACCTGGAAGTGCCCGCCAGCGACCTCCACGGTGGCTGCCTCCACGGCGGCGGCCTCCACGGCGGCGGCCAGCGAGCCCACGTCGCGCAGCACGGCGAGGAGGCGGTGGCGGCGCGCGGACAGGACGGCGTGGGCCACGCCGCACGAGTAGAAGCCGCACACCATGTGGATGTGGTTGGCCATGTCCGTGATGGTCCGCAACCGCGGCACCGCGGGCAGCAGCATGGCGTTGGCCACCACCAGCACCACCACCGAGCCCTGCCGGCCAGAGCACTCTGTCTTGCAACAGACAGAGCGACGAAAACGCCTCTCGGAATGAGTCGGCAGTCCGTCTCACCTTGCTGCCGAGACAGGCGTCCCAGGCGCGACGCCACAGGCTGGGGTTGGGGTGCCTCTGCAGCAGGAACTCCCACTGCACTAGAAGGTCACTCACAGACATGCCTCACGTGCGCCTAACCGAGCCGGCTAACCAGGACGGCTCAGGGCTTGCTGTCCTAATGGCCGCAGATGCCGCGGAACCCCGAGGCCAGCCCGCCAGCCCGCCAGCCCCCGCGTTGCGTCGCGTTGCGTCGCGTTGCGTGCTCCCCTCCGCCTCCGCCCCTCTCGGTAGAATTATGCACAATCCAGCGGGAAGCGCTCTTTCATTCACGACACATTGCGAATGGATGGGGTGCTTTTCGCGCTGCGCGACGCGGCGGGGGGCGGGGCGGGGTGGGGCGGGGCGGGGCGGGGCGGGGCGGGCGCGGCGGGGCGGGGCGGGGCGCTGCTCACCCACGCACTGCAGCGGCGGCAACGGCGTCGGTGGCGACGTGCAGTGAGTCTCCGGCCGGAACTCCGGTGAGTGAGTGCAGACATGCAGGGTAGCCGAGGCAAACTCGCCCCGCCAGCCACTGGCCGCGTCTTCGACATCGTCGGGGAGAACCAGCGCGCTTTCCACCCACAGTGCACAGGGATCTTTCACCCGTAATCGCAACACTGCAGGGGAAGGTCAACACATAAGTCAAGGGGTTCCAAATTCATTCCATCCCTCTTTCATCAAGGTATGTCTGGTGAATTATTCCCCGACGTCTATTTCCTGCGCGTCCAGCGCCGTCCCGGCCTCGTCATCGACGTCAAGTACGCACGACCGTCTCCGCGCCGTCCCGAGCGCGGCGTCGGCGGCCAGGATGCGTGCCGCCGGCCGCCGGCAGGTCGCCGATTAGGAAGTGAGGCCGCCGCCGACGGCCAGGTGTCGGCGAGGCTGCGGCCGAGGACCGCGAGGACCGCGAGGACCGCGAGGACCGCGAGGACCGCGAGGACCGCGGAGTGCCGCGTAATCCATCGATAACTCCGTCTGGCCGTCTGGCAGGCTGTCTCTCTCGCACTCGCCGGCCGGGCCGCGCGGCGCGAGAGAGACGCGAAGAAAGAAGGAGCACGCGTTGACGGTGTGTCGGTCCGCTGGGTCGCGCACGCGCTGACGAAACGAGACGTCCTGAAGCGGTGCAGGCCCCTCCAATATAAGCGACGCGCCGCAAACGGAGGGCATTACAACCCCGACAGCAGCCAGGCAGCACAGCAGTGCAGCAGCTAACACAGCAGACAGTGAAGAGTGAAGCAGCGAAGCCAAGCCGACACGGTAAGAGAAACGACTGCCCACGGTGTTGAGCTAGGCCAAGACGCATTTGAAGCCCCACCGAGTGCCGCCCCCGCCGCCCCGTTTGATGACGAGTCTCTCCACAGATGTCCCACTTCAGCAAGCAGACCGTGGTGTTCGCGTCCGTGGTGGTGCTCCTCATCATGTTCCTGTTCCCCGTGGTGGTGGTCCGCCTGTTCATCGTCTCACAGGGCTTCGACGGACTGCACCCCAGCCAGGTGGACGGTGAGTAGAGTTCACTGCACTGCGCGAGTTTCGGTTTTTATTTTGGTCAGGAGTGTTAGCTTATTCTTTTTCGTTTCTCTCTGTTTAGTCACTATTAACCTGAAATCCAATGGGACGACCTGGAACAACACTGATAGTGAATCCTCCAGCTGGGCTCCAGTGCCCCAGTCCACTTTGTCCAGTGGCCTTCCAGACTCCAGCACCGCCTCTCCAGTGCCCCAGTCCACTTTGTCCAGTGGCCTTCCAGACTCCAGCACCGCCTCTCCAGTGCCCCAGTCCACTTTGTCCAGTGGCCTTCCAGACTCCAGCACCGCCTCTCCAGTGCCCCAGTCCACTTTGTCCAGTGGCCTTCCAGACTCCAGCACCGCCTCTCCAGTGCCCCAGTCCACTTTGTCCAGTGGCCTTCCAGACTCCAGCACCGCCTCTCCAGTGTCGCGTGGCCTTTCAGACTCCAAAATCCGGGCCCACAACGGACTTCTCATGAAGAGGCTTATCCAGGCTTCTTCACAATGAAGATTTCACAGCAAAAACCCCAACACTGTTAAAAATGTTCGAAACATTTTTTCTTGAACAGTGTGGACTTTAAATGCGCGATGACTGTCCAAAAATGTTGCCAACATGGCACTGCTAAAAATGCGCTCTGCATTTTTATGATCAGTGTCGATCTCAACGGCATGAGGGCTTGACTGATCCTACGAACGGCTTAAGAGCGCTCAGTGGTGCTCAAAATAATTAATTGATAGTTTGCTGGTCTGACAAGACCGCGTTCCGACTGACTAGCGAATATGTATAATGTTAAGTTAATTTTATCCCTAGGACACCCAGGTGCAGCATGCCAAAATGATCTCACAAACTCCATTCCGATGTCAAAATTATGTCCAATTGATTCTATCTGGATTGTAGTGTGATATGGCTGTCAAATTGGTCTGACTTTGACATCACGTCTTGACTTTCGTGTTCTACCTGGGGCGATGTCTTTATGTATTATTCAAGTGTATCGAATGAATGAAAAATAAATTGACGTACACCTACTTACATCTTGTCTTCCAATTTGTCCAATCCGTCCGAGTCCTGGAGGTCCGAGTCCGCGGTGCCCTGTCTCTCTCGCACTTGCGCGGGACGCCCTGTGAGTGCGAGAGAGACAGAGCAGGGTGACGTGGGGACCGCGTGGTCGGCACACGCCTGGCGGCCAGGCTGGCCACCGATAACGAGGGATAGCGCGTCTAGACAGGAAGGTGACGTAGACGCCGAGGTTCACCGCCAGTCGGAGGCAGGGCCACTCCACGAGCCGGAAATAATCCGATGGAGCTGGCCGGCACACAGTGGATTTGCCAGAAGACCGGTGGAGGCGGTCAACATCTCAGACGAGTCCTGAGTCGTTAAATGGGACTCAAACCGAACGTGTGACCCCACCAATGGATTGCTCTCCGAACGAGGAATCCATTGGCGGGGTCACACACCCTGTTCGAGTCCTGTTGAACGACTCTGGAGCTTAAAACGCGTGAGTTTTGACCGCCTCCACCGGTCTTCTGACCCTCTGAGGAGTGGAAGTTGCAATCCACCTTGACTAAATTTCAACGGAAGTGACAGGAAATGTCGGGTTCCGTCACAAGCGTGTTCTTTCTCTTCCTTTATTGAATAAGCCAGGCGAGGCTGTCAAGCGCTGACCACACAGAGACCAGAGGAGCGTATCAGATAAGATAAAGGTACCGGGTAAGCCAATCCGAGCAACCGGGACCTACCCGGAATGGGATTGACAAAGGAAGGAAGTGGACTGACCTTCACGTTGCTGAGAGTCAGTGCGGGGGAGAACAGGACACCTTAGGGGGAATCGGACGTCCCATTTTTAGACTAGATCCCCTTATTTGGCGACTTTGACATCAATATGCGGTCGTGAGGGGTGCCTATAACCAGAAGTGTATACGTACTTCCGAGTTTCAGAATAAGGCAATTCAGTCTGATAAGTTCTTTCTGGTCTTAGGCTGGGTGCACTTGAATGGAACGCGTCCGAAAGGTTCGTTTGAGTTGAGTGATTGACAAGCGAGAATTTCCATAAATCTGTTTATTATCAGTCAGTTCAGCGTTTTAAAACGCTTTTAACACTTTACAATATTGTGGACACATCGCGGTTCGATCCACACACTTAAAGCTATACATGAGTCGGTCTAGCAAAGCAGAGACAGGGGTGGCGGTAGGTCATATCACAATTTTTTCAGTCGTTGCTGCTAGAGTCAGCGGCGTACCCGTATTCGCCCACAAACCACAAACCTCGTTCGGCCGACCATGCCAAGAGATTCTTTTCAGACAGAAATAGTGTTAATTCGCTGAATCACTACGAAATGAAATGTACAATGAGATCAAAGAATGCTCGGATGGAGTCTGTCTCTGTCTAACGCATGGAGGACGCGATTCGACTGACGAGCAGGCTGCCTCTCGCTCCGTCGTCACTCGCGGCTTTGCTGGAGACTCGACTTCCTCTGACGCCTTCGCTGGAACTTCCTCCGGAGACTCCGCTGGAAGTTTTGCTGGAGACTCCACTGGGAGTTTTGCTGGGGCTTCCGACGGGGGCTTCACTCGGGACGGCGATGACTTCCTCACCGAGGACGCCGGCGGGAGCTCTGCTGGAAACCACACTGGGAGTCTCGTCGGCGAAGGGCGGCACCTGGTGGTCAGTGTGGTTCACTACACCATCGGACCGCAAGTCGAAGCTCCCTGCGGCAGACAAGGAAGGTAAGTCTCTGTCGGTGGGCGGCAGTGTACCCACAGGAGTGGGCGGGGGCAAAGTCAGTGGGGCTTACCGTCGGTGATGTGTGGCGACGGGCTGTGGTCCTGGGGCTTGACGTTGGGGGCCAGGCCGTCGAAGATGCGGCCCATGATGGCGAGGCGCAGCACGATGAAGGGGTACAGCGCCATGGCCAGGATGGCCAGCACGGAGAGCAGCACGACGGTCTGCTGCGTGATGGTGGCGCGCTCCCTCGGGGCGGCCATGGCGGCCTTGGGGGTCACGGCCGGCATGGGCACCACCGTGTGGGGGACCGCGACGTCCGGGGCCTTCTCGGCCTCCTGCTTCTTGGCGGCGTGCTGCGCGGTGATCTGCATGGCGTGCTGGCGGGGCGGGCCTCGGTGCCGAGTGCGGTACTGCGGGCTGAGCGAGCTGGGCGCGGTGTGCCGTCCGCCGCCAGACTGGGCCTTAAATGGGCGCGCGGGGCGTTCACATCGCGGACCTGGCCTGCACTGCCGGCGCTGCGCCGTCGCGCTGTCTCTCTCGCTCTCGCGGGGCGTCCCCTGCGGGTGCGAGAGAGAAGCACCGCTCGCCACGATCCACGTGGGAATCACGCTGCCAGCGACGGCGAGCCGGCGGCGTCCGACGGCGTCCCCGAAGCCCTCGAGATAGTGACGTCGACGCGACGCCGCGACGCCGCGCGGTCCCTCTCGCACTCGCGGCGCGGCGCGTGGCGGTGCGACAGGGACAGCGCCACGGAATCGGACTGCAGCGGACCGGGCAGGACAGCGGGGGCGTGCGACGGCGAGACAAGACGACGCGCCGAGACGAAGCGCGTGGCCGCCAGGCTCACATGCAAAGCGCATGGACAAGAAAAAAAATGCAGTAGACTTATTTCATCTACCACCTTAAGGCCTATCCAAATATTAAACGAAAATGTTCTGGATATAAATATTGACCGTCTCTTACTTCCCTAAGTTTCCCCAATTGACAGTGTTACTACCCGCCCAGTGTGAGGGCTGATACTCTCTTGCAACCCCAGCATGCTGATTCGGCCAGTCGTTTTCAACGCTCTGCCTTTCTCTCTCGCACGTGTGGCGCCCCGAATGGGCCTGCAGGGGTCGGCCGAGTCAAGCCGGGGAAGCCCCTGCGGTGGGGCGGGTAGGCAACCCGACGGCAGCGGCGCGCGCATGCTGCCTACCCACGCTCGGCAGGCGCTCGGCCTGAACGGCGCGCAGCCCGGCAGCTCCACCAGGGACTTGCGAACGGCGATACTCCACGCTCGGCGCCCTGTGGGCCTGTGTTTGTGAGTGGCGGTACTCCGCGCTGGGCGATGCGACGATACCCCTCGCGGTCGCACCTGGTCGAGGTTGGCCGAGATGCGGTCGGCACACGCCTCGAGGCCGTCGAGGCCGTCGAGCACCAAGGCCAGTCTCCCGCCAGCCGCGCTCCGCACCAGTGCCGCAGCATCAGGACGCATGTACGTAGCGCCTTCTTCTTTATCCTTCTTCTTCTGAACGGAAGGACGGTTCTACAACGCAAATAGGGCTGACATTCGTTGCACTGCCTCTCTCGGTTCGCGAAATGAAGCGGAATGGTAATTCAATGAGGTGAAACTCGGGTCAGCCCGATCGGCGGATTCGAGATAGGTCGATTGCCCAACGTAGCGCAACAGGCCTGGGCACCTGTGGCGTCAATTTTCTAAAATTAGCGCGGGAAAATTTGTTTTTATCACCCGTTATTTTTTGGTAGGATTTTTTAATTTTGCCATGTTTTGTTTGCTGTGCAATATTTGGTTAATTACCTGGAAACTTTTTTTGAAATCGGCAGTACATTTTTGAAATTTGCATTTTTTTTTTGTATTTGCTGTGCACTTTTTTGAAGCTTAATTTAATCACTTTTTGACTGCTTCTCCTCGTCTATGAAGCCGTCGAATTCCATGGCCATGCCGCAGTGTTATCACTGTAGGCATCGTCCACAAATTACGTCACGTCCCTCTGTCCCTCCGCACTCACTGACAGTCCACGAGGAGCGACAAGGACAGAACTATGAGAAACGTCACGTAATAAATGGACGATCCCTTATCTGTGTCGATTATCGATGACCTGCCGCAGTGCGACGCAGTGCGCAGGCAGGTAGTGTTGACACCGGAACAGCCGGTTCGCTACACTGCAAGAGTTGTCTCGGCGAGCCGCGCATCCGCGTAAGGCGGCCTGGTTCCGAAGGGTGGTCTCGCCGCTGTCTCTCTCGCACTCGTGGGGCGTCCCGTGGGGGTCACGAGAGAGACAGAGCCGACGCGACTCTTTGGACTGGGAAGGCCTGACCAGAGCTTCCCTCCAGTGTGGCTGCGGCTGTGTGGCGGCCATGGCGCCCGTCTTCGAGAAGGTGTGGGAGGCCGCGGGGCCGGTGCGGGGCTGCGAGTCGCCGCACTGGGACGCCGAGGCGCAGTGCCTGTACTTCGTGGACCTGGTGGGCTGCAAGGTGGTCAAGTACCACCCGGCCTCCAAGCGGACCACCAGCGCCTCGTTCGGTGAGTACGGACGCGTTTTGAGCCCCAGAGTCGCTAAACGGGACTCGAACCGAGCGTGTGACCCCACCAATGGATGGCAGGCAAGGCGATGGTGAACTTCGCGATCCCCGTGGCGGGCCGCGGCGACGCGTTCGTGGCGGGTCGCCACAGGAGCGTGGTGCTGTTCGAGTGGGACGGCGTGAGCAGCCAGCCGCGCCTCGTGCAGACGCTGGACGAAGTGCAGGCCGACGCGGAAGGCAAGGACCTGCACCTCAACGACGGCAAGGCGGACTACCGGGGCAGGCTGTGGTCGGGTGGGTACACTGGTGAAACGAAAGCGTTCCGCGAAAAGCGCCTTGTTGCGCCTCAGTTTTGCCAGTGCATTGGAAAGTAAGCACGAACATTCTCCGCGCAGGCACCATGTGCGGGCTGGACCCCGGGCTGAGCGGCGGCGTGCTGTTCAACATGGACGAGGACGGCAAGGCGCGGGTGCGGCGCACCGGCGTCACCATGTCCAACGGCCTGGACTTCACCCCGGACGGCCGCACCGCCTTCCACGTGGACTCCTTCAAGAGGGTCGTCAACGTGTTGGACGTGGACCCCGACACGGGCGACGTCTGTGAGTTTTGAGCTCGAGAATCGCTAAATGGGACTCGAACCGAACGTGTGACCCCACCAATGGATTGCTCTTCGAAAGAGGAGTCGATTGGTGGGGTCACACGCTCAGTTCGAGTCCCATTTAGCGACTCTGGAGCTCGAAACGCGGCCGGGACTTTGACCGGTCTTGGCGACTCCACTGTGCCCGTTCGTGAGTGCGTCCTGCGTTCCGCTGATTCGCAGTGGACTACCGGCCGCTGCTCTCCTTCGACGCGGTGCGCGTGCCGGGGCTGCCGGACCGCATGCCGCCCGGCCTGGAGGGGCCCAAGTGGACGGTGCCCGACGGCGTGGCGCTGGACGCGGAGGGCAAGCTGTGGGTGGCGGTCTTCAACGGCGGCATGCTCGTGCGCGTCGACCCGGACACCGGCGCCGTCATGTCCACCCTGGCCGTGCCCGCCAAGCAGGTGACGTCGCTGGCGTTCGGCGGCGCCGACCTGGACGAGCTCTACGTCACGTCGGGGCGCTTCTTCATGGCCGACGCCGACCTCGCCAAGCACCCCGACAGCGGCGCCGTGTTCAGGGTGACCGGCCTCGGCGTCAAGGGCCGCCCCGGCAGGCCCGTCAGGCTGTGATGCCCGCCGCCTCCATTTTCGAGAACAATAAAGTGTGGGTGTGTGCGGGTGCGGGGACGACAGACTCATTCTGTCGTGTGTTTCGCCTGTCTGCCGACAGGCGGTTTCGTACTAAGCTCCTCGGAGAATGCTGTGCTGCCAGGATCACCACCGCCGAGCCGGGTCCTTGGCATGGGCGGTGTAGGCCAGGACTCGAACCGCACGTGTGACCCCACCAATGGATTCCTCGTTCTGAGAGCAATCCATTGGTGGGGTCACACGTTCGGTTCGAGTCCTATTTAGCGACTCTGGAGCTCAAAACGCGTCCGGGGTTTTGAGCGCATCCTCCGGTCTTCTGGTCCACTGTGCGCTCGGTGCGAATAAAGGTCTAGGACTCGTTGCTGCGTCGCAGCCAGGCGTGAGCGTGGCGCGTGGCGCTTTAATTCCCGCTCAGCTTGTCCATGCCCTCGCGGATCCAGTCCAGGTACGAAGTGACGCGCGTGAACACGTTGGGCCAGGACACCTCGCAGCCGAACTTGATGCCGAAGGAGGTGAGCCCCACCAGGGTGGGCTTGCCGTCGGACTCGGTGACCACCATGGGGCCGCCCGAATCGCCCTGGACAGTCACAAACACTTAGCAAGGCGGAACTTCGGGGCCAGTGTCGAAAGGGTTGCCAACCTCAGCCTGCCCACTAGGCAGTGCCTGAGAAGTTGTCCTCGTTGTCCTTACTATAGGCAGGCTAAGGGGCGCACCGGTTGAATTTTCACTGACGTAGCAGCACTGTTTCGAAAGCACGGCCTACTGGTCAAGCTGAAGCTGGTACCCGTACCTGGCAGGTCCCCTTCTTCCACCAGCCGGACACGCAGATGTTGGAGTCCCTGACGTGCTTCATGAAGTAGCGCGCGCGGCAGTACAGGTTGGACACCACGCGGTTCTGCACGAAGCGCAGCTTGGGCGAGATGTCCTCCGCGTCTGGAACACACAGGCGTTACCACACCGGACGCAGTGGGGAGCTTAGCCTGCTTGTGTGGCAGCACTGGCTGGCTGGACGGCGGAACGGTGGGAGACGGGGAGCCCTCACCGGTCGTGTTGTGGCCCCATCCGCTCATGAGCACCTTGGAGCGCCAGAAGGACTTGTGGGCGGCGCGCGGCAGCCGCACGGGCTGGACGCGGTCGTCTGCAACAGGGTGGCCGTCAGCCTCGCAACCCCCGGACGCGTTTCGAGCCCCAGAGTCGCTAAATGGGACTCGAACCGAACGTGTGACCCCACCAATGGATTCCTCGTTCGGAGAGCAGTCCATTGGTGGGGTCACACGCTCGGTTCGAGTCCCAGCGACTGGGGAGCTCAAAACGCGTCCGGGGTTTTGTCCGCGTCCACCGGTCCTCCGGCAAATTCGGCGGGATCCTCACTGAACACAAGGGGCTTCTCGAGGCGCAGCAGCGCGATGTCGTTGGCCAGCTGCTCCTCCTTGTTGAAGCGCTCGTGCACCAGCTTGGCGTCCGCCTGCACCTCCTGCCGGCTGGGCTCGCTCTCGTCCAGGATGGCGTGCGCGCCGGCCACCACGGTGAAGTTGGTGCCGCGACTGGAAGCATGGAACAGCGAACAGGGTGACGCGACGGCGAGGCCGCCCCCTCTGGCCCCCACGCCTCATGCAGCATGCACGACCTGGCCGCCCCCTCCCCTCCCTCTCTCTCCCACTCACGTGGCGCAGTGGGCCGCGGTGACGACCACCCTGTCCGAGATGATGGAGCCCCCGCAGAAGTTCCTGCTGCGTCCCAGGAGGATCCAGATGCCCACCTGGTGGGGGAACTGGCCCGGGGCGGCCTCGTCGCCGCCCACGATGCGCAGGCCGGACACTGCAACGGGGCGATGCGCAGTGGATTTGCCGGAAGACCGGCGGCGGCGGCCAAAACTTTAGACGTGTTTTGAGCTCCAGAGTCGATGAATGGGACTCGAACCGAACGTGTGACCCCACCAATGGACTGCTCTCCGAACGAGGAATCCATTGGTGGGGTCACACGTTCGGTTCGAGTCTCATTCAGCGACTCTGGAGCTCAAAACGCGTCCAGAGTTTTGGCGACCAATCGGAGCGCTGCTGGTTCGCCTCAGTGCTCAGTCTGGGGACACTGCAGGGTACTCACGGTCCTGTGGGATGGGTCTCGCCTCCGAAGGCTCAAGTCCGGGCTTGTCCCATGTCTCGGAGCCCTGGACAGTGGAGCCAAACCTGGAGTTACCAGTTACTTACGCACGCGCACGCACACACGCACGTTTAACGCCCCAGCAAACAGACCTGCGCCGAGGACAGGGCGGCCAGGAGAAGCACTATCTTCCACATTTCGAGGCGGAGTGTCGGAGTGACGGAGTGCGACTGCGTGACTGCGTGTCGCCTCCTCGTCTTGCCTTGCCGTGCCGCGGCGCGGCGGCACTCCGATTACGATTATCGAAAGGTGGGGCAGCACGTCGCCGGTAGCGCCGTCTCTCTCGCACTCGCGAGGAACGCCGCATGGGTGCGAGAGAGACGGCGCGACGAGGCGCAGAAGCAGTGTGCCGGCCGGGGCGCAAGGCACAAGTGCACAAGTGTCCCTGCCTCGGCAATCAAGGCAATGACGCGTGGGTCGGGTGGTTGGACAGAGACTACACTCGAAAGCCGAACGGTTTATTGGTGCTCCGCGCTTCGGCCACGCTCCGCGCTACTGCGACAGGGGCTTCTTGGCGTACCGGGCGAACACCTTGAGGCCCTCGAAGGCGCGCCGCGACAGCGGCAGGATGTCGGCGTCGTTGACGCCGAAGCCCTCGTGCGTGGCGCCGGGGGGCAGCTCCAGGCAGAAGGACTGCTTCACCCCCGCCACGCCGCGCACCCAGTCCGTCACGGCGCCCGTCGACGCGTCTGCGCCAACAGAACAGACGCACAGTGGATTTGCCAGAAGACCGGTGGGGGCGCGGCCCAAATTCTTGACGCGTTTTGAGCTCCAGAGTCGCTAAATGGGACTCGAACCGAACGTGTGACCCCACCAATGGACTGCTCTCCGAACGAGGAATCCATTGGTGGGGTCACATACTCGGTTCGAGTTCGAGTACTGTTTAGCGACTCTCAAAACGTGCCCCTGCACCGGAAAATGGCGTTCGACTTACAGTCTGCCGCCATGCTGCTGATGGTGTACGACTTGGAGCCCGCCTTCACCATCGCCGCGTTCGCCTCCTTCTCGATTTTCTCCTGCACCAGAAAAAACCGCCAAACGGTCAATTGTTAAAATGTCGCAGAAGTGCGGCGACTCGAAGACTTGAGCTGAGATTTAGCGAGTATTTGCTTTTCGCGCTTTTCGCGACGCTCACCAGCTTGGCCTCGTCGGGGACAGTCGGCGCGAAGGAGGAGTAGCCCCACGGCCCGAAGATGGCCTGGAAATGACACGCGCCGGTTTTACGTGTACCTACACTGTTAGGTTTACAGCGTGGGAAGGTAGGGTTGGCTGACCTTGGAGGGGCTGTGGAGGTTGACGTACGTCTTGAGCCTCTTGTCCTTGTTGAGGGCCTTCACGAAGGCCTGGTAGCTCTTGGTCTCGGGCTCGGAGGCGGCCTCCCCGCCGGCGAAGGCCTCATCGCAAGGGTCGTCGCTGGCGCCGTCCCCCGACATCATGAAGTCTGTCAGCAAGGAGGCAGTTCAGTCGGCTGAGGGGAAGGCCTTGGGCACCCACCACCCGCCAACAACGAACCTTCCCAGTGGAAGTTGAAGTTCCTGTTCAGGTCCACGCCCACGCACTTCTTGTCGTACTTCTTGCTGCGGTTCTTCCGCCAGAGTCTGTCCTGCGAATCGAACACAGTCGGGACAAGGTGAAAATCGGGATTCCCCTGTCAGCGTGCTGACGGAGACTACCCACCTTGGTGCGCGAGTACTCGTAGCCGTCGGGGTTGAGCACGGGCACCACCACCACGTCCAGGCCCTTGTCGACGTGCTCGACGGCCTGCTGCAGGAAGTAGAGGGCGGCGGGGAGGGTCGCCCACTCGCGGGCGTGCATCAGGGCGTCCACCAGCATCACGGGGGTCTTGCTCTGCTTGGCGTCGAGGCTGGCGGACACGCGCACGTAGGGGATGTCGCGGCCCTCCACGGAGCGGCCCACGCTGCCCACCCGCACCACCCTGGGGTGAGCCCTCTGCAGCGCGCGCAAGTACGCCGCCACCTACAACGAGAGCCTGCTGCCAGTGTTGCCGCGCCACTTGGCAAAAAGTCCCACGACGCACCGGCGTCGAACAGGCCTGCCAGCCCCCGACTGCGCCCCCGTGCCAGTCACCTCAGCGTAGGTCATGATCTTGGAGAAGGTCAGCCCTGAGGAACTGCTCGACTTGCCGCCCGTCGCTGCTGCGGCCGCGGCCACCAGCGCGACGACGCCCAGGAACGCCAAGACCCTCATCGTCTCGCCTCGCTCGGTGGACGTGGGGACTATGGCGCGCGGACCCCAAGGAGGCCCTGGCGGCGGCCTCGGTGGCGGCCAACGTCGTGCCCATGGTGACGTCGGCGACGTCGGCCACTATCGGGCCGCGGTCACGTTCACGACGCCACTCACGACGTCGCCGCCAAGTCGTCCCAAGAAACCCACTAAACAGCCGCAGGGCTTGAATCACTAGTCAGCCAAATAAAAATGCCAGTTTCTCACAAAATGCAATTTTTCTAATTCTTAAAAAAAAACCGGGGTCGAGGCAAGATGTAATATCCGCTAACTTCGGCGCGCTTGCGCATTCCTCGCGTTCTGCGACTAGCCTAGCCAGCGTACCGTGCGGCGTCACGCTTTGTCGACTTTATCAGCTTGTTTAAAGGTGGGCGACACATCTAGATGCCTGCTGGGCTGGCGCAGCCTGGCGGGCCCGGAACCGCGGCCACGCGAGAGCGCAACGGCCAGTCCGCCGGCCATCCGTCGGCCAGTCCGTCGGGCCGCGAGGAGAGGAGGCCAGTCTGGTTGGGAAGAGCACGACATGGATGGCGGCGGCCACCGCGTCCCCAGTCCACCGCCACGGCCTGCACTAGGTCCACCAGAAGACCGGTGGAGGCGGTCGAAACTCTAGACGCGTCTTGAGCTCCAGAGTCGCTAAATGGGACTCGAACCGAGCGTGTGACCCCACCAATGGATTGCTCTCCGAACGAGGAATCCATTGGTGGGGTCACACGCTCGGTTCGAGTCCTGTTTAGCGACCCTGGAGCTGACGACGGTGGGGGATTGTTGCAGCTGCAACCGCGGTGCTGCTCTGGTTCACCCTGGCCACGCCTGCAACAGCCATAGCCGCAGTGAGTGTCAAAGGGCTTCGGAGTTGACTGCAGTGCGCAATAATAATTGACAATTATTTTTTTTTAAAAAAATCTGAATTTAGACACGGGTCTTGGCTACCAAACTGGCGGTTTCATTTCGGTCCAAGCGCACCGTTCACAGTGGTGCATCCCTGGTCGAACAAAAGCACTGAGCCACTGCCACTGCGCGGGCGGGCACACTGCACGATGGCGTATCAGCCACTTGGCTTTGTTCCACGCTCCAGATCGTATCGGAGACTGCAGAGCAGTGCAGAGCGAACAGTGCTTCGTCGCACTGTCTCTCTTGCACCCTGGTAACCTCTCTCTGAACGAGGAATCCATCGGTGGGGTCACACGTTCGGTTCGAGTCCCATTTAGCGACTCTGGAGCTCAAAACGCGCCTCGAGTTTTGTCCGCCGGCGCCGATCCACTGTGATGCGTGCGTGCGCAGAGCCGGGCCTCCCACGGCAAGACCCACCTGGTGCCGCGGTTCTACGACTTCCACCACTGCGTGGACCGGCCGCACTCGCTCGTCGTCAAGAACTTCACCATGCAGCTGGACCGGATGGGCTCCGAGCACTGCGACGTGCACTTCGAGCTGACGTCGTCCTCCAACAGGCTGACGGGGGTGAGGACCTACTCACTGCTCTCGTCAGTCTCTCTCTCTCTCTCTCTCTCTCTCTCTCTCTCTCTCTCTCTCTCTCTCTCTCTCTCTCTCTCTCTCTCTCTCTCTCTCTCTCTCTCTCTCTCTCTCTCTCTCTCTCTCTCTCTGTGCCTACACCAGACGTACGAGAGCAGTGATCGAATCAGCATGCCGTTTCCATGCCAGCGCACATCACAGTGTGCTGGCCGTGCTAGCCGTGCTAGCCGGCTCCAGCTGGGCGGCAGCTCTGCTCGTCTCGATTTCTTTTCCTATCTCGATGAATTTTCTGCCGAGTTGTTAAGCTTCCATGGCGCTTCGCGGTGCAGTTTAGGCTGAAGATCCACCGGTGCGTCCTCGGCAAGCCGAGCGACTGCGAGTACTTCAACACCTGGGCGTGGAACATGCCGGTGTGCAAACTCATGTACAGCGACAACATGGTGTGGACGCCCCTGGTGCACAACCTGGATCCCGTCTTCAAGTGCCCCATCCTGAGCGTGAGTACGGTCGCGTTAGTCCCGTCCCGCAGTGGGCCAGAAGACAGTGGAGGCGGCCAAAATAGACGTGTTTTGAGCTACAGAGTCTCTAAATGGGACTCAACAGAACGTGTGACCCTACCAATGGATTGCTCTCCGAACGAGGAATCCATTGGTGGGGTCACACGTTCAGTTCGAGTCCTTTAGCGACTCTGGAGCTCAAAACGCGTCCAGAGTTTCGGCCGCCTCCACCGTCTTCTGGCCCACTGTGCACTGGCCCCGGCACGCTGGCACGGTGTTGCAGGGGGATTACTTCGGGCGGAACACAACGCTGGACTTCGAGGCCCTGGAGCGGATGATCGGCGGCCTGAACCTGGACAAGTACGCGTGGCCCGTCAAGGTGATGCTGGACGGCGACCAGGGACTGTTCATCTGCTTCGACTTCATCGCCGAGGTGCGGCGCGTCAAAGTCCGAGAACACCGATGAGGCCAGCCAACGTTCCAAAATAAAGGCCCCGTCCAAGGAGTTTATTTCTTTTTGTTCATGTTGAGCACCATCTGCAGGTAGGAGAACCAGGACTTGAGCACGGACTCGCACGCGGGCAGGCCGAGCACGCCCAGCCCGCGGCACGAGATGGTGGCCGTCTTGGAGGCGCGCAGCATCACCATGATGCGGATGACGCGGCTGGCGACGTCCTCGGCCGGCCACTCGGCCGCGTACGCGCGCCGCCCCACCTCCAGGCTGGCGTCCGACAGCCCCTGCGGCAGTAGGGACGCGTGCAGAGCTCCAGAGTCGCTAAATGGGACTCGAACCGAACGTGTGACCCCACCAATGGATTGCTCTCCGAACGAGGAATCCATTGGTGGGGTCACTCGTCCGGTTCGAGTCCTGCTTAGCGCTCCGACTCACCTGGCTGGCGAAGCAGAGCGGCACGAACACGGCCAGGATGGTGAAGAAGGAGGACAGCAGGAAGGCGTCCACCTGGCCCTGCAGCGCGTCGTAGGTGCTCTGGATGGGCAGGATGAGGACGGCGAAGAGCAGCAGCAGCATGTAGGCGGAGGTGAGGCGGTCCAGGCTGTAGCTCACGTCGGACAGGCGGCCGTGCACGCTCGCCACCCAGCGCAGCTGCAGCACCCCGGACGCGCGCTCCACCACCTCGCCGGCGCAGCGGTACAGCGCGCTGCAGGACGCCTGCGCCACCATCAGCCACCCCACCAGCGTGTAGATGGCGATGGGGCAGAAGCTGCCCGTGATCACCTGCCACACACAGTCGCTGCAGTGCCCTGGCAGTGCAACTGCACGTCCAGAAGCTGGCGCTCCAAAATCCCCATCGGCATGACAAATTTTGCCCACTTGGCCCAAGCGAAACAGGGTGAGGGCTCGCGTGGTTGCACCGACGTACCTGCGCCACCATTGTCACCCAGAACGCCACCTGGGCGCGGGCGTGTTCTCGGGCCGCGGCCACACGGGCATGCTGAGGTCGCCGAAGACGATGGTGGGGAACAGCACACTGAAGGCGACGCCGATGGAGTACAAGTCCCAGGCGCGCTGCAGGCGGTTGCAGTAGCGCGCCGTGTGGCACAAGGCCCTCTGCAAGGTCACCGGCATCAGCTCTCCGAACGGGGAATCCATTGGTGGGGTCACACGTTCGGTTCGAGTCCTGTTTAGCGACTCTGGAGCTCAAAACGCGTCCCGAGTTTTGGCCGCCTCCACCGGCCTTCTGGCCCACTGTGTGCCGACGGTGCATACCATCTGCGCCGCGTCCGCCGTGCTCTCCAGGGCCCTGGCCGAGGCCGCCATGCCTTCCAGCGTGCTGGCGAAGGCGGGGCGCCGCCACGCGTACAAGAACTGCGCCGTGGTGCACGACACGACCCCCACGGAGATGCGGATGCCCGTGCTGGCCTCCAAGTACGACGCCTTGGTCAGGCAGTCCCCCACGGCCAGCGACGCCGTCAGCGTCGAGACCACCACCGTCACCTGCGGACCTGCGCCACTCACAGTGGCTTCGCCGGAAGTCCGGCGCCGGCGGCCGAAGACGCGTTTTGAGCTCCAGAGTCGCTCAAAAGGACTCGAACCGAACGTGTGACCCCACCAATGGATTCCTCGTTCGGAGAGCAATCCATTGGTGGGGTCACACGTTCGGTTCGAGTCCCGTTTAGCGACTCTGGAGCTCAAAACGCGTCCTTGGCCGCCTCCACCGGTCTTCTGGCCCACTGTGCGTACCTTGGTGCCCTGCATGGTGTTCCAGACGCGGCGGAGGAAGCTGACTTTGTCGTCCTTGCCGGGGCACATCTCCGCGCGCCGCCGCTCCAGATAGACGCTCAGCCTCTCGGAGCTCTTGGCCACGGCACTGCCGCCGCCGTCGCCGGCCCCGCGAGCCGCAGCCATCCTGGCCGTGTACCCGGAGATAAACACAAGACGGAAAAGCACTTTTGAAAAGGATTGGGGTTGGCATGAAGGGCGCGCGGCGAGACCCAGCAATCGGACAGCATTAGCGCCGTCTACCGGACGCACCGCTACGCGTAGCGGGCGAGCGGGTTGCCTATGCTCGACTCCGCGGGCGCGCTGCGCGCTGCTCGGGGCTCGGCTGCAAAGGTGACCGCGCTCGGGCCAGATTTCGCTGGGTGCATCGTTTTACAGTGCCCTGCGGCCCATCCTTGCATGCTTCGCGAGGGTGCGTTGGTACCTCTGGGCTGTGTAGGGCGCCTCGCGGCCCGTCCTCGTCTAGGTGGCTCTTGTCCCAGGCGGGGGCGTCGAGGAGTGGCGGCCGGGTGCCGAGTGAGTGCGCTTGCCGCCCCGCCCCGCCCCGCCCCGCCCCGCCCCGCCCCGCCCCGCCCCGCCCCGCCCGAGCCAACTTCCGCTCAAACGCAACGTGCATCTTTGATGGCACCGCGGAGGTGCTGCACCCACACACGCACTGGCTGACACGCGACCCTCCCCCCTTCTCTGCCGGTTCTCGCCGGCCCAGAGTCCGCGACGGAGTCTGGCAGGCAGTCTGGCAGGCAGTCTGCACCCGGACGCCTCGCACGGAGCCACAGCCTCACCACCACCAAGCCCAGCGCGCCCGGCAAGCCCGCAGGTTGACTGGACTTGTTTCTTGTGTTGCAGTGTTGTCCCCTGTTTTCTGCTGCTGACGATCGTCAGGGTTCCTCGAGGAACCTTCTAATTGTTCTTGTTTCTGTTTTTCGCTGGGGTGGATGAAAAACGACTCGTTTTAGCGATTCCGTGTTTTGTATTTCAGCTGCTTTTGGCCGATGGATTTTCAGTCTTCGAAGGTCGTTTTAAGTGTCCTCTGTGTTGGTTGGGGGTTGCCTGGAAACGCCTGGGAGATCCCAAGAGACTCGAGATGCACTCACACCCACTCCTCACAGCCTCACACCCGAGACCGCGCAGTGATCTTGTTCGGGTCCCAATGCGAGAGATTGGCCAAGGTGATGGGCACTTGGATGGAGAGGTACGTCGCCACGGTGTTGATCATCTGCATCACATACGATTTGGGCCACGGCCTCATTAAAAACAGCAACAACAATAAAACACGCACAAAACAACAAAACGAAACTCAAACAAACGAAAACAACAATAAAACTAGTGGAGCGCCGACCGTGGTGATGAGGCCCGAGTTGATGTCGAACAAGCCGCACACGGACACGGCGAAGCGGTCCCGGCTGGCGGCGAGCTGCAGCGCCAACTCCGCCAGGTCGCTCACCTGGAGGGGCAGACAGACGGGAGCAGTTGCGTGTTACGGGAGCGTGTGACCCCACCAATGGATTTGCTCTCCGAACGAGGAATCCATTGGTGGGGTCACACGTTCAATTCGAGTTCCATTTAGCGATTCTGGAGTTCAAAACCCGTCTGGGAATTTGACCGCCTCCACTAGTTTCTAGCCTGGGAACCCCACACGGCAGGTACACGTCTTTGGACCTAGGTAGATAGACCACCAGAGTGCTTCAACGCGGCTGGTCTACCTCTTGGTCACCGAGAGCGCCCACGGCATCCTCCTTGTTCAGAATGCCGTGCACCGTCACTGCCGTGCGCTCGGCCTGCAAAAGCAAGGCTTTAGGGCACACATTACAGGACGCGAAATAACAATTTTTGAAATTCAGTCAACGGGGAAAAGGGAAGGATTCTCTACCTGGCGTCGCAGCGCGTCGCAGGTCCTGGCCGCGTGCAGCAGCACGGCGAACATGGCGCCGATCCTGCAGGCCCCCAAGGAGGGCCTGATGGCGGCGTGGTGGCCGTACAGCCCCTTGAGCATGCCCGCCACGTTCCAGGAGGCCTCGCCCCACAGCGCCACGAACACCATGGCCAGGGCGGGCAGCAGCACGCCGCCCCACGCCGCGCCCAGCCCCTCGGCCGCCGCCACCAGCCGCACGTGCAGGGCCTGCGCAGCCTGCGCGAGGCCGAGGTTCGAGTCCGGCCGGGTTTTCGCTTTTCCCCGGAGCCACAGTGCACCCCTTTTCCAGGAGTCGCCGTTCTTGCCCCCGGCTTTTCTTACTCACCTGCAGCGGAGTGACGGGGTGCGTGCGGACCGCGCCGCTGCCTGCAACCGGAACTGCGTTACTTATACTGTAGTGTCGAAATGTTCTTTTCGTGTTTATCCGTTCGGCCCTCGGGCTGCTGGGTGTCCTCGGCCGAAGCCGCTCCTTGCTCACGAGCGTTCTCTGTCTGTGTCTGTCTGACCTGAGGGCGGCCGGCGCGCCAGCCACGCCAGCTGGCGGTTCACGTCGGCCAGGGCGTCCACCAGGAGCCGGACCTTGGCGGCGAACAGCACGAGGACGAGCTTGACGAGGGCCTGCGTGAGCTGGATGGTGAGGACCAGGACGGGCGAGTAGAAGCGGAAGCCGGACCACCAGTCCCAGGCCAGCAGGCCGCCGTCCGTCGCCACGAGCACGGCCATCTGGAGGGAGAGCGAGGCCGTCACCTCCCCGCACCTCGCGGACAACTCCAGGACTCTACCGGTCAGTTATCTTGCAGCGCCTGACCGCCAGCGTCGTCCGGGTGGCCCTGGGGGGCTTGGGCCGCGCGCGGGGCAGGCGGCCGCACTCGTCCGCCACGGCCAGCAGCTCGTCCAGGACGTCGGCGACCACGTGCCGGCGCACCACCAGCATCGCCAGTGACCAGGTACACAGGGCGCGCATCACCGTCACCATCGCGAAGGACACGAGCTCCAGGTGGAGCCTCTGCGGCAGGGCAACGCACTCTGTGGTGTCCGCAGGGAAGTCCCTGGAGTAGTGCAGCCGCACCGACGGCGTAAGCTTACCCACTGGCGCACCAGCATGTCGAGGGACACCGCGCTCAGGCCCATGACGACCAGCACGCTCCACGCCAGCCCCGGCATGCCGCTCGCCTGCCTCAGAGGGGCGATGCCGAACAACCTGTGTGCGTGGCAGCCACAGAATGAAAACCGGCACAAGCGGGATTCGAACCCACGACCCCTAGACTGAACAGCACCACACCTGCAGACGAATAGTATCGGCAGCAAGGCGGTCAGGGCCGTGGGCGAGGGCTTGGTGTCGGGGGCCATGTCTCGACAGTCTGTCCCGCGGGAACAGGTGTGGTCGAGTCGTCCTCACCCACAATTGCGACGCACAAAAAAAAAACAAACAAAAACACGAAAAAGGCATTGTGTACACGGGGGCGTGTCCACGCGAAGCGGCTAACGTATTGACCTTTCGGTCAATAGGGGCTACCAAAACACCGAGAGGAAACTGTGGAAAAAAAGTTCTTTACTTTGCCAATGTTTTTAGGGATAGGCTGGAGTTGCCTTAAAGAGGGAGTTAATTACAGCAGTGGTCTCATTATTACACATATTGTGTAGGGCTTTTAATTACAACCTTATTTACAGCTTTATTTGTACAGACATATACATAAAAAAGTATAAAATTTATCTACGATAACGGTAACGTTTGAAATGGAACCACAGTTGAAAAATATTATTGTGAAACTGGCATCGGAAACCACGTTTGTAAGAGTACTCCCACTCTCTGTTAACAATCTTAAAAGCAATATCTTCATAAGGTGGACCAGCATGGAAACGCAGAAGAGCAAAATCTTTGTTTTCAGGACAGGGGGTCTGAAATACAAACAAAACCAAAAGTTAATAAAAAATTAAGTCAGAATTTAGGAACTGGACAGTTTAAAGTGAAGTAAAAACTGGAATACTTACAAGAAAGTACTCAGGTGTAGCACTCTTCTCAATGAGATCAGGATAAAATATGTTGAATTTGTACCCCTGAACAATTTTAGGTGGAGGATTGTCCATGTCATAATGAGTCTGGTTGTATTTATTCCATTCAAATCCAGTATGCACTCTGAAATGAAAGCATAAAAACTCACAGATCAGAAAAAGCTTCTTCACTAGTCAAACATTGAGTCACTATTAGATTTAACAAGAACATACCTGTTGAAGTAACGGGGTTTGCGTGGACGATATTTATCAGACCAGAGATAAACTTGAGTGTCCAGAGTAGTTTCCACAGAAAACTCAGCCTCATCACCAGCCATTCCTTTACGAGCTTCTCGTTGTAATGCTTTCTCCTCTTCAGTGATAACATTCTGAAATTTGTTTAGAAATGATATTAGGACAGACTGCAAACTAATAATTCAAGAAACAGATAGGAAAATAAATACCTCAACACGATGGCCAGCTCCCCTAGTGATTTGGATGCGAGCAAACTCAAGACGATGGTCATCATCTTCCTCCGATATGACAAAGGTTCCTGGCTCAAGATCAGTTGGTTGAAGGTAACGAGGAGAGTATCCCCCAGAGTCATAATCAGCAAAGCTTTCTTTCAGTAAGTCATTGGCTGCATTATCAGACCTGAAAAACAGTAAAGCAGCGATGAATTAAAATTATAAATGATAAAGCTTCAAACATATTTTGCATTTGGGTCGTTATGAAAACTAAAACCTACTCTTCATTGTCTTCTTCTTCTTCGTTTTCTTCAGCACCGCTTTCTGGTTCATCCTCCTCGTCCTCCTGCTTTGCAACTGCTCCTGAGGATGTTGAGGGCTGATTTTCTCCGTCCCTATCTTCAGCCACACCCTGCTCTGCCTTCAATACCTGCAATTTCTTGCGCAGATTTTCTTGGTGTCGATCTCGCAAACGAGCTCTTGCCATATGGGCTGAAAAAGGAAAGGCAAATTTATGAGTTTGATAGAGACAACAATGCTACAAAAGCATATAAATTTTTTTAAAACTGGCATACCTTTTAGCTGACTCAGGAGACTTTCCCAGTACCCAATATCAAGACCTTCAACTTTATTTTTAATTTTGCTTTCAATTTTCGTTTGAAGTTCTTCTAGTTGTCCAGCAGTCTTGCCTTTGAAAACTGTGGCTACATCTTTAGCTACAGCCTGATGAATACCCTCTCGGCGACCAACAGCTGAAATGCCAAAAACGTTAGTGAGTTTGTAACATGATAAATTCATAAATGTTCAATCTAATGAATACTTACCTGAGTCATACTCAGTCTGTTTCTGCAACTTGCGCAACTTGTGAAGCTCATCCTCCACAATCACAGTAATGTCGTGCCAGTAGTCAAGATTCTTCCCACGCTCAAGCTCTTTGTAAACCTTAATATCTTCAATCAAATCTTCCAAATCCTGTGTAGCGAGGCCATTTAGATAGGTATAAGGCTCATGCATTTCCACAGCATCTACATCTTCCTCTGAACTTATGTACTTTGCCAACAAGTCAATAGGCTTAGCTCTGCCATCCTGCATTCGGATACAAGAGCGTAATCTGGCTTGTTCCAGATGGAACTGGTCTTCTTGACGCTCCCACTCCTGAAACTGAGCAGCTTCCTTGTTGCGCTGAAGGAGGGCCATTTCTTCTTCTCGCTGTTGCCTCTCCAGCTCTCTTTCTTGACGACGCTTTTTCACTTTTTCTAATTCACGTTTATTATCTTCCTGTTTTTGTCGGTTCCGTACCTCCAACTCTTCTCTGCTTAATCCAGTAAGACCTTCTCTATCTAATTTCTTACCCCAAACAAAAGTTGATAATAAGTTTCCATCACCAAACGGATTGTCCGTATTTGTATAATGCATGTAGTCAGTATCCCAACCCATTCTTTCCTTGCGTTTGCGTTCCTTGGCTTCTTTCTTAAGAAGTCTTCGTAACCTTTTTTCTTCAGGTGTCTCAGTAGCTTTCATCTTCTCCTTTTCTTTAAGCTTCAGCTCAACTTGCTTTTGTCTCTCTTCATGCAAACGTTTCATTAGTTTTGTTGAATCAGCGGATGATGCTGAGGTTGCTGATGAAGAACTACTGGAAGATTCTGACCGAGACCTTATCATGAAAGAAGAAAAAACAGATCAGTACAAGGGAAATCACAAAGAATTTTTATAAAAAAAATTATATGATACATACCTTTTAGACTTTTTCTTTTTACTCTTAGATCTTTTGGGGGAGTTGTCAGAACTATCAGATCTATACTTAGATTTCTTACTCTGGCGTTTGCTTTCTTTCCTGTCAAAGTCTGGCTTTGTTGACCTTCCCTTGTGATGGTCTCTTTCTACACTTCTCGATCGGCTTCTGCCATGATCCCTTGATTTTGGCCTGAAGCGCTCACTGCTGCGACTGCGGTCTCTGCTTCGTTGTCTATTCCTCTGCCTGACCGGGCTGTCGTGTCTTCTGCCTCTTCCACTTTCCAGGTCACCACTTCGTGACTTTTGCCTGTCATACCTATCATCTCTCCTGTCGTCTCTTCTCCCACTGTGTTTACGATCATACTTGGAAGACATCCTGAAACAATGATAGCAAGCTTCAAAAATTACAAAAAAAATCATAGATGTTTAACCAACATATTAAGTAAATATTAAAATTTTTACAAGGAAAACAAGAAGGGGACGGTTGAAAGTTAAGAGAACCTAACCTGTTTGTTGAGAGACAAGCTAGTCAAAAGGAGTTATGCTTCGAACTTACCTATAACAACAGGCAATAAAATCTGCGCAACTAAATAGTGATTGATGTCTTCGAAGAAATCCCTTCGGCACAGTACACAATGTGAGTAATTCCCGTAGTTTGACTGTTGTTCGTTCAGGAACGAAAACGAAACGCTCCTCCACTATTTGCACGATGGTTATTCGCAGTCCACACTCGGCACGCAAGTCGCACAACCTAACCTGCACGAAGCACTGAAGGCGATTATGTTGTTGTTATGCTGTGTTTCGCCTTGTACTCTTTGACATTTGTGGATCTGTGTTGAATCAAAGTGGATGTGTCGTGCTCAAAGATTCATGCTGTCATTCTTATCGAAACTAAGTTGTTACAAGCTGAAGTCACTTCTGTCGCGAAACTAGATGTTAGTATTGTTTGGGTAAACATTGAATGGTCCCAATTTTCTCCTTCTTTCCTAAAGCGTATTACATGTTAGCTATCCTTTTAAGCGACAGTAATTTTAATAGCAACGTTGCACTTATGTTCATTGTATTCTGACAAAGACTTTTTCTATGGGAGTCCTAACCCCTGTAAACCTCTTTTAAAAAGTGTTGATTTGTTATGTCAGTGATACCATTCTTTAATACTCAAAAGCATATTTATTAGACAGAATAAATATTTCTAAGTACATTAATGCATCTGTTTCAGATTTTTCAGTTCCTGTCAGAAATCTGACTTATTGCCACCACAATGTCTTCATCCGAAGATGTTCTTTTACAAGTGAATGAAGTGAGATACAAAAAAGGCGATGGTACCCTCTATGCTATGAATGAAAGGTTGGCATGGATATTAGAAGGAAAAGACACTGTATCAGTGAGCCACAAATATGCTGATATCAAAAGTAAATGATCAATCACTCATTACATAATTCACACAATCACCGATGGTTTTTCTTAATTTTTCTCTTTTGTTTACAGCTCAAAAGATATCTCCCGCTGGCAAACCCAAAATACAACTTCAAGTAGTTTTGAATGATGGAACAAGTTCTACATTCCACTTTGTGAACAAATTAGGCCCTGAGGCTCAAATTAAAGATAGAGATGTGGTCAAAGAGTTGTTACAGCAACAGTTACCACGATACCAAGCTCCTGCTCGGCCCATCAACAAAGAACTGGAAGAGAAGAATAGGTGAGGGGTTCACATGCAATTTATGTGAAGGGTGTCTCAAATTGAATTTGGTGACTTCAACCCCTCCTCATTTTTTTTTGCAGGTTGCTTTGTCAAAATCCGTCACTGCTTCAATTGTATAAAGATTTAGTGATCACTCAAGTTATAACTGCTGATGAGTTTTGGATAAAACATGCATCAAAGTTTATGCAGAAACAAAAGGCTCAGGCTCAAGAAATTGGTGTCTCTGGTGCTTTTCTGGTAAAAAAAATATGGTAAAACCTAAACCTTTCATAAGCTTCATAGAGCATAATCTAATGGGATCTTTTCACAGGCTGACATCAAACCACAAACAGACGGTTGCAATGGTCTGAAGTATAATTTAACACCTGACATAATTGAATCTATTTTCAAAACTTATCCAGCTGTAAAAACTAAGTATATGGAACATGTTCCCATTAAATTAAGTGAGACTGATTTTTGGACCAAGTTCTTTCAATCTCACTATTTTCATAGAGATCGCATACATGCTGGTATTAAAGACCTTTTTACTGAGTGTGCCAAATTAGATGATCAAGGTACTTTTTGGAGGCAAAGTCTGTCTGATGATGTTTTGAGTTTATAATAATATGTGAGCCTGAGGTAATTTACCCCGTTTCACTTATAGAATTAAAACAAGATATAAACTCTGGAATTAGTGACCCACTAGTGGATATTACAAGTTTTGAAGATACGTCACTAGCAGAAGGGTATGGAATCACTCCTGATAAACCAACATCTTCTGCTGGTAATATTGTCCATCAGAGTATGATCAAAAGGTGAGGCAAGCCACCAGCTATATTACAGGCTGTGTACTGATACTGATAGTCCTCATGTAATTTTTTTCATTGACCAAATTTGTTTTAGATTCAATCAGCACTCCATTATGGTCCTCAAGGCTTGCCAGGAAAAGGATGCAGCTCAGACCAATGGCACTGCACCTGAGAGTAAACAATCAAACGGCGCTGGAAGCTCAGATTCTTCTCTCAAACCACCAGAAGAAAAAAGAGTATGTAGTTAGATGGGCTTATGGGCTTCACTAATTTTGGAATAAATAATCTTAAATTATGTATTTGTCCTGCTTTTGTAGTCACGGCTACAGGAGAAAATAACTTATGAAGATCTGGATATGGTGTCAACTACACAAACTGCTCCTCCCTTAAGATTGAATCTTGGAAAGGTAAACCTAGTTTCATTACCCGTCTTTTATTTAAAGGAAGAAACTGCTCTGAGGCATCTTAATCTTTGCATTTTAGGTAGAGGGTTACTTGCAAGGATCAGCTCCTCAAGCGGGTTATACTTCAGAATCACACGGTGGCTCGTTGGCCAACCCAGAAGAATTTAGAAGAGAACTGACAGCATGGTGCTCCAGCCATGCTGGTCAAAGTTCTTTGGTCAGACCTGCTGCCGCTGTAAGCGCTTTAGGTGAACTCACTCCAGGAGGAGAGCTAATGAAAGGCTTCATTGCAGAATCTCAAGCACGTGAGTAGATCCTCCTTCTTTCGTTCGTAAAAGAAAATTTCTATGCAAATTTCTTACTTAAACCTACAAAGCACACTTCTAATGGGTTTGCTCGGCTCAATATGTTTTAGAGCTTGTGCCACCTGACCTTCAACTAGAACTGCGAAATCTGTATATTAGTATATGTGAGTTACTGAGGCACTTTTATGCCTGCTTCCCTCCAACTACTCCTCAACTTGAAGAGAAGGTGGTGAAGATGTACGAAGCAATTGATCGATTTCATGCTACCAGATTAACTCCTTTTGAGGTTTGTTTTGCATGATAAGCGCTTGGCATTTTCTTTTTAATCGAGTCCTTTCACACTACTTATCTTATGTTGTTTGTTTTTTATTAGGACCGGGTTAGAGCTGAATTTTCACCAATAAGACATCATCTTACTAGTCACCTTCATCAACTAATAGCAGCTGCTTATAGAAAATTCAACACCTGGAAAATGCGTCAAAAGCATTTCAGGTGAAAACAAATGTGTTTCTTGTGTGTTTGTTTTCAATTTTCAAACAACAGGATACAGGAGCAGGTCTCCTGTTATCTTGTTGGCATATCCAAATGTCATCCTCAGACAAGAAGGCAAAAATAAAAGAATCATTTGAAAACCATTTCCTTGCTAAGCAGTCCAATATTTCCTTCAAACTGTGAAGTTTCATTAGACCCAGATCCATTACTGTTTTGGGAGTATATTGTTCTGGTATAAATAAAAGAGCAGTATGAGATACAATGGAAAATTAATATATAAATCTTAAGCTCTAGATTACAAAACCATTTATGAACATCTTGGTTGGTTCCAAATACAAACAAAATTTCCAAACAGAAAAAAAAAACTGTCTTTGGTTGTTACAAAAAATATTAAAAGTCATCTAGGTGCACTTTAAGAACTATGCAAATAGTTACCTATCTTGTTTAATCTTGGGAATAAACTAGGGAGAGACGCAGCTTGAGAAGCAAGAAATGTTGTTGGTGAGTAACTGCACTTGCATTTGAGTTGAGGTAGATATGAAGTTTAAGATATTTCAAGCATGATTTGGAACGGAAACCCTGACATTGCAATGTGATATTCCAAAGTGCACAACAACCCTAAACCTAATGCTACAAGATGTGAGTTACACTGCATTCATTTACAGCTTAGTCGCTCTTAGAACTTGCATAAGAAGATTATACTTTTCAACTGCCTTCTAAAGAGCAATACATGCTTTAAAAAATTTACCTTACTAAAATACTTGCATGCAGTTCATGAAAATATTTGGCAATGTGACACTTTAAACAGCAGAACATTTCCCTAAATTTCATAAGAGTCATTTCTACTAACCTTCTGATAGAAATACAAAACAAGGAGAGAAACAACAAGAAAAAATTAAAACATTTGAGGCAGATGGAGGAAGAGGAAAGCTATCAAGATTTGAAGGAAAAAATACACAGACTTAAAACAAAGGGTCAATTAATGTAAAGTAAAACACATATCACAATATAAAAACACAGACATTTGAATATAACTAAAAAAAAATGTAAGAAAATGTTACTCATGATGAAAGGACAGGAAGATGCCATATGCCTCTATACCAAAGCTACTGTAGAGGAAAGTGGTGTTACCCCCTGACAGTAATGCCATTACAAAGGTCTTCAGGACAAGCCTTGAGATCTTCTGCTTACAGCTTTCTCTATCAAGCACCAGCATAAAAGACCTCAGTGGATGAGTAAGTAGATCCTTCACATTACATGGCATATTTCTGAATTGTCTTTGACAAAAGACAAATAAAGAGAGGGCCTTAAATATTTGTACAAACAGTAATTATCACATTATTTCACAGACAGACAGGACAAGGCCTGTAAGAAAACCTGCGAGAGATTCTACAGAAGCAATAGACAATGTCCTAAAACTATGTATTAGCCTACAATTAATTATTTCAAGTAGCTCAAACACAAGTATGTTTAAAAGTGGTTGGCAGATGTCAGTCAACTGTCAGGCCTTCTAAGTACATACATGATACCAATACCATAGATGTGTAAGAGACTCAAATTTCTTTATGTGCGTTTAAAATGCTCTCAAGGCTCCTGAGGCTTGAGATGCACTGCACACACTCAGAAAAAAATTAACCAAAAAGGAAATTTCTAATAACTGGGATAACAATAGATTATAGAAATATTCACGCTAATATCATCCATCATGTCAGATGCCTCTCATAGTTACTGTAGAACATAGACCTATAAAATAAGAGCCTTTAATATTGGATGTTCAAGAATATAAATTCCACACATTGCATGCACATACGGTATAACTTAATCACTATGTGCACAGACCCTCTTCCAAGAAACAGTCTCTTCGGCAGAAATGTATGACGAGGAAATCCCATAAAAGGAGTTTAGAAACAACCAAAACACAAAACTGTGCCCACAACATAGCTCCCACCTAAGGAAGGTGGGACAAAGTGATGTATTATGTGACTAGGGGAGTCAGAGTGGAACAAAGTGAACAATACAATTCCTGTTGAGCAGAAAAGGACGGATTCACATCAGTTAAATGTTCTTGGTGATCATACAGAATTAAATAATTCTTCAGTTTTTGATAAGGAGCCAGCTTAATAGACAAAGAAAGCAGTAACCAGAATGTTAAACCCATACTTTATCTTTTGCAGAAAAATAAAGCTCAAGCTACGTTTTCAGGCAACCAACGCCTAAGAACTGCTGCTCTTTCCTTTATAGTTAAAAAGTACATAGGGTAACAGCAAAATACAATAAAACACTGAAATTAACTCAATCATTATTATTTCAGTACATTAAATTCTCTTGCACAAAAATAATACAAACCTGAAGTAAATATTCCTTACACTTGAGTAAAATACTTATACTAGACCACACACATTACATCATATCACACATTCCACAATGAAGATCACAGCAAGCTGCTATAGTCATAGTTTAGTAAACAGAGACACTATATAATTTCAGGCTTATTGCTCCTCCCAAACTGTAGCTTTTTTTTTAGTGAATTAAATACTGACTTTCTAACAATCTCATAAATGTCATGGAAGGAATCAAAACATTCTACAAAGAGTACATACAATAGTAAGCCTTCATTTGCGACCTTCAACTTATAGCGACAGCAGTAACGGATTAAGACTAGACTTTAAGTTTACAATTGCTCAGTTTGCACAATTCATAAGGAATGAAATCAACATCATTGACACTTAGGCCAACATTTTACCACACACTTGTTAATTCTATGCCAGTCAGAAATATATTTCTAATAAAATTTTGTGTCATATATAGAATGTACAGAGCATGAAAAATACACAATTACAGTATTGTATAACTTACATATTAGTACGCTGATATCCTGAAGTAATGGGACCAACTTCCAAGCTCTGACAGCTGTCAATGCTGTAGCCAGTTATGGAATCAGGGCTTTGCAGAGACGCAGCATATAGTGGGTTTATTGGTGTGTTTGCATCCAGCTGGGTGCTGTTATAAACGCTGTTATTCTGCAAGGTTGATGCACAAAAAGGATATCTCTTAGCCTTAGCACTGGATTGCATTAAAAGTGAGAACTAAGTTCTGAGTATGTGAGCTTTTACGACAAGTTACCTGGTAAATGTAATCTGAGTCAGTTTTTAAAGACGAGAAACTTTGTTGATGTGGTAAAGAAACTGTATCATCCTCCATATGATCATCAACTTGGGCTTTATATGAAAACATAATGCTCGGTTGAGAAACACTGAAATCAATGTGAGAAAAATTAGTAACATTAGTGTTTTGCTTTGCAGAGGTAAAAAACTCCAACAAGAGAAACTTACCCAAAAAATTCACTCAAGAATGCATAATAGACCAGAGGTGTCAATAAAGTGAAATATGCATAGGTTGTAACATCAACAATGCAAAGGCCGGTGTATAATTCGTATAATAACAATCCAGAACCTAAGGATTGTACAGCATTCAATGTGAACAATAGTAATATATATGTGTAAAAAGAACGTTTAGCTGTAAGAATAAAAAAATAAATCAGGATCATCATTGAACTACTGAGGACTGCAACTGTTGTGGTGTGTGGTACACAGATTACGTACTGGGCAAAGCTAATCGGTCTCGGAGTCTGGTCCAAGGCAAAACAAGGATGCAAAGATAAATCTGTTTTAAACAGAAGAAAGAGAGAGAATTACATGAAACAATAACTCAACACTTAAAAACACAAAACAAAGCTTCAACTTACAACTGCAAACACAATTGAGCTGGCAAACCAAAACAGCATTCCTCCATGGCCAAAAAGATTGTAATCTTTAGAATCAACATGAAAATGTTCATCTGGTGACATCATTTCGAGAACAGCCTGGGATATAGAAAATCCAAGCGAAATGAGAGATGTAACGAGGAGGACATGCCGAATGCTACTCCTGCTGTCAAGATGACCTGCAATGTTAATGATAATAAAGAAAACATAATGGATACTTTTCAAAGGAAGCACCAACAAGGAAAAAGATAGTAAAATATACCAACCAAAGGCTAAGCCAAATACCACAACACTCATTTCAGTGGCAAGGAGAAAAAATCGAACAGAGATCCAGAGAATCTTGTCAGCAAATTCTCCACTAACAGTAGCAGCATTAACAGTCATCGAAACACAGCATCTTACAACACTTATAATTATGTTTGCAATGACCTAGAAAATGGACAAACAAAGCACAACAATACAGGTGATCAGTACACATACCTCAAAGCCCCTTTAATCTTTTAGACAAATACTTACAAGGCCATAGAAAGTTAAAAAAATGGGACTGGACGTGGCTCGTAGTTTCAGAATGGCTCTATTGAAACGAAGACCGAGAAACACAAGGAAGAGGATATTGGGTATCAATATTGCAAGATCCCAAATACGAACTCTGGCATGAAACATAAGACAGTTAGTACATAAGGTTTAGGTAAAGACAAAGAGTGTCAAGTAGTCCTATATGAGCCTTACCTCGAACTGGATATTTCCTCATAAAGAATACGTTTACAGAATGGATCAAGATTGCTCGTTTCCCGAATGGAAACGGATTGCGACTGGCTCTCAGCCATCTTCACTCCAGATCAGCCTGCAACATTGCCATAGGAAAAATATATCAAAGAAATAAAGAAACCAAGAATCAAGGAAAAAGAAAGATGAGAAACAGAACTTATGTTATTGTTTTAGTTGGTTAACATGAATTAGCATATTGGAGTTTCACTCTTTTGACAAGCAGTGTGTTCAGCTTCCATGACTAAGTCAAATGAGAGGCATTATGAGTACAAATGCTAGAGACCATACTAATAAACAGGAGGTCGCACAATACAAAGAGTCATGTTTAGTAAAAGAAAGAAAGTGACTGCACCTAAAACGTCGTCTGCTTCTTAATTCTGTCCGAGGATAACGTTACTGTACCTTTGAAAGAGTGAAATTTCTAAATACGACACTGCAAATATCATAAAGCAGCGACCATTTCATTGTTGTGAACTCTTCAAATTGTAAATCCAGGGTCCATCTGTCAGATACCAGGGAAAAAAAGGCAAAAGACAACGAACGAAAAATATACAATGGCTAGCTTTCGAACGGCCACCCAGATCCTTGGCCTTCCCCCTCCTTCCGCCCCCTCCACCCCTGCCACCCTTTCGGGACTAATTTCTCCCTTCATGAAATGATTCAAGTGTTTACACAGGTCGAAGACGTTCTCTCAACAACTTCTCTTCTTCCACAGTACCCTTTCACTCACGTCAACATTTACTATCGGCAAAGAGAGATATTTTTCTGGTCTCGCTCCAAAGTCCAAACAAAAGAAGAAGAAGGAAAATTACGTGCCTGGCAGCTGTCAGTTTCAAAGGCTTCGCAGTTCTGCTAGTACGCCATTTTGGATGGGCTGTTAATGGACTTGTTCGAGTCTATATTTTTATAGCAGCTTGTACGTTTGCAGCTGATTTAGTGATGTTTTGAGTGTATCAATAGGCCGTAGCCTTTGTTCAACCCGTGGTTTTGCTCAGGTGATTCTCGGCGGTACCGCTCGGCGATTTTGCAGTGTGCTGGGTCGGGTCGAGTTCCTGGCGGCTGGCGAGACCTTGTCCTGGTCCTGGTTCGAAGGGACTTTTTAAACTTGCCAAATGGATACCTTACGTTCAATGAGGCCCTCCGCACACGCCTTGGCCCTTTTAATAGTGCTGGGATGCTTCCTGAAACTAAGTGCTGCAGGTGAGTCAACAAATGACTAATGAATGGTGCTCATGTCAAAGTCCTGTGAGACCCCTTCGGGTACAGTGTAAAAATAGTTTCTAAGGGATCTTCCGATCAAGTGGCAACATTTTTTCCTCTTGCTAATTATTTAAATTGCGATTTTCCGAACTCGTTGTACGAGAAAATGGTGCGCGTCAATCTCTTGGCCTAGTAGCATGACACTCCCAGCAAATCAATAAATTCAATTGGCCATTAGTAAGACAACCTAACCCTGGTGTTCAGAACCTGTCAGTGGGTTGCTTGGAGGACCTTCTTCGTCTGTCCTGTTTGATGAGATGCTGGATCTTTGGCTTTTCGAGAAAGTTCATGTCTCATTACTTAGATGTTTACTGTGATCAGTGTTGCATTTTTATGTGCTGCCTTGCCTTGAGCTTCCAATTTGGTGTTGCCTAGTTATTGAGTGATCTGTGGCTTATGTGTTCCTGTGCCATCTGTACATTTTTCAGCCTTTAATTGTTTTTTTCCCCTTTTCTTGATCACATTTGGACCTGAAGTTTTTGCCGTCACAAAGAATGGTCTCTGTCGTGTTTTGGTTTGGTTAGCATGTCAACAGATTCATTCTTTAGATTCAATTCATTTCTTTTCCTAGACCTCTTGTTAATTTTTATTTCAAGTTTGGTTTGCTTTCTTTTAAGAGACGACACATTCAGTTGGTCCAAGTTCCTTTGGACCTTGAAAGGGTATGTGTTCCATTCATCCCCCTGTGCAGCATCCACCCTGTCTGGCGCAGGTGGATTTTTGCTCAGCTGTCTGGTGACTGTAGGCGTTGTGCTTCCTTGTTGCTTTTTACTTTGGTTTAGCGGCCGTGTACATGTGTTGATAAGGACCTCACTGTTGCTGTTTGTGGTGGTGGTGGAGAGGGGGGGGGGGTGTCTGTGCGCCCGACTGGCTGTCTGAAAGTCCCTCCCAAGTTCGGCATTGCCTTCCTTTGAGCACCCCGTCTGGGCCGTTCCGTCTCTCTCGCTCCGCACGGCACACCCACGAGTGCGACAGGGACGGAGACGGGCCGTGGTAGGCCGTGGGGCTCGGGGCTGCAGCCGCTGCAGCACCCCCCCCCCCCCCCCCGTGGTTCAGCCCGTCTCAGCAGGTACTCCCCACCCCGCCCCGCCTTGGGCTTATCTCGGAAGCCTTTGCCTTATCGCCGCCGAGTGTTTGTCTGTCTGCCTGTCCCGTTTTCGGAGGCGGCCTCCCTGCCTCCCTCCCCCTCCCTCTCTCGCACTCGCGGGGCGTGCCGTGGGGTCGTGAGGGAGTGAGGGAGACAGCGCTGTCTGGAATCGAGCTGCATCGGCCCCCGTGCTGCACCTAGCTGCACCCCACGGGGCCCCTCACTCGCAGCCCGGGGTGTCAGCGCTTCGTCGCTCTGTCTCTCTCGCACCCCACGGGACGCCCCGCGAGTGCGAGAGAGACGGAGCGACGACATGTGGAATCAGCCGGCCGGTTAACACGTGCATCACGGCGCCGTGCCTGGCGGCCTGGCGCTTGGTGTTCGGCCGTCCGAATGTGGGTCAGGCCGTCCCGTCCCGTCCCGTCCGGGGTTCTGCGCTGCGCCGCGCTGCGCCGGGGGAGAGGAGAGTGGAGTGGAGGCCTCCCGGGGCGCTACCCTCTACCCTCTCTCTGCCCGGGCCGCGCCGCACAGTGGGCCAGAAGACCGGTGGAGGCGGCCAAAACCCCGGGCGCGTTTTGAACTCCGGAGTCGCTAAAAAGGACTCGAACCGAACGTGTGACCCCACCAATGGGTTGCTCTCCGAACGAGGAATCTATTGGTGGGGTCACACGTTCGGTTCGAGTCCCATTTAGCGACTCTGGAGCTCAAAACGCATTTAGAGTTTTGGCCGGCGGCGCCGGTCCTCTGGCCCACTGTGTCGTTTCGCCGGCCTACGGCCCCACGACGGCGGTCATCCTCCCTCGGCCGGGCAGGCCGGGCGCTTCACTAGCTTCTGCTTCGCCGGGCTTCGCCGGCTTGGCGGCGGCCCGTCTGAGCGCCCGATCCAGTTCTTGCCAGAATAGCATCGCCGGGGTGGGGTCAGTCTTGGGTCCCCGCCGCCCCCACCCCACCCCGCGGCTCCGCCGGGCTCCGCGTTCATGGCGCTACCTCGTGACGCGACGCGGGGCGACGCTGCGAAGCGCCGCGAAGGCCGGGACAGCCGGGGCGGGCCGGACTGGGAGGGGGTTGCATCCCTGCCATCCCTACTCCGCTCCCTCTCGTCCATGGACTATATATATTGATCGGACTGCATGGGTCGGGAGCGCAGCGCGCGGCGCGCACCGCGGGGCGGAGGGGTAGTGCCATTGGTACCGCCTGGGCTGGGGCGCCGCCCGGGGCACCGCCCGGGGCACCGCCATGGGGCCGTCGTGGCGGTCAGCTCCATCGCCCTGCCTCCCTCGCACTCATGGCGCGGTGCGAAGGGGTGCGAGAGAGACAGCGACGGTCGGGGTGCAGGCGGTGCAGGCGAGGTGTGAGGTGCGTGCCCCGAGTCCCACCCGTTCCACCCTCCCTCCGGCATGGCTCTGGGCATGGCGGGCCGCGCTGGCAGTGTGCTGGCGGTGGCTCGGTTATTGATTGCCCGGGCGTGTCGCGGCCCAGCCTGGCCGGCCCGTCGCTCTGTCTCTCTCGCACCCTTACGCAGAGCCCCATGAGTGCGAGAGAGACAGCGATGAAACGACTCTCGGAGTCAGTCTGCTGGCCCGGGGCCTGGCCGGCGCGGCGCGGCGAGGCTCACCGCCCGCGAACTAATTCCGAGAGTCGTCGCTGTGTCTCCCTCGCACCTACACGGGACCCCCTATGCGTGCGAGAGAGACAGAGCGACAGCCGGTGGGAGGTGCGTAGCGGCGAGCCCCTGCGGTACCCTGCGGGACTGGGTCGCCTGGCGCCCGCCCAGTCCCCAGCTGTGTGACGCGGCGGCCGACTCCTCGCCGCTGTCTCTCTCGCACCCCCGCGGCACGCGGCACGCCCCCTGCGTGCGACAGAGACGGCGAGACGGAACAGTCTTTCGCACTGAATCGGCTGACGCTGACGCACTCGTAGCGTCATCACTGAGACAAGCTGCGTGGCGGTGGGACGCCTGCGAGGTAGGCCACCGGCCGGCCTCCACTCACCCCTGTGGGGACGGTGGCCTACCTCGCCCCTGTCGTCTTCAGGGGGCGAGGCGGGCCACCCGCTTGGCGCCCGTGTGCTGCTGGCCGACCGTCTGAAGGCGGCTGAAGGGCGCACGGCAGGGGCGCGTGCGCGTGCACTGCCAGGACGGCCACGTGTCGCCACGTGTTGCCGCCGGGCAGTCGGGGGAAGTCCGGCCCGTCCGGCCGGGGGGCAGTCAAGTGCCCGATGGCCGGCTTAAAGGCGGAGCGCCAAGCCCAAGGCGCGGCGCGTGGCGCTGGGGGATTACTGCTAATTTGGTTGTTGCGCCGCTATCTGCCCCGCCCTCGGCGCGTGGAGCGGAGGCACAGTGGGCCAGAAGACCGGTGGCGGCGGACAAAACTCTAGACGCGTTTTGAGCTCGAGAGTCGCTACATGGGACTCGATCCTAACGTGTGACCCCACCAATGGATTGCTCTGCGAACGAGGAATCCATTGGTGGGGTCACACGTTCGTTTCGGGTCCTGTTTAGCGACTCTGGAGCTCAAAACGCGTCTAGAGTTTTGTCCGCCTCCACCGGCCTTCTGGCCCACTGTGGGTGGGTGACCCAGAGGCGCTGAGCAGTCGCGGCCAGGCCCGGCCAGGCCTGGAGGGGATGCTCTTTGGATGGTTCTATTCGAGCGCGTCCGAGTAGACTGCGGTGTCTCTGAGACCGCTCTCCGCTGTGTTTGCCGTGGAGAGTGCATCGGCCACACTGCACACACTTACACTGCACGCCCGGCCATCTTCCGAGCAAACACGGCACCCTTTCCAGAGGGTCCCTAGGGACTCCGATGGGCTGGAGGGAAAGGCCCCTGGGTCTGGATCGTCGTCCAATCACACAAAGAGCCGCTTGGAGCGGCTAGGCCGGCGAGGTTGGCGCCTTGCTCGGCGTCGCGGCCAGGGAGCCAGTGGCGTAGGCAAGGGGCATGCTGCACTCCAGCTGGCTGCAGCTACGCCACCGTCCTTGACGATTCCCGATTGGGTGGTGCGAACCGGTAGAAACCAACGACGCGACAAGATTCCTCTAACGAGCGGCGCGCCGCTGCCCCTCTCTCTGTCTCTCTCGCTCGCTCGTGGGGCGTTCCGCAGGAGTGCGAGAAAGAAAGAGACACCGCGTTGTGCGGAATCGGTCTCTGTCTGGCTCAGTGTCACGGTCGTGACGATGTCCCAGCCACCGCCTGCGGCCTGAGGCAGCCAACGGTTGCGAAAGCTGATGCTTGTGTTGACTCGTGTCACCGGCCGTACCGGCTGCGCCATGGCAGCGCCGCCTGCGCGCAAGGCTGCCGGAAGCGCTCTTGCCCCGCGTCTTGCCCCTTCTCTCTCGCCCCCTACGGCCCTACGGGACGCCCCATGAGTGCGAGAGAGACGGAGACGGTCGGCAGGCTCGGCGACTCCGCGCTCCCACGTCACTTGAGCCCCAATTCAGCGCTTTCTATCGGCAACGCTGCCACTTGCGGCCACTGTACCCCATCCCATCCTTTAGCACAGCCTTCCTGCCGGCCCTGCCACTGACAGCCAGCCTTCGGGCCCTTCAGCCTTGTTGGCGGGGTCAATGAGATTGATTTGCCGCCCCAGTCTTCCCCAGTCTCTATTCCATCACATGTCTCAACTACCAGCCTGTGCTGACAACTGTCTGTAGACTGTCTGTGTGGCTCTGAAAGCCTGAAACGCGCGCCATTGACTCGTTCTGTCCCATGCAGGCCAGGAAGGGGACGGCCGGGACGGTCAGCCCGGCCAGCAGGTTGTCTATGAAGGAAACCAAATTGTTGTGGAGGGGGACCCGTTAACGATCACGTGCCACCTGACTGCCTTTGACCCGGTCAAGTGGCAACGGGACGAGCAGACCATCGTCCCCGACTCCCTGAATCAGTACGCGATGCAAGAGGAGAAGGTCAATGGCAAAATCGTTGCCAAGTTGTCGGTCCCACAAGCCCAACACTCCCATAGCGGCAGCTATCGCTGCACCTCGTTTTACAATCTGAGCCATCATGTATACGTGTTGAGCGGTAAGGCGGTTGACTAGTTAATCCCCGAGTGGTGTTGCTTATGACTCCTCCGGATCACCGCTCCGCTCACCGGTTGACACCACTAACTGGCTTGGTTGTGTATAATTCGTTTTAAAGAAACTCCGCACTTAGGCCTAAAAAAAAGATGTGTTTTTCTGGTTTGAAAAAGTAATTCGGAAGAAGTAGAAGTAGCAAATTTAATGGAGCTTCCTGGTATCGTTCAGCAAGCCAGTTTAGCCATGTGGGTTTGTTTGGACCACCTTCCAAAAAATGCTCATTTATCCCAATCAATTTTCTCAATTTTGGGAAGATGGATTAAATTATCCCACCTGATACCAATTGGCCTGTTTTGCAGTACTCATTGCTTCTTTGTACTTAATATTTGAGCCTAATGTTTATGCTTGTTAATTTGTGTTATTGCTTTCTTTTTGTGCAATTTGTATATTTCTGAAGTGGTTTTGTTTGCCCCTCTCCCAGTTGTACAGTCCCAATTTAGATAGGCTATGTCAGAACCCTGAACAACGTAAATTAGGGCTCTGATAACTCCTGTATCCTTTTTGCTCTGTGTATAAAAAATTATTTACCTGGTTTTCTTCTTTCTTTTTTTGCAGCAAACTCAGTAGTGGCTAATACTGACCATGAAAATTATAAGACTATGGAATATAATAAACAACTGGTCCTTCAGTGTAATGTCTCCAATGCGGAGTCTGCCAACCAGTTTGTTATGACATGGTAAGTTTCCTGTTAAAATTTTAAAAAAATGTACTTTTGTCATTTTGCTTTAGCAACCTTAAGGGCTACATGTGTTTATACTTTGCGTTATAGGCTGAAGGAAGGCAAGCCAGTTGTCCCAGATGATAAAATAAAGATCATTGAATCTGAGAACAAACTAGTAATTTCAAAGGCTTCTGAAGAGCACTATGGAAACTACACCTGTCAAGCTGTCAACAAGAAGACCAATGCCACTGAGAATGTCATGAAGAAGTCCATTCATGTGATAAGTACGCATAATTTTTCTAGATGAAAAAAAAAATTCCCACTTTTAGAGGGCCGATTTTGACTGACTTCTGTCTGATTGCAGTGGGGCCCGTGATTACGATGCCTTCGGACACACCTGTCGTTGAGGGCGAGCGCTTGAGGCTCCACTGCAGCGTCAAGGGCTACCCCACACCTCTTGTTGACTGGAGTGTTGGTGAGTATCCCTTTTTATAGGTCTCTTTTGTCTTAGTAAGGTTGTCCCAAATCTAATTTTCTGTTCCTTTTTTGAAGATGGAAAGGTGGTGAACATATCAGATAGCCGTATCAAGTTTGAAGATGACAGGGATGTCCGCAAGGCCTACCTCTTGATTGAGAATGTTCAAATGAGTGACAGGCACAGCTACAAATGCAAAGCATCGAACATCGCTAATCAAGACAACACAGGCGCTGAGGCTGCAACCTTTGTCCGAGTGAAAGGTAATTATTTACTGGTGAATGGTCTGAAATGAATGCTGGTTTCTTTGACAGGATGATAATTATATTTGTTCCTTATTTTCCAATGTACAGATAAGCTCGCTGCCCTTTGGCCTTTCTTGGGAATCTGTGCTGAAGTTGCCATTCTCTGCACCATCATCCTCATCTATGAAAAGAAGCGTAACAAGGCGGAGCTGGATGAGAGCGACACTGACCAGAGCCCCGAGCAGTAAGTATCTTCTTCAGTTTTCACTTTTCTAATCCTTCAAAGGATCAAGCAGAATCAAACCCCTTTCAAATGTCCCTCATCTTTTATTTTGGGCACAAATATGGTGGTCCCGAAAAAGATGAAAGCATTCTGGAAGTTATCATCCCATTGAAGCCAGAAACTAAGAACCTTACCCAGAGGCCCAAATCAAAGAGCGAGTCTCGACTCCCATCCAAACAGGTGCCACCCTCCCTTGTCAGATCTAGGAAAGCATTTGCTCCTAAGACATCCCTTACTGTCAGGTACCTTGTCCACCTGTGAGCCGTGCAAGCACCTTAGTTCACTTTAAAGCCAGTGAAAACCTAACATTTCCCCTGTTTGTGGCAACAGTGTTGGGATCCAGGCAATACCATCAATTTCAAGTCTGGGTCTTCAAACAGACTCTTGGCCCTTGGCTAGTTCTCGACCTTGCTCCTGCTCCCAACCAACTCCCATTTCTTCCATGTTTAACGAGTGAGCCTTTGTTGTGCTGTATTGTATGAAGTGCATGTTGCTGACTCCATGCTTTAATGTTAACAGGAAGAACACACCAGACCACGGCAAGGACGTGAGGCAAAGGAAGTAAATGAAGCCCGTGATTCACAGCAGTTGAAGAGCTGTCCAAGAATTTTAAAATGCCGGAGGAGAAACGAACATATGAAGTTAGACATTTATTTTACCAGGATGATTTTAAATCCCAACAGTAGACAGACAGAGGATGTGGAGCATGACGTTTTTTGTGATGTGTTGCTGTCTATTGTTCATGAAAAGGTTACCTAGTGCATTACATAGTGGTACTTCACAATATTCAAGGATGTTGTAAAATGTGAGGGACTTGGTTAGCCTTTTCAGTGGAGGTATAGCTTTGACTCAGTTGGTTCTAAGAAGTTATATTTTTTCAATGGTCACCATCAAAAGTTATTCATTTGTTGTTAATGCCATTTAACAAATGAACATTTTCATTTGCACAGGGATAATTGTATTATTGATCTTGACTGTAATACTGATACACATAATATCGCAAATTGTGTGGAGTACAATTTGTGAGCACATAGAAGTCTAGTACTTAGTAATTTTGCCTCATGCTACAACAACTAAAGCTGATTTCGTGATTTGTGTTACAATGAAACCATTAGTGGGAACAGGTTGTTTATTCTGTAACCATTCAGGGTCCCATTTTGCATTGGTTTCAACATCTTTTTTTAAACTGTTTTTCCAAACCTAAGTTCATACAGAGTTTTATTTATCGTTGTCATGCAGGCAGTGTCAATAATTAGTGTAGATAAGACCTTGCTTTTGTGATTTATTTTTTAATTAAAAACATGTTTGTATGTGATTTTACATTTGTTTCAGAATAGTGTATGGCTATTAAAGTTAAGCACTTTATTGTTATTCATGTTTCATACTTTTAAAGCATCCTATTTTGTTTGGCAAATTAACATTACTCATTAAAAGAAATTAAGAACATACGTAGCATTGCGTTTGCTAGCTGTTCAATCACTTCTCTTTTTTTCTTCTTTTTTTTCAGAGAGTATATATCTTATTGTAGTGTCACATCTAGTTGGAGTTATGAACATACTGTAAATAGACTATATTACTTGTATATAACTGTGAACCCTAATTCCTTCTCCTCTGTTCCTTCTTTCAACATTTCCACTTGATCTAGTGTGTTAAAGCATAGCACACAGACCTGTATCAGGTTGGTCTTGCTGGTGTGTTTGCGAGTTGTAGTCAAATAGTGATAAATTTTATCTGATTTCATCATCTTATTTATATGAACTAGTGGTATCTTGTTATGGGATTGGACTCTCATTGTTAAAATTTAGCTCTGAAGGTAATTTTCAGGAGCTATTTGTTGCATCTTTTGACTACGTTTTATCGGGTTCTCGTGCTTCCTTTTTCACCTAACATTATTTTCAGTGTCTTTACTGTGGAGTTAAAGTTTGGTCATTCTAAAAAGTAAAATATGTATTCTCCATAATAGCTAATAAAAATCATGTTCACCTTCTTTCACAATTTTGTTCAGTTTAGTCCTGAAGCTCTGTAGTGTACTTAATATGCATTTGCGCAGGTTCTTGAGATGCTTTTTTTAGGCTTAAGGTTTAATGTGAGAGTACTCGACACTGCTGAATGCAGCTACTTTAGCATTGATTACCACATTGATGGAGAGAACAAGCAGTTGAATGTTTGATATGAACAGTTGTCCTTTAATTGTATGAGAATCATTGATGCGCATTTGGTTTTCATAGCAGTAATTTATCAACTGCACTTTCTTAATATCTTTTGACATTCATCTGATATTGTTATATTTTTTACTATTTAAAATTTTACCTAAGTACTCAGCACTTGCCTTCATCAAATTGCTTGCAGGAATACCTAATACATTTTCCCCAACAGTGGTGGTTGGATACTGTGCTATTTTGGACTGTGTGTGGTGTTCTGGCATAGATTTTTTTTTGCTGAATCTTTCTGTGGGAAGCTAGTCTTTAGTTTCTAGTTGACAGTATCAATTTGTACATTCGTTTTTACACTCTCCACAAATTAATACCTTAAATAAAGACGCAATTTTTTTCATGTATGCATAGTTTTGACAGAAACCATTCTTTGTACACAACTCAATTATTTTAATTAGGAAGCGAATTTCTTTTACTCTCTAATATTATTGGCTTGTGATGTCTTACAATTCTGATTAGGTTCAACCCAGTTTTAATGGAATGCAAACATCCTAATTTTTACTTTACTGGTGTGGTAAGGAGCGTGTTGGAACTTGAACGATTTTTACTACAAGTGATGTAATCTTGAGCTTTGTTGACTCCATCAATCCCATACGCTCCTAAATTGTGACGGAATGGTTTGACTTAAAACAACACGGTTCAATTGCAAGTATAAGTCAAAGAATTGGGGATTGATGATGTTCATGTACAATGATTGTACAATGAAGCTTTGAGATCAGGAAATAGATTTTATTCTGATCAATTCAGCTCTTTTAACAGTCAAAATTATAATCTAGAAGCTCTCAAATCGAGTTTTTGTGATCCATACAAGAATTCTTGATACATATGTGTAATTCTTGTGTAACATTTCATGAGGTAGTTCCTGATCTCCTATATTACACTGCCTCTGTGATCATCAAAATTTATGTTGAATCATTGAATTGTGTTGTTAAAGTTCTGGGTGACTGAAATTTTAGCCTAGTTTAAGACAATGGCCAAGAGCTTTCCCTGCTCTTCTCTGTTGAATGTAACATACTTGGGTTCCTTGAATTATGAAAACTAGTAAGGTGTTTGTAATTCAAGGAATGGCAGCAGTTATTCACTCTGTTAATGGTTCAATAAAGTGTTACAAAGTAATTTGAGTCACTATTTTAATCTAATCAACATCTTGCATGATATTTGTCAAGGCCGACACACAAATTATGCACACACACACACCCCCTCCCCCACATAAAAAACAAGTTTTTCTTTTCCTTAAATTGTCTTATTTTGTGGGATATTATTTCTTTGAACAGTTGTAGCAGTTGCCCCCACACTCCTCCTCAATTTCAATAACCTTATTACCTTTAAGAGCTTTACGGTCCACTTTTTCTTTATCATTCGCCTTTGCCAAACTACCCCAAATTCTCAGTGTGTCGTTGATTATCTGTAGGCCCACCTTGGTTTTCACGGGGCAGATAAACTCACATTCACAAAGGTCATTAATTCGCTTTCTTTTTCGGAGTTCAGAACTTGACGGTTGACAACTGGAAAAAAAATCAAAAATAAAGAGTAGGCAAATCCAAAGACAACATGGGACAGGGGAGGAGGAATCTAGAATGAACTCAAGAAGCGCCCAGTGTGCGTTGTGCAGTCAAAATTATGAGCAGTAGTTGTTCACATATTGCCGCTCAAAATAAAAATTCTTTTATGTTCGCAATTATTCTATAGTAACTCACCCAGGAAGCTGTTGTTGTTCAGGTTTATATCCTTCAACGACATTCTTAAGAAAAATAACAGGTGTTGAAATCTTATTTGATTTAATCTTTTCGGGCAAAGGGTAAATATTGGAAGGACTGACATCACCATGTTTTAGAGCCAGCAGTCTAACAAACCTGCAATCAAATGGTAATCAACAATTCATAACACAACTTACAAATACAATTTTTAAAAAAGGAAAGAATAGGTAACTTCTACATACTCAGGAGAAATTGTTGGCACAGCGTCAATTGATAATGTACCGTCTGCATTCAAGAGGTTTGGTTGGAAGTGAGCGGAACATAAAATATTTCGAGATCTGCTCTTCTCCATAGACCCATTATGTTGAATGACAAACTGTTGCCATTTCGACCAAGCTGGATAATCACTCCTTGGAAATCTGGAAATAAAATAACAGGTGATAAGAGAAAATACTTCCCCTCCAGGTTTTGGAGAGAAGCAAGCAAAACTGACTTACGAATGAGGTCTCACTATGTTCCCACCAATTTTTTCCAAACCATAATGGTGATGGGGACAAGCCCGAAGCACACATTTACGGCGAACCATTTGGGACTTTATGAAACCAAACCAAATATAATCACCCAAACCCCAAACAGCAGAAGTCGAAGTCACAACAGCAGAAGCAGCCACCTGCGTTTCGTTTCGCGCGTTTTTCCGGAAACGTGTCGTAAGATTTCTCATCAAACGCTGCCTGTTGTTGTTGATGTTGTGTCTGTTGTGTGTTTGTTTTTGTTGGATTTTGTTGGTTAAGGAGGTTTGTGATTGAGATGCGTTGAATATCTCATTAGAGCTCATTGTTAATTTAGCAACATGGCAAATAATGATGGCAGAGACTCGTAAGTACCGCTGGTGATATTATTTTGAAGTTGAGGCTCAACATACGAAAACTTTACTTGATGTTCTACATCTGCAATTTAACCTTTGATTTATTGTTTATGTGTCTAAATATACACAAATTATTGGTAGATTTTTCTGTTAACGTAACTATAGTGTATTCAATTTATACAAAACTGTTTTTTGTCTTGTTGTGCTTGCTTAAAAAATATTTTCAATTTTTGTAACCGTTAGCTTCCTAATAACCCGATACTTTTCATTTCAGTCGTTGCAGTTTTTTCAAAAATTATGTAAAATTTACCTACCAATACCATTTACAACGCCTCATGTTTAGCCTTGTGTGATGTATTTCAGGTCTGGTGGGAGTAAAATTAGAGCAGCTCGGCTTTCTGCTCAACAGTTTGAAGTTTTGATTGAATTCATGCAAGAGCACCCACATTTTGCTGTTGGACGTGCCTCTGGTGGCTCCTATTCTAAGGAAGAACATGATATTCTATGGAAAACATTGTCCTCATCTCTCAATGAAACAGAAGGTCCTGTTAAGTCTGTCACCAAATGGCAAAAGGTATGATTGAGTACATGTTCAGCCTGCATACCCCTTTCTGAATTGTGTTTAGAGCTCAAGTGTAATTCTTATTTCAGTGCTGGGTGGATCTAAAATCAAATGCCCGAAGTCGTGCTGCCAAGTACCGGGCATTGTCACGTGATGGTCCATGTCCATGGTCCACCGGGTCCATGTTCACCCAGTGGGATGAGAGAGTTTTGCGATTACTCAATGATATTTCTGCCAATGGAAATGTTAGTATACATTAATGTTGTTGTTTCTGAAGACTTTCATTGTTGAACTTAAACAAATGTATGTTGACTTTCCCTTCTTTTTTGCTTTGTTTCAGAAATTTGTTCCAATTGTAGCCGACTCCCCTTTGCAGTTACTTGAAGTTGGTTTTTCTGAAAAACTTACCAATGGCTCAATCAGGACTCGCACTGCCAAATCAAATAAGCAAAAATTTCACCCAATCGCTCCCAAACCAAATGGCTATCATATCACTGAAAATGGAACTGAAACTGTGAGCCTAGTTTTGTATTTGCTCTTCTGATTAAGTTTGTGACCCAATATTTGGCTACTTTCTCTGTTGTTTTGGAAACCCTGCAGATGGAATCCACAAGCTCCCATGCTTACAACCTAATTGAGGATCTACCTGGAGCAGAAGAAGACATGGAGGAATTGATTGCTGAAGTGAAATCGGAAGGAGATGAAGAATGGATGGAACATAATGAAGGATGTGGAGAAGCTTACCACCCGGATTCAATATCTCCAACAAGTGGTAAATTGGACGCTCCAAATTCTTTCTACCAGTTATTAAATGTTTAATCACCTTGAACTTATCTTGCTTTTCCTTATATTACTGTCTCAGGTTCTCCAACAATAAATTATATCACCCCTCACATTTTGACCGAGCCAGACTGCCCTGCTGAGGAGGAGTTTTCCAGTAGAGCTGGATCTAAGAAAAGTGAGTTTAGTCATATTTTAACTATGATATTATATGTTCAAGAGTCTAGAACCACTCCAGCTGTTTCTTCTTTTAAATCAGGAAAACGAGATGATTTGCCAGCATCTTTCAATCTAGAAGATTCTTTGGAAAGAGTTTCCAAAGTAAGTTCCTTCTATCACATTCACATTGACCTCAACATCTATTTTGTTCCTATTCCTTTCTTAACTTTTTTCCATAATTTCACTCTTTTTTTTTTAAATTTTTCAGAAAATTTGTGGCACTCTTGATCGGATGGCAGCAGCAGCCGAGGAGGCGAATTCTATTCAACATGGAATGGTTACTGCTATGAATCGTCTTGCTTCATCATTTGAACAACTTCTACCTATTGTTGCCAAAGTTCTCTCCAATAATTTGAAAGCTGCAGGTTCATCTTGATGACTGGTGGGTTCTGCTTTGAGTAACAATTTCAAGGCTTCTTTTTCTGTGTTTAATTGGCCAAGAAATACTGTATCCTGTACTGCTCAAGATGTATGTGCCAATTGAATAACTGCAAGCTCCGATTTCCGCACTAGTCATCTGTCAAATTTTGAATGAAACTATAAAATCTTAAGCCTCTAAATTTTAGTGCAGAAATCCTTATTTTGTAGACACTTTGCTTCGCATCCTAGTGTACACACATCAAATTAACAAATTGATTAAAGTGGCAGCGCTATGGGGAGACTTCTTCTACAGGAGAGCCACCCTTACTCGTTTTTCCTTAGTTTTGTGTACCTTGGTTTATACCTGTTTATTTGAATTTACCGTAATCAGTACCTTGCTAGGGTATTAGAAAGTTATGCAGCTAAGTATTGTTTTTGTGTCGTATCATTCCCTTCGCATTCTGTTTCTGTATGCGAGTATTCTCTTCCAAAACTAATGATACTTCAGTTTTAGAAACAAGTCTGTGAATCTACTAGTCAATACTTAAATACTAGGTAGTCTTGTAAATCGATTGTGAACTTTTTTCCTCATACTGCTCAATTAAAGTAGCATGCAACATTGAACAGATTGCTAATGTTTGTAGGCAAAATCGTGCTGTGTAAAAGTTTGTCTGATCTCCTTAATTTATGTGATAGCTATTTCAAGCAATATTTATCTGTATTCTAGCTAAATGCTGGCAATTTGTCATTTACTGATTCTGATATGATTTTCATGGCATTTGAATGCCATGAAAATCCTTTTATTAGGTGACACAAGCTGTTATTAGAGAAGGAGGTTCTCTGACCTGCTCTTTTGAGATTTTTTCTTAGCTTGTCAGCCTATTTTGATCTTAAAGAAAAGTTATCAAAAATTAGGAGTCATATTTAGTATAGAAAATGCTGACATTTATTTTTCTTTTCATGGACGAGAAGTGAAAATTTAATGTGATGTTGAAGTTTGCATTGTGTAAATACATATGTTTTCTCTGGATGCTTTATTTTTGTTATTTGGTCCCTTTTACCGAAGTTCAAAGGATTCTCTTTTCCACTTTGATTCTATTCTCTTAGTCTATTTGTGTAGAACAAGAGTGGACAAAAAAAAAGCTTGTTGGTGTATACTAATGAAAGTTTTATTTTAATAATTGACACACTTTGTTCAAAACATTGCAAAAATTCATCATTAATAAATAGTTAAATAAATAAATAAACAAGAAAGAACCATAAATAGTCAAAGCAGACTACATAACAGTCAATATGAGAAAATGGAGAAAGTTTTGACATGACTTGATTTGTCTTTTCTTATATGAAAAGTTGGATTAAAAAGTAGGTATGATGATAATTGACTGATCGTCACTTGGGAGAAGATATCATACATTGAAATGCATGGAAAAAAAACCCATTGGAACATGTTTTCTAAAGAAAAATACTTGTTCTGCAAACTGGCAGAATGATTAAGGGGTGCCTACTTTTCTTTTCAGTTAACAGGACTAGTACACACAATACCTAGCACAAAGTGGCTGATGCTTCAGCTCATAGAAATAAGATTAACTTAAACACATTTTTTAATGCTTAAATTGTTAGACAAAAATTAACATGTACACACAAAATGTCTTTGAGCACCGGGTGACAGAAATATTAGGATCCCGAAAATATTCCTAAAAAACTAGCAAGGCATACTTGATGAAATGAGAAAAAATGTTCTGTCAAAGTAATAATTTTTCTTCAAACTGTGCCACACGGTCATCAACGCATGACGCATCACCACCTAACTCCATGAAGCAAAGTACACATTTACATTTCTTTTGGATTCAGTCAGTTTTAAGGGCCACAGTTCCCTTAGCTCTGGGCTCACTATCTCCCATTACATTTGCTATTGCCCTTGTTCTTGTCCGTTCTGCTTGAAACAAAGGCAATAGAATGACAGTCCACATGAAATAGTGTATGGCTGAGTAGCCAACTCTCTGAACTTGATGATCTTCATATCATTTTAAAGAGGATGCACGAAAATATCATTCCAAGTAACTGCAACAGGAAGGAAAAGAAATCAGTTTGATCGATATATCCATTTGGAAAGCTGTAGTCAATTCAAAAAATTATTGAAACACTACTGCAAAACAACTATTACGTTACATATTTGTGAGGTTCAACAGTGCAGTTTAAAAGTAAGAGCAAGAACACAGTCACCAAAAATGAGCAATTGTCTTTTGGAACATTACCATTATACAAGCAACAATTACACCTGCAGTGCCGATGAAGGCCGCGTGATCCCGTGCAGTCTTCACAGCTTCATGCAAGCAGCCCTCCTTGTACTTATCACACTCGAGTGCTCCCGGCTGGAAAACCAAACGGAAAAGCTGAGCACCAGAGCGGGAAACAGGTTTGTTTGTGCTCTGCTTCTCACTTACACTAGCAAGGTGAATTACCAAACAAACACAACAAGTCGTGCATCTACAAGATTGTTTATTTATTTTTGGTGAATTTGTGAATAAACTTCCATCTTAAATTTTGAAAACAAAATTAATTCAATACCACAAAACCGCTTGCAAGTGATTCAGCTTTCAGCAAAATTTTGGTGCGTCACACAACAAAGTTACCATTAATGACGATACACCAATCCCTGCTCCAGCTAGCACATTAGTATTGTCCGTAATGAGACCTTGCAAGGTGGGTAGGCACCCCATTGTGTAGATATTACCAGGTATAGGTGATGTTTGACAGGGATTCTTCTGGAACCATACAAACTCCCTCAAAGCATTTGATCCACGCCTTTTTAATTTCTTTTTTAAACTATTTGGGACATAAACAAGTTTAATGCCCTTTCTTCTCCCCCCTAATCTTCTTATCAATAAAACGGGCTGAAAATAATAGCAACACAAGGCATCCCTTAAATGGTTCCAAAAAAAGGCTCGTAGCTTAACTTAGATCACTCTACACACAAAAGTTTTAAAAAAGGGTATCAAGGAAATTAATTCTAAGATAATTACAAAACTGAGTTCCACCAGCAAGTTTGCCGTGTCGCAGCTAAAATTAGGTTGACAGATAGGGAGCTCTAGATGTGCATCCTTGCCTCAACCAAGGCAGCTATTTCAATCAATTTTCGCTGCGACAACAGACGAACGTCCCCAGCAGAACTAATTTTGAAGTTACCCGAGAACCAGAATGGCAAGATATTCCTATTCCATTTGGGGAAGGACCAGAAACGTGCTCACCTTCCCTGCCGGCCCCATTTTGCAACAGCTTTCGGGGACTTGGGCCTTCCAGTCAGAGGGCCCGTCCACACCGCAGCAATGGAGCTGGAAACGACAAAGACAAAGAGGCAATGAAGCGGCCGGTGAGGCGGGCGCACAGGCAACACGACTTACGGCGAGGGTTGGGCCAAGTTGAGCGAGAGAAGGCTTTGCTGTTGCTTACCGTCTCCTGCGTCTTGTCCCACGCGGCTCGGATGTAGTCCTTGGTGCGGTAGTCGACCAGGGTGGAGCGCATCTTGTACTCGGTGTTCTTCCGCACGTCTTCCCGGAACACGTAGCCCAGGACGCCGCCGACGAGCATCGTCACGAACACGATGAACACGATGAGGAAGTACTGGAGAAGAGAGCGGCGGATTAAGCGCCTCCCCGAGGCGGAATGAAGAGCAAACGCCGGTATCGGAAGCGGCGACGCGACTGAGACTGACCGTGAGAAGCATGCACTTGACCTCCTTCACGGCGCCCACGCAGCCCATGAAGGCGATGAGGGTGACGAGGCCGCCCGTGCCGATCAGGATGTACACGGCGCCCAGGAACATGGTGGTGCCCGTGAGCTGCGTGACGAAGGCCTTGTCCAGCAGGGTCCAGACGCCGATGCCCAGCGCCACGGCGCCGCCCAGCTGCAGCAATGAGTGCCGTCGGTACCGTACACAGTGGATTTGCCAGAAGACCGGTGGAGGCGGCCAGAACTCCAGACGCGTTTTGAGCTCCAGAGTCGCTAAACAGGGCTCGAACCGAACGTGTGACCCCACCAACGGATTGCTCCCCGAACGAGTAATCCATTGGTGGGGCCACACGTTCGGTTCGAGTCCTGTTCAGCGACTCTGGAGCTCAAAACGCGTCTAGAGTGTTGACCGCCTGCGCCGGTCTTCTGGCCCACTGTGAAGCGCCGCGCAGCATCGACAGGAGAAGCGAAGGCCGTGCTTACGAATATGAAGAAGTTGGCCAGGAACATGCTGTACTTGATGCACTGGCCGCAGCCCCCCATCTCCCTGCCGACCCCCATCGCTCTGCAGCAAGAAAGAGAAAGACACACTGTAAGTCCTTCGGCATTAGAGGCACGCGGCAGGTGACAGGCCCACAAACACACGCACACACGACAACGACAGCGCTTTGTGTTACACTGTGCACGCTATGTGAGCAGCATGGGCTTTCTCTGGAATGAGCCAGGCTCCAGTTCACTCCAGCCGTTGCCAACCCACTCCAGCGCGTTGATGGCTGCAAAGAGTCCTGCGTGGTGCAGCGGTGCAGCAGAGCGCGTCGCTGGAGACACGCTGGAGACGCGCCCAGACAGCGGCACTACAGCTGTCGCACAACGCCTCCGGCAGACGCCGCGGGCAAACGCCTCGGCCTCTTGGTTTCTGCTGAACCGCTCGCCTATTGTATCGCAACCAGATTCCAGATTTGGGCCCAGTCAGCGAGTCGGCGCGTCAGCGCGGCACCGCACAGTGGGCCAGACGACCGGCAAAGGCGGTCGATACTCCAGACGCGTTTTGGGCTGCAGAGTCACCAGACAGGACTCGAACCGAGCGTGTGACCCCACTAATGGATTCCTCGTTCGGAGAGCAATCCATTGGTGGGGTCACACGTCCGGTTCGAGCCCCATTTAGCGACTCTGGAGCTCAAAACGCGTCCAGAGTTTTGGCCGCCTCCACCGGTCCTCTGGCCCACTGTGCAGCGAGGCGGCAGTGGAAAGTGATGTCCCATCCGACGTCCCATCCCATCGGGGGCACGGCACCGGCTACAAGTCTTGGTGCCCAGCGACACGGAGAGCGCCGTGGAGGTAGGCACCTGGGGTACACCGCAGTATGACGGGCTTGCCTACCCCGGCCGTTCGCAGGCGCTTTCCGCCCGAAAAAAATTCAAAAAAAAAAATTGTCCATACGGAAATTAGGCATTTTTTTTTGTATTTTGGTAGAGTGACCGCGAGTGACGGAGTGAGAATAGATTTGTCGACTAAACGGTTTGATGCATCTAGGCACACACCCACACTCGTACACACGTGCACACGCACGTACACAGACACAGATGAGTATTACACACGTACACACGCAATACCCACACGTCTACCGCGGCACTTTCACTACGGTGTGTGGCACACTGTGTGCTCGGCTCGGCACTGTGTGCCATGCGCGCCGTGCCCCCACTCGCTCTCTGGCCTGGCGTGGCGGCGTGGCCCAACCGGTCACTTCGCCCCGACTACTCGGTGAAAAAAAGCGAACCCATCTCATCAGGAGGGAGAAAAAAAGGGCTTCTCTTCTGAGAGCGTTTTCGCTTTCCAGGTTCTGGTTCCCCTTTCTTGCCAGAGCCCAATGCAGTCACAGTGGGCCAGAAGACCGGTGGAGGCGGCCAAAACTATAGACGCGTTTTGAGCTCCAGAGTCGCTAAATGGGACTCGAACCGAACGTGTGACCCCACCAATGGACTGCTCTCCGAACGAGGAATCCATTGGTGGGGCGAGTGCGCTCTGTGCGCGGGGCACTGCTGCGTGCGAGGCGTGGCGGGGCGTGGCGGGGCGGGGCGACGCGGCCTCCCGGAGGTCGAGGTCCGCCGCTAGCACTTCCGGCAAGCAGAGGCCGCGGGGACGAGTGTTCCCGGGGCAACCCAGTGGAGGAACCCCGAGGAACCCCCAGGAACCACGAGGGAACCCCAGGAACCACCCGAGGGGGAACCCCGAGGAACCCGAGGAACGCAGTGTGCTTCCCAACTGCGCCTCGTCGCCCTGTCCCACTCGCACCCCCGCGCGGGGCAAGCGACGCTGCCTGAGTGCGAGGGAGACAGATCGAGCCGATAGTGCAGGCCGGCCTTGCGGTGCAGTGCCTAGCAGTGCAGTGCCTTTGCAGTGGCGCAGCATCCCCGGAAACGCCAAGGCGTTCGACAACGACATCCGCGTGTTGCCGTTCGTTCCCTATGGTTACTCCGGCGATGCCTGCAGCCTCATTCCGAGAGTCGTTATCGTCTGTCTCTCTCGCACTCACGGGGCGTCCCGGACAGGCGCGAGAGAGACAGAGCGACGCGCCTGCAGGACGGATGGCCAGGACGCCGATAACGCCACCGGAGACTTGAGAGACTTGAGCGCACGGCGGCGTGCCCCCCTCCCTGCCCCTCTCCTTACGCAATGCGACTGGCCGCGCTACGCCGCTGCGCGCTCGGCGCTCGGCCGCTCCGGACCCTCCACACAGAGACAGACGCAGGGAGGGGCGGCGCGGGGCGGCGCGGGGCGGCAGGGCCCGTGGCCGGAATGCGGGCCAAGGTCAAGGCATGCCTGCCGTGCCTGCAGACAGAGACCAAATTCTCTCTCCCTCTCTCTCCGTTTTTCCCGCAGCCTCTCACTCCCCCTCCCTCTCCCCCTTCTCCGAGCCGCACCTGTCCGGACCTAGGCCCCGCCAGCCCCGCCAACCGCCGCTCCGACCGGCGACTCTTCTTCGGGGCGCCACACTTCGCGCGCGGACAGAGATGTCGCATCGAGGGGGAACATTATCTTTCAGGACCAGAGGCCGGCGGCGAGTAAAATTATCTTTATTTTTTGAAGGCGCGCCCGGCTGAATGAACGTGCATGAATGGGAGAATGGACCGACAAGACGGGCTGGCTGGACAAGGAGGCAGTACGTGCAAACAAGACTTTATTGAAAGGGAAAGCTTGCGACGCGCCTCCCGTGCATTGCGCTGCATTGATGCACGCACACACACACACACGCGCGCGCACGCTCGCTCGCGGGATGCATTAATGCATCCGACCCGCTGGACGGGTGAGCCACACACCGGCCCCATGGGCCAGGCGGGCCAGGCCCATCTTCGGCTGCACGCCGGTCAGAGAGGCAGAGAGGCCCCGGACCAAATTCCAGGCTGGAGAAAACCGTTCGCGCGGGTCCGGGGGGCACCGCGCAACAACGCGTCGAGAAAAGTAAATAAAATCAAAAACAACGACCCACTAAGTCACACTGAAGCGCCCCATGGACTACAGTTACAATTGGCCATGGGAACTTAAGTGTGAGAACAGTCACAAAATATGGGAGTGTCGAAATTGCCCTGTTCGATTTAGAGTGAACCGAAAACTTAAAACGAAAACGAACTGGTGGAGCACACCCGACGTCCGACTCACTCGCGCACGGTTGGTGCGATTGGTCGTGACGACGTGACATTGACCCCTGACGGAAAGTTCTCCCGCGAGCGAACGGCCGGTGGGTCAGCGCTCCAGCACGCTCCAGCCAGCCGGCCAGCCCAGTGCCCTTGGAGTCTGGAGGGCCCCAAATACCGCGGCAGAGCGCCGCACAGTGGGCCAGAAGACCGGTGGAGGCGGCCAAAACTCTAGACGCGTTTCGAGCTCCAGAGTCGCTGAATGGGACTCGCACCGAACGTGTGGCCCCACCAATGGACTGCTCTCTCGAAGAGCCCCTTGACGGGCTGCTCGGCAGAATTGATCCGCGACCCATCGCTTCCAAGGCCGCCTGGAAATTCCGCCGATTTCTCGCGAGGAATCGAACCGAAATGAGATCAATCCCGCGGCTTTGTGCTCGCCGTGCTCGCCGTGCTCGCCGCCCCGACGCTGTCCGTCTCTCTCGCACCCATGAGGCGCGAGGGGGACGGAGCGACGGGCACTGCACACTTCACTATTTCACCGTCAGCATGCACAGAGAGCCGACCTGGAGGCCGCACGGCGCCGCACGGCGGAGCGAGGTGAGCGGCATCTCTCTCGCACCCCTGGGACGCCCAGGCTGGCCCAGGGAACCCCGAGGGAGCGAGCGAGACAGAGCACTGCCGCCGGGACTAGGGCGCCAGGTCGGCCATCACGGCCGCACCTTCCCGAACCCTGAACCCCAAACTCAATATCCCCGACAATGCGGCGCGGTGCCGCGAGGCAAAGCCGGGCAAGCAAGCCGCCCCGTCATGCCGCCAAGGACAGTGACTTATCGCCGGCCAGCGGCTTGAACCGCGGTCGCGGGTTCGATCCCCGGCGACTCCCCACGGCGAGCAGCCCCCAGAAAGCCTCGAACAGCGTGGCTGTTTGAGCCTCGAACAGCGTGGCTGTTTGAGCCTGGACCAGCGTGGCTGTTTGAGCCTCGACCAGCGTGGCTGTTTGACCCTCGAACAGCGTGGCTGTTTGACCCTCGAACAGCGTGGCTGTTTGACCCTCGAACAGCGTGGCTGTTTGAGCCTGGACCAGCGTGGCTGTTTGAGCCTCGAACAGCGTGGCTGTTTGAGCCTCGAACAGCGTGGCTGTTTGAGCCTGGACCAGCGTGGCTGTTTGAGCCTCGAACAGCGTGGCTGTTTGAGCCTCGAACAGCGTGGCTGTTTGAGCCTCGAACAGCGTGGCTGTTTGAGCCTCGAACAGCGTGGCTGTTTGAGCCTCGAACAGCGTGGCTGTTTGAGCCTCGAACAGCGTGGCTGTTTGAGCCTCGAACAGCTGGGACAGCCACGCTGTTTGAGGCTGGTACTGGCCTCCTCCACCGGTCTTCTGGCCCACTGTGCTCCGGGTGCCCTCTGGCATGCCTCTGGCGGGGCCGATGACTTCGCGCTTCCCGCCAAAACTGGGAGCCTCGGTCGGCCACAGTGTAGGGGTGCCGCCTCCGATTGCCAAATTGGCCGGCGATTGCGGATTGCAGATTGCGCTCCGCGATTGCAAACGGGTTGCGGCTCTCGCTGGCGCCACGTTGCGACGCACAGGTGCAAGGTGCAACCGATTTTGACCCTACCCACTCCTCACTCCCCCTCTCTATCCCTCTCTCACACACACGGTGTGTGTGTGTGTGTGTGTTTATTGTGAGTGTGTGGGTGCGTTCGTGTGCATGTCCGTGCGATGTGAGTGCGTAAATGCCAAGTGCGAGTGTGTGACGCTCCGAACTGAACTCACCTGGAGGCTGCAGGTATCTCAGAGGTAAATATCCGGTTCCGTCACTCCGCTAGTCCATGTGCGGTGACGTCACTGAGGCGGAGCGCGAAGCGCGATGCACTCGCGATGTCTCGCCGCGTCCGCGTCGCCGTGCCGTACCGTAGGTACCGTACCGCGTCGCGCTGTCCCTCCGCGCGCCGTGGTCCCAACTCAACTGGCGGGCGGGGCGGGCGAGAGCGGCGCGGCGCGGCCGGCAGGCGGTGGGGGCGGGGCGGGGCGGGGTGGGGCTCCCTTCAGCCGGGCCGCTGCACCTGCCCCCCCCCCCCCTGTCCCTCTCTCTCTCGCCAACAGGGAAGGCCACGCCGGAGAGGTGTCTGGAGAAGCCAGCTGCAGTTGCATCAACGCGACGGTCCGCCTGCAGACTGCAGACCGATTCCGAGAGTCGTTCTCGTCGCTGTCTCGTGTCTCCCTCGCACTCATGGGGCGTGCTGTTCAGGGGCGAGAGAGACGAAATCGACTCTCGGAGTCAGTGTGCTGTGGCGGCTTCGAGTCCTACTAACTGCAAGGCCTGCAAGGCGGCGGCCTGACGCGCCTGTGGCCTGGCATGCTGACCCGGCCTCCCGGGTCAGAGTCCGTTTGAGGCCCGCAGAGGGCAGCGGGATGGGCTGGCCGTGCGCTAGAGCCTGCCCCACGGCGTGTCCTGACGCCGTCGGCCGCCCTACGGCCTAACGGCCACCTTGAACCTCGCGGGCAGGGCGGGCAGCCCCAAGCGACGCCGCGACGCGACCCGGAAGGCCGGAAGGGCCAACGCCGCCTACGCCGCCAACGCGGTGACACCCGGCCGGCTCAATAACACATTCGGCGGCACGACACCCACTCACGCACCGCAATTACTGACAATTACAAACAATAATCATTGTAACCGCGAGCCTCGCGCGTGTGCCGAGGCTGCCAAGGCCGCGGGGTGGCTCTGGGGATGCCCGCCGTCGCCATGCCCGTCTTGAGGGAGGGCGGCGATGACGCGGTCACCGTGGGGGTGAACCACCGTAAACCGCGTGAAAACGATGAGAAAAAGTCCCCTCTTATTTTCCTCTTATTCGCGCCTGTATTCTTACAATCAAGAAAATGTCGACAATGACTCCGGGGATGTTGTCCCGCCATTGTTGCGGGGGTGGCAACACTGGGGCAGCCATGAGGCCCAGAGAAAAATGATAAAAACCTTTTGAAAAAAAAAATAGCAAAAATCCTAAAAAAAATACTTTGGAAAAAAAATTGACTAATTGGTAAGATAAGGACAAAGTAAACCAAAAGCCTAGAAAATGTCGACGCCAGACGGGGCCTGCCCGCTGGAGCGCAAGGTGCTGATCCAGACCCTCAACACCATCGTGCAAGTGCTCAGCGAAGACGCCAAGTGAGGGTCGCCTTATAACCGCCGCATAACCAAACCTAGGACTCGACCAAACTTTAGCGCGATTGTGGCATCGCAGGAAAAAGAAGGAGTGCCTGGCCAAGTGCGAGGCGGAGTGCGTGGCGGCCAAGCGGTGCGGCGCGGACACCAGCTTGTCCAGGGTGGCGAGCGACGAGCCCTGCCGGCCCTGCCCCCAGGGGCCGAAGCCTTGCGGCGCGGCCACCAGCCTGCCGAGGGTGACGGCGCGGACGGCGCAGTGCGAGGAGACGGCCGTGGTGCCGTACGCGCCCGCCCCGCTCAAGGCCTGCAAGTCCTCGGAGCTGCGCGCGGGCGCCTTCTACTCCGAGTGCCGCTGCCTGAAGCGCGACGGGCTGCAGCGCGCGTGCAGGCGCACGGGCTGCGGCGAGCACTGCGGCTTCGTGCGCCCCGCCATCCGCGACCCCGTGCCGCTGGGGTCCGCCGTGCCCGGCTACAGCCTGCGCCCCGTGTGCTGCCCCGGCGCCAAGGAGGCCGCCAGGCTCAAGGTGCGGCGGGCCAGAAGACCGGTGGAGGCGGCCGAAACTCCAGACGCGTTTTGAGCTCCAGAGTCGCTAAGCAGGACTCGAACCGAACGTGTGACCCCACCAATGGACTGCTCTCCGAACGAGGAATCCATTGGTGGGGTCACACGGTCGGTTCGAGTCGCGACCCCGACTTCCCCTGTTCCGCAGTACCTGCACGACAAGGCCGAGCTGCTCAAGCGACCGCCCCCGCTGCCCCCGCTGGAGCCGCTGCCCCCGCCGCCCACGCCGCCGTGAGTCCAACCAGGCCTGCCCCGACACCAGAAGCGCCTTCCAAACTGCCCGAAAGCGACGCTCCGAACGAGTCTGCTGACGCGCCTTGCGACTGTCCGTTTGTCCAGGTACAACTGGACGGGCACCTTCGAGCACAAGTGCCAGCCGGACCGTCGCTGCCCGCGCAGGCCACCGCCACTCAAGTACCCGTGCGGCGGCGCCAAGTGCAAGCACTGGGAGGTGCCCCAGCCCTGCACGCTGCCCGTCTGCAGGGCGGACTGCTTCGAGCAGCCGCCGGGGTGGCCCACCTTCTGCCGATGAGCCAATAAAGCTCGAGAGAGACAGGCAGCCTATGGCACCACCACGCAACTCGGCGCGCCACGGGTTGGGCAGCACCTCCTTCCCGCGGCACCGCGCAGCAGGGAGGACCTGGAGGACCTGCCAGCACCCTGGCCGGGCTTGGCGGCCATAGGGCCGGGCTTCATTTCAATCCATACCACCGGCCTTGGCCGCTTCATCGCACCGCGGGCCTGATCCCGGAAGCGGCCATGTCTCCCGATCGCACTTCCGGGAGCGCCGTACAGTGTACACGCACTGCTCGGCGTGCGGCACAGTCACCGCGCCCCGACGGCCCCGACTCACGACACCCCGACGCACAGTGGGCCAGAGGACCGGTGGAGGCGGCCAAAAGTCTAGACGCGTTTCGAGCTCCAGAGTCGCGAAACGGGACTCGAACCGAGCGTGTGACCCCACCAATGGATTGCTCTCCGAACGAGGAATCCATTGGTGGGGTCACACGTTTGATTCGAGTCCACTTAGCGACTCTGGAGCTCAAAACGCGTCTAGGGTTTTGGCCGCCTCCACACGGTCAGCCGGCTAGCGCCTGCGAATCGCGCGGTAGGCAGTCCCGCCACGCTTTGCTGCTGCACTGCGGCCGCAGGGTTGCCTACCTCCATTACCATTACCATTAAGGGCTAGACCACACATGATCGTATGCCATTTCGGGCGCTCCGACAGGCGCTACGCGGCGGGTGTTCACCACACTGGTCCGAACGGTCTTTCGCAGCTGTCTCGCTCGCACTCATGGCGCGGCGGCCTGTCGGCCTCGGGTGCGAGAGAGACAGAGCGAAGAGCGAAACCTCCGGTTCGGAATCGTCCAGCCGTGGCGTGCGTGGCGACCAATAAAAGCCACCCCTACGTAATTTCATCATTTCGCGTGTCTTTGGCTGCGATACGAGTGCCGTGCCGTGCCGTGCCGCGTCGCGTGGGCAGTGTACCGGAAGGGAGGGTGGACGACGTCAGTGACAGGAGCCTCGGCGACCCACAGTGGGCCAGAAGGCCGGTGGAGGCGGCCAAAACTCCAGACGCGTTTTGAGCTCCAGAGTCGCTAAATGAGACTCGAACCGAACGTGACCCCACCAATGGATTCCTCGTTCGGAGAGCAGCCCATTGGTGGGGCCACACGCGTTTCTCAGTGTAGGCGTACGCCGCGCTTCCCTTCAGGGCGCGCGAGCCGTCCGCTGTCCGCCGCGGTGGAGGTCGTTGTGTTGTATGAAAATCAATGATTGCAATGAAAGGCTTGTTTTCATTGTGCGAGAACCCGCCGGCCTGTCTCTCTCGCACTCACGGGGCGTCCTAAGAGAGTGCGAGAGAGACGTCGGCTGTTCGGGGCGGGCGCTAATGCTTCGCATAGCCTGGCGTAGCCGCGACCCCTTAGCGGGCCGAGCCAACCCTCGCCTCGGGGTCGTCGCTCGCTGGGGCGCGGCGCGGCGTGGCACGGCGCGGTGGACGCACTCCAATGACAAAACTTTGTTGCGTTCAAGTTCACGTCGGTGTCGTCGCCCTGGCGGCGCAACGCCGTCGCTGTGGGGCTAGGGCAGTAACGCGGTGCGGCCTGAACGACGTCTTCCTCGCCAACTACTAGAACGCACAGTGGATTTGCCAAGACCGGTGGAGGCGGCCGAAACCCTCAATGCGTTTTGAGCTCCAGAGTCGCTGAACAGGAATCGAACCGAACGTGTGACCCCACCAATAGATTCCTCGTTCGGAGAGCAATCCATTGGTGGGGCCACACGTTCGGTTCGAGTCCCATTTAGCGGCCCCGGGGGTACAAGACGCGTCTGGAGTTTTTGCCGCCTCTACCGGTTCCTCTGGCCCACTGTGGGACGGGGGATCCGAAATTGCGGGAAAATCATACAGCACGTACTTGGAAAACCGCTGCCAACGGAAACATCGAGTGTGGCTCAACATCGATATCGCTCTGTCACTATTTTTAGCAGTGCACCCACGCCTGATGGGGTCGGCACTCCCGAATCACAGAGGCGGCATCGTCGATGTGTAGTCAAGGCGTGGCGGGGCGGCCGGGGCGTGCGTTTGATTGACACAGGTACGCGCATCGACCGTGTCCCCTGGGGCCCTGGGCCCTGGGCCCTCGCCCCAAGAGTCCAGGAGGGCTTCCAGGGACGCCGAGCGACTCCAGGGGACTCCAGGAGGCCGCGAAGGGTGGGCCGCGGGGGCTGGAGGGGCCCAGCCCGTAACAAAGGCAGCTTTGCTTTGCCTGGCTTCGCCCCGCCACTGTAAGGCCCTAAGGGTGGAGCAATAATAATGTGCAGCGTTGCTGTTGTTGTAAGGAGGAAGGAGAAAGGTGGGAGGGGGGCTTTTTTGCCGCCCCGTTGCTCGTCCGGTCAACGACCTGCCGCCCCCTGCGGCCCCCTGCGGCCCCCTGGGCCTGCAGACTGAGCCGTGTTCGACGCTCTGTCTCGCTCGCACTCACGGGGCGTCCCGCATAGGTGCGAGAGGGAGGCAGAGCGACGAAAACGGTTCTCGGAATCAGTCTGCTGGGCCCGCTGCGGGGCGCGAGGCGCGGTGCGACACCTTGACGACGACGCCCGGCCTTTACAGTGCGCCCATCACCGAGGGGGAGGGGGAAGTCACTGATACGCGCGGCCGGAAGACGTGGCCATTGCGCGCCTTACAGTGCCACAGCGTTACAGCGTTACAGTGTACGCGCATGGCCGCCAGCCCACCCCGCCGCCAAAACGCGGTTGCGTGAATCAAGTGCCGTGTCACCGCCCCCCACCCCCACCCCGCCACACGAGGGTCGCCGACCCCATCGCATCGAGTGCGAGCTTCGATAAACTACGTCATTTTTTATATAGAATAGTTTTTCATTTTTCCTTCTTGTACTTTTCACTGCCCCCTCCCGGGCCGCGCCGCCCCGCGCGGTGCCTGATTGGCTGATGGCCGCGTCGCGTGTGCCACAGTGTGCCCCGCGTCGCCGGACACGCGGACACGCGGACCTCGCCGTCGTCGACCCCAAGTCCTAATGGCGGCGAGCCTGGAGACGGAGACCGAGTCCGAAGAGGCTGTCCGTCGCGCTGTCTCTGTCGCACGCGGCGGCGCGTTGGCCCGTCGGGGTGCGATAGTGACACGGAGCGACACAGCGGTTCTTGGCGGTCGCGCTGCTGTGGCGGAGACGCCGAACCACGCCGAACGCGTGTAGGACGCCGCCAAACGGCTGCCGCGGCTGCCGCCCCGCCCCTCCCCTTTCACCTCCCCGCCTTGGATGACAACGCTGTCGACGCACCAACACGGCAATCCCCTTCCCGCGCCTCGTTAACGCCAACCACGTCCACCAGTGTCCACCGCGGCCCGTCTCTCTCGCACCCACGCGTGCGTGCGAGAGAGACAGATTGACTCAGCCTGGGAGCGGAACGCGTCTGAATCGATCTACCACGCAGGCTGTCGGCGTCGCCCAGCCTTACGCGCTTTACGCGCTTCACGCCCGCCGAGTCGGCGGTAGGCAACCCTGCGGCGCGGCCTTCGTCGCTCTGTCTCTCTCGCACCAGTGCGGGGCGCCCATGCGATGGAGAGAGACAGGGCGACGAAAACGACCCTCGGCCGGACAGTCGGCCGTCCGTCATAGCGTGGTGACAGGCCATCGCACCCTCGACCCCGTGAAAGCTTTCCAAGGGCAGAGAGTGCCCCGGCTGGCCTGGCCTCCCCCGACGTGCTGGTGCCGCCGATGCAGTCACTGCCGGCACGTTCCGCACGGCCCACAGTGGATTTGCCAAAACTGTTCGGAGAGCAATCCATTGGTGGGGTCACACGTTCGGTTCGAGTCCCATTTGGCGACTCTGGAGCTCAAAACGCGTCAGGAGTTTTGACCGCCTCCACCCGCCTCCTGGTAAATCCACTGTGGGCCCGGATCCGTGTTGCTGCGTTACGCGATTTATGGACGGCTTGCCCGTTTTCCGGCCGCCGCGTCGTTAGGCGGAGGCGCGAAGGGCACAGCGACCCTATTTGTTGCTTCCCGCGCTTAAAACAACTCCGTGCCAGGCAGCGGGCTCATTCCGCACAGTGCTCTGTCTCTCTCGCGCTCATGGGGCGGTCCGTGGTGCGAGCAGGGGGCTCCAGTTTGGCACACTGTCCTGGGCACTCAGCACCGAGGGTCACCAAACGGAGCGAGCCGGCCTTCTTTCTGCTTTTCTGCTGGGGTGAGGGGCGCGCTGCACGGGCGCAGCGCTCTGTCTCTCTCGCACCCTGGCGGGCCTGGGCGGGCCGCCCCGCGACGGCGAGAGAGACAGAGCGACGAAAGCACCGCTGTCCGGCGCGGCGCGGCGCCGGCCGAAGCTGAAGCAGCCCTAAATGCCTGCAAAGGGTCTAAAGGGCGTCTAAGGCGACCTTTTCATCGCACCTCGGCGCGGCCCTCCAAGCCCTTTGCTATTACTGCCAGGGTAATTAGGGCATCCAGGGCCACGGGACGGCACCGGCCCTCGGACAAGGGACAAGGGCGCAGTGGGCCAGAAGGCCGGTGGAGGTGGACAAAATTCTACAAGCGTCATGAGCCCTAGAGTCGCTGAACAGGACTCGGTTCGGAAAGCAATCCATTGGTGGGGTCACACGTTCGGTTCGAGTCCAACTTAGCGACTCTGGAGCTCAAAACGCTCCACCGGTCTTCTGGCCCACTGTGGGGCGGCCCTGCTCGAAAGAGTAAACGTTCGTCTCTCTCGCACCGCTACGGGCCGCCGCCTGAGCGCGACAGGAACAGAGGGAGCGCCTGCCACAGCAACGGCGAGCGGGCACCGCCGCGAGTGTAGGCAACCCAACCAGCGCCCGGCGGCCCGGCGGCGGCAAGGTGGGCGTGCTTCGTTTGTTCTTTGTTTGTCTCTGCCGAGCCGATTGTTGTGTTGTTGGTGTGGCGTGAGGGTGTGTGAGTGGGCTTGTGAAGCGTGTCCCAACTTGTTCGTTTGAGGAAGCAGCGAAGACGCGTCCGTTTGGTTTTGGAAAAGAAACTGATGTAAGTACGTTGTATTCTTTCGCTAGTGGAAGTAATCAGTGTGGTGGTTCGCTGTTGTTTGTCGGTTGTGTTCCGCGGTGCATTGCAAAGGAGTCTTGATCTACAGTGTAGGTGTTTGCACTGGGCTGGGCCGCGAGGTTGGTTTACATGTGACGCCGCGCTGCCCGGCCTGCCCGTTTCTAAGCGTGGTTTCTCTGTCCAGCCTAGATTCGACCGCCATGTCTCCACGTCGCTCTAGAGGCAGGGGTGCAGGAGGGTCCCAGGGCACTCCCCGCTCGTCGCAGTCCCAGTCGTCCAAGTCGTCCCAGTCCAGGGCGTCCCAGGGCTCCCAGGGCTCCAGGCAGGGGACCCCACAGCCCCCCCGGCTGGGGTACGACGAGACCAAGAGCCTGGCCAGGCTCACTGTGAGGTTCATGTTGATGCAGGACTTCGACAAGGTGCCAATCAAGCACAGTGACATCCTCAAGAATATCCTGAAAAACACTTTAAAGTCTGCTGCAGACGTCATGCCGATTGCCATCAAGATGCTCCGTGATGTAAGACACTGTCCGCCTAATCTGTTTTGCTCTGTTGAGTGCTCTGTCTAAAGCTCCTCTTCCTTGATGTAGATTTACGGTATAAGGGTCGTTGATGGAGGCTACCGAACCAAACACTACTTGTTGATCAATAGCTTGAAGCATCAGGAACATGTTAGTAACTCGGCTGCTGTTCAAGCAGATCTTGGACTGCTGGCCATCATTCTGTCGCTCATCTTCATGCAGACTAATGGAAGGTGGAAAGACGCTGGGATCGAGCAAGGTAAATTGATTGCATCTATTCCATTTGATTCTATCCACTTACAGGAAAGATAGTAGCTTTACAAAGACGCTTTTCTTTTGCAGGAAAAGTTATTACATTCCTGAAGTCAATTGGGATTGATGATGATCATGAGTACTTTGGCAATCTTAAGAAAAATTTAAAGGTATAAATGACAGATTTTTTCATAAAATTACCTACTGCTGTTGAATGCCAATATATAATTTTCATGTTTCCCTTGCAGACTTATGAATCTCAGGATTATCTTGATGTTGTGAAGATAGATAATACTGATCCTGTCAAGTATGAATATCGATGGGGTATTCGAGCTTGTGAGGAACTGTCTCCTAGAGATGTGTTGCAATTTGCGAGTGAGGTAGGATCATGGCTGTATTTCTTAGATTTAATTCCCTCTTAACTTATCAATCGTTTGTAAAACCGTGTTTGCTTCTTACAGATGTATGGCCGTGACAGCATTGAATCTTGGTCAGCACATTACAAAGCAGTCTGTGCTCATGAAAGAGGTGGTAGTGAATAGTGTTATATTCAAAATTTAATTATTTTTCTTGTAATTCACCTTTTTTTCACATGAAAAGAGTGCAAAGTGAAATTCGTTCTGTTCAATATGTGACTTAAATATTGAGAATTCCTGACATTTGATAAATGATTATCAATAAATAATTTTCCAATGCAGTTTTGAGGGTTGCTCACTTTATTTGATTAGCACCACATAATTTTAAATATACAAGTAAAAAAAATAATTAATCATTTCCACGATTATACCGTTTCCAGAATCTTTTAACATCATCATGGCCTCCTTTAGTCACTACCATTGTTCTTGTACGTTCATTTTGCCAGATCAGAACTCCTTTTTCTTGAGCATGATCACGCAGCACCTGAAATTGAATTGACACCATACTTGAGAAACTCCCCCATACAAAACAGAAGTAATGCAATCAAAGCTTGAAAATTTACAAACCTGAAAGTCTTGTTGAGACAAAAACTGGCTATATAATACTCCTTCAGAGAAATTAAATCTGTCTCGCTCATTTTCCCAAAGCTTTATCTGGTCAACAACTGTGGGTGGCAACACAGGTGGAGCTTGAGCGATCATTCTTGGATGGGCGTGTAGCCGCAAAAAGTTGATCATTTGTTCTGCTGTGATACCACTTCGCAACGCTTGTCGAACTGAATCTCTTGTCAGAATGCCAACAGACAAGTTTGGAAATCTAAAAGCAAAACAACAAATAATTCACCAATGCAAACTTGGGTAAAATAAATCGACAGAAAACTGAAACATGCATGTTGTTACCTGTACATCATCTCACAGAAAAGTGCAACTAAGGCAACTTGCAAATTAGAGTCTGTGTAAGCATACACTCTGTAATTAGTTTCAACAACTATGTACCCAAGGTGTTCCATATCACCGGGGGCACTTGTTCTGCCCGCAGCTATATTTAAAGCAAGCCGCGTTGGATAGAACCGGCCACCTTTCCTCTGTAACATGATAGTCCAGATAATGACTAAGCCAATTTAATTTGAGTTCAATTAAGCTGTTTGCACTGCTTTTGAAGAAGGTAATCATACCTTTCTTTGATAAACTAATCCGAATTCTCGAAGATGCTGCAGGAATTTTAACATGGCTTCACTCATGCCTTGAGTAGTGTAATCCTGGAAAACAGAAAAAGAGAAGAAAAACACTTCATCTAAATTTAACAGAGGGTAGTAAAATTTTTCAATTGAGAGAAAATGCAGATACATACCTTACCAAGTGTGCTAAAACTTAACTGAAACAAAAATGTGAGGCACTCTACCAAGTCCAAATTATGTTCATGAACCGTATCTAAATATTGAAGAATGAAGTGCCACACTTGCTGGGCTGTGTCCATCAAGAGAAACTGGAAGCCTTCTCTTGTGATTACAGGGCTCCCATCATCCTCATCTCTGGGAGTTTAAAAAACAACAAAGAAAATAATTATAGACCTAACTTTTCAAGTAGTTTTGCAGTGAATAATTTCAGATTCAAATGACCTTTTCATAAGACGAGCGTGGAGTAGTAATCTGACAGCATCAGCTGAGATACCCTCCTGCTGCTGAGACCCCACCATGTAGTGCAGAACGCACTCCCACCGCTCCGTGGCATACTGATCCAGAAATGGAATATCCCTAGGTTTGCTGTCTGCGTCCAGTTGAGAATGGATGCAATTGGCTTTCCCACTGAAATTAATGACATCCATGAGTGAGAAACTCATCAGGTAGAAAATGAAAGAACATGTCAACAATGCTTACCCTCCCAGCAATGCCATGCGGCAATTTTTTTTGAAGATAGGGTTGAGGATCCATCCTGGTAAACCGCCAGGTATTGCAGCCTCTTGCCATACTCGTAGCTCACTAAGAACTTTTATAACTTCGGTATGTTCCCTTAAACAATACATTCAAAATTAGAACCTCAAGACAAACCAAACGGGTCACTACAACATGGATGACCATAGACCTACTTGGAATGTTCTTGGGCAAGCCAAGACGCCACAACAGCCTGAGGAACAGGTTGTTCTACGAAAAGAATTCTAATCACATAATGTCGACCAATTTCTGGCAGCTCCCTGAAACAAAAGAAATAATGAAGTAAGATTCAAAGCATTTAGACCGTGCACGAAAATAAGAAAGATCTCTTTTTAAAAATGAATAAATTTCATTAGTATTAATACAGCTCCAGAACACAGTGAGGGGAAAAAAATCTGACACAAGTTCAAAATAAATAACACAAACATAACCTCGCAACATGCCGGGAAGCCAAAAGCAGACAGCTAATTTACCTGTACACTGCAAGACACGTCGTCGGGTGGTTGTAAAGCTTGTCCAAAGTGGACCCGGGGAGCGTCTTCAAGTAGTCGTGAAGGTTTTTACATTGAAAAGTCCTGGATTGCGGCTGCTTGGCCACTTTTCCGGCCTCCGCCATACTTCACCCTTCACCCGCCTCCTTCCCCTCCCCGCCCCTCCCGCTCCTCGGCCCGGGGCGGGGAGTAGCGACGGCGCGGCGGCATGGATGGCGATACCCCGCGCCGCGACGAGTGCCTCCCGCCAGCGCGGAGTATCTGCGCGCCGTACCGCGGCCGTTGACCTGCGAGGGAAGTTTGTCCGCAGGCCGCCCCGCCCCGCCCCGCCGCGGTGAACTGAACTGGGAACCCATTTCGGGAAACTGCGGCGAAGAAAAGAAGGGAAAGAGGCATTCGGCGAACGAGAAACGAGCGGCGAACAACGAAGAGCTCGGAGAGCGGCGAGAGGCATTTACGAGAGAAGTAGCCAACGAGTGCCTCCAAACTACCCGGTCCGGACACCGGTACACCACTGCAGTGGTGCCCGCGGGGCCAGCAGACGCCCATACAGAGGGCAACGTGGCACGCCCTGCCACGAACTTAATAGTGCACGTGCTGCAGTACCTCCAGACGGCGCTCCAGACGCGGGCAGTCCAGGCACCGCGGCGGCGACGCGGCCAGCCCGGCCAGCCCGAGCACCGTCCGCGTTAACGTGCTGATAAGGGCCGACGAGGCCAGGGACCAGGCCGTGACGCGGACTAGGCCACGACTAGGCCACGACTAGGCCATCGCGGAGTACAACGGGACGCACGAGATTGAGAGTGTAGCAGTGTGGTGGCCAGAGGCGGGGCGGGTACTGGTGTCGAAGCGGTCACCGCCGGGGCCGAACGGCCGATCGGGAACACGGGCCGTGCCGTGCCGCGCCACGCCGAGTCGGCACGCCCGTGTCGGCACGCTAAAACACCAACAGGGCCTGGTCCGATTAGATAAGCCGTGTTGGTCGTCGTGACGCGTTAAAGTGGTCCCGGAATGAATCTGGCAGGTTCAATTCGCTGTAAAAGCATCGCCGTGCCGTGCCGCGCCGTGCCTCCGGGACGCGCAGTGGGCCAGAGGACCGGTGGAGGCGGACACAACTCTGGACGCGTTTTGAGCTCCAGAGTCGCTAAACAGGCCTCGAAACGAACGTGTGACCCCACCAATGGATTCCTCGTTCGGAGAGCAATCCATTGGTGGGGTCACACGTTCGGTTCGAGCCCTATTTACAGACTCTGGAGCTCAAAACGCGTCTAGAGTTTTGTCCGCCTCCACCGGGCTTCTGGCCCACTGTGGGACGCTGCGCGATACACGAGTCCCGTTCGTGAAAACAGAAACAGGGAGACGCGGCCGCACGCACGCACTCGCGCATCCTCCAGGCCGCTCCAGGCTGCCCCGGCTGCAGACTGCAGGCCCCGTCTCCTTCGGGGTCCTCCTTCGGGGTCCTCCAGGCCCCTGTCTCGGGACCGCCGCCGCCGTCCTCGCCGGCTGTCTCTTCCCGGACAGTCGCGCGGGCCGCGAGTGCGAGAGAGAGAGGGCGATGAAAGCACCTTTCGGAACCAGCCTGCTGGCACTCTGCCCGGAGAAAGAGCGCACACAGACGCGGCCGCGAAAGTGTCCAAATAAAGTCGGCATGAGTCATCGCCGAGGCCGAGGCCCGGAGAGTGAAGCGACCGCCCAGGACGCCTCGGTCCCTGGCTCCGTCTGCCGACTGTCTGCGACCTGCCAACCTGCTGAGCGGATCAGATCAGAGTCGCTAAATAGGACTCGAATCGAGCGTGTGACCCTATCAACGGATTGCTCTCCGAACGAGGAATCCATTGGTGGGGTCACTCGTTCGGTTCGAGTCCAGCTTAGCGACTCTGGAGCTCAAAACGCGTCTAGAGTTTCGGCCGGCGGCGCCGGTCTTCTAGCAAATCCACTGTGCGGGGGCGGCGACGGGCGACACACTGCGACGCGGCGACTCTGCCACTCGGCCGGCAAACTCATCACTTTTGAAGAAGCGGCGGCAGGCCAACGGCCAGAGCGGCCAGTAGTGCCTTTCGGACCTCGCGGCCGACGCGCTGACCGGGAAGTCCGGAAGTCCCGCGCGAATATCGGCAAAGGCTGGAAAAGGAAGTGCCGCGTCGGCGCGGTGGGAGTTCGCGCCCAGCAGGGCCCACCTCCGTCACCCTCGCACCCCTCCGGGACGCCCCGTGAGTGCGACAGAGACAGCGCCACGCCCGTCGACACCTACGGCCCTGCGGCACGGTCTGAGTTTCGCCGTAAACTCGAGCAACCCTCCACGCACTCCTCTTTAAACTTGCCGCCGGGCCGCGCCGGGCGGGCTGATTCCGAAGAGTCGTTTCTTGGCGCTGTTTCTTGCCTGCCTCAGCCCTGCTCAGCACGCTGTGGGAATCCCGCACGCGGCAGCACGCGCACGCACGCGCGCCGTGCGCCACTGGCAGTTTTGAGCGGGCGTCGTCGCAGTCGTGGCCGTCGTGGCCGTGCTGGCCGTGCTCGCGGAGATTAGAGCAGAAAGTGCACGGCCTTGTTGGCGGCGAGGCGGCCCGACCCAGGACAGCGCGCTGCACGCCGCACAGTGGGCCTAACTCTAGACGCGTTTTCAGCTCCAGAGTCGCTCAACAGGACTCGAACCGAGCGTGTGACCCCACCAATGGATTCCTCGTTCGGAGAGCAATCCATTGGTGGGGTCGCACGTTCGGTTCGAGTCCTGTTTAGCGACTCTGGAGCTCAAAACGCGTTCGGGATTTTGACAGCCCCCACCGGCCTTCTGGCCCACTGTGCGCCGCACCGGTGGTCCGGCAGAGTGTCCGCCGCCCCATCGGTACCTCGCGGGACGTGGGACCTGGGTGGACCTGGGGGCCACAGGCCGGCAAGGGCCCGCCGCCCTGCGCTGCCCGGCGCTGCCCTGCGAGACCGCGAGGCCCGGCACCCGCCGGCCGCCGCTCCTACAGTGTATAAAAGGAAGTAAGATGCGCGCGCGCCGCCAGATGCCCGATGGTGGCCGGGCTCGCCAGGTGTAGATATGCGCGTCCTGCTTCTAGTGGCGGCCCTCGCGGCCCTGGCGGCGCCGCCGCTCGCGGCCTCCGTGGACGTCGAGCACTACCGAGGGTGAGTCTCGCAGTGTGACCAGTGCACCGGAGGTTCATTCAGAACAGTGTGGGCTCTCCCGCAGCCCAGCGGCCGGGACGCCCCGTGAGCGCGAGGGAGGCAGGTTGTATTTCGAAGTGTGGGTTGAAAGATTGTTGTGTTTTCCGCGTGATTGTAACTTTAGTTACCTGAGCATTTCAGCGGCGTCTCGCGCTTTGCGATTCCGTTAGAAAGTCGAGTGTGGCTCGAGGCGCAGTACCGCAGCAACGTCAGACACCTCAGCGTCACCGCGGGCACCACGTGACCGAGGGAAGCGATTAACCACTCGAGCCTCGCGATTATCGCCATATCTGTGCTTCCGTCTCTCTCGCACTCACGGGGCGCTAGCGGAGCTCCGAGGGGCGCGAGAGAGACAGAGCGATGTTCGGAATCAAGAGCTGACTCGCGGTGGCGCCAACTCCCACCTCATCACTGTTGTCGCGCCTGCGTTGCTTGCGTTCTTCGCGCGGCCTGTGCGACAGAGACAGCGAGGTAGCCTACTTGGCGAATGACGGCGGCCTCGTCCTGCCTCCAGGTACAAGCTGCTGACGGCCACCCCCAAGGATGAGGCCCAGGTGGGCGTGGTGCGCGCGCTGGGCGCGTGGCGCGACGTGGACCTGTTCACGCACCGCGTCGTGCCCGGCGCCGACGCCGTGCTCATGGTGCCGCCCGCCAGCCTCCCCGCCGCGCAGAGGGTGCTGGCCGACAAGGGCGTGCAGTACGACGTCACCAACCACGACGTGCAGGAGTACGTACCCTCGAAGACGCCATTTGAGCTCCAGAGTCGCTAAATGGGACTCGAGCCGACCGTGTGACCCCACCAATGGATTGCTCTCCGAACGAGGAATCCATTGGTGGGGTCACACGTTCGGTTCGAGTCCCATCTAGCGACTCTGGAGCTCAAAACGCGTCTAGACTTTTGGCCGCTTCCACCGGCCTTCTGGCCCACTGCGCGCCGGTGGTAACCGAAGCCGTGTCGTCCGGTCCGCAGGTCCGTGAACGACGAGAGGGACCGCCAGCACAAGGCGCTGACCGCCAGGGCCCACACGGCCATCCCCACGTTCCAGCGGTACATGCGGTACGCCGAGGTGAGGCCAACAGCACCTTCAAACTTGCCGCCAAATGAGTTGTCTCGCGCGCGAGGCTAGCCAGGCGGTAGCGCCCGGCGGGTGGGCAGCCTAACTCACCGCGAGGCGGTGGAGTTGCCTACCTCGGCGGCGCTCGGTGCCCCTCGCACTTTGCGACCGCTGCCACCAACCCGAGTGAAAACTGTCTCCAGATCGCGACCTACCTGCAGCAGACGGCCAAGAGCTACCCCAACCTGGTGACGCTGATGAACGCCGGCAAGACCTACGAGGGCCGCGACATGCTGGGCCTGAGGATCTCCACGTCGGGCGGCAAGTCCCGGCGGGGCATCATCGTGGACGCGGGCATCCACGCGCGGGAGTGGATCTCGCCGCCCGTCGCCATCTACCTCATCCAGCAGCTCACCGAGCACCAGAGCGCCAACAGCGCGCTGCTGGCCGACCTGGACTGGTACATCATGCCCGTGGCCAACCCCGACGGCTACGAGTACACGCACACCAGGGTACGCGCAGTGGGTCAGAGGAACGGTGGAGGCGCCCAAAACTCCAGACGCGTTTTGAGCTCCAGAGTCGCTAAATGGGTCTCGAACCGAACGTGTGACCCCACCAATGGATTCCTCGTTCGGAGAGCTATCCATTGGTGGGGTCACACGGTCGGTTCGAGTCCCATTTAGCGACTCTGGAGCTCAAAACGCGTCCGGGATTTTGGCCGCCTCCACCGGTCTTCTGGCCCACTGTGTCTGTCTCGCTCTGACTGCCGCATTCCGGTCTACTCGAACGCCCACTGCTTCGCCTGCTCCAGGAGCGCTTCTGGCGCAAGAACCGCAGCACCAAGAACAGCCGCTGGTGCCCGGGCACCGACCTCAACCGGAACTTCGGCTACCACTACCGAGGCGAGTACCCGTCAAACTGGGAATGGGTTTGGCACGGACCGCCGCGACCATGGCCATGACCGTCGTGCTCTCCTTCTTGTCGAGCAGAGAGCGGGGCCAGCGACTGGCCGTGCGACGAGACGTACGCCGGGCCCAGCGCCTTCTCCGAGATCGAGTCGGCCAACATCAGGGACTGGATCCTGCAGTGCAACGCCGCCAAGAACGTCAAGGTGTACCTCACCTTCCACAGCTACGGCCCGGTGAGTCTCGCGCCCTGGCACAGCACAGTGGGCCAGAATACCGGTGGAGGCGGCCAAAACTCTAGACGCGTTTTGAGCTCCAGAGTCGCTAAATGGGACTCGAACCAAACGTGTGACCCCACCAATGGATTGCTCGTTCGGAGTGGGCTTCCAACAGCTCGGCTTGACCGCGTGTTGCAGATGATCCTCTACCCGTGGGGCTACGCCAACGACATTCCCCCGGCAGACGACACCGCTGAACTGGTGAGGCTATTGATTGGCAGGGGAAATGATTTCAACTTCCATCGCGAAAGTGGCTTGGCAAAAAGCGCCCCTCCCCTGTTGCAGCTGGCCATCGCCAACGAGGCCAACGACGCCATGATCAAGGCGGGCTCCGAGAAGTTCGAGGTGCAGAACAGCGCAGGACTGTGTACGTAGCGACGACGTCGCGGTGGACCAACGGGCCAATGAAGCGGACGATGGTGCTGATTGTTTTTCTACGACGGTTGCAGACCCCGCGGCCGGCGCGAGCGACGACTGGTCCAAGGGGGTGGCGGACATCCCCAAGGCCTACACCATCGAGCTGCCGCCCGGCGGAAAGAACGGCTTCGACATGCCGGCCAACAGGATCGTCGGCGTGGTGCAGAGCGTGTTCGAGGGCATCAAGGTCTTCGCCGCGCACGCCAAGCTACTCTAGACAAATTACATTTCCTTTCTGCAACGACTCGTGGTTTTCATCGCTCCCCTTTGTTGTCGGCTGTTCGCGCTTTTTGCAAGGGCAGCGTTGCCGCACTGGTAGGCAAAAATTCCCACCACGCAGAGTCGATAGGGTTGCCAACCCTCGAGAGCGAGGCCCAGTTGCCTGCCAAGTAGCCCGAGGGTGGCAACCCTATCGGCACTGGTACATCGTGGCAAGTTTTGCCTCCTACAGTGCAGGAGTCGGTACCAGGGATGGGAAAAGCACAGGGCACGCGAGTGACACGAGGCTTTGTGTCTGCGGGGAGGGGCAGGGGGAAGGGGTAGATCATAGGTCCAGAGATCACCTCACTGTGAAATTGGGTCTACGCAGTCGTAATTAATCCCACGATTGGTGTGCTCTGCTGATCGGCCGGGGCTGTGTCCGAGCGGGCTGGAGCGGGGCCCCCGGCGGCCGGGGCGGGGTGGCTGCGCTGCGCCCCGGGCGGGGTGGGTGTGCGAGGGAGATGACCGGGCGGGGCGGGGTGGGGCGGGGCGGTTGGCATTTGTGTATATTGCGGTCCAGTGGCGCGTGCGGCCTCGCGAGGGCCGCTGCGATCCGAACCCAATGCACGACGACAAAACCGCGCCTCTGGCAGCCTCTGCAGACTGAGAGTCGTCGCTCTGTCTCTCTCGCACCGACACGGAACGCCCCAGGAGTGCGAGAGAGACGGCTCGCAGTGTACTGGCCAATCGGGTCGCGAATCGCCAGCGAGGGCTCTAGCCTCGAGTGGGGGTGGGGGCAGGGCGTGCGACAACTCGCCGTGGAAACGTAACAGCAACGAGTACAAGTCGAGGAATTTCCCGCCAGCATTTGCCCCAGGACTGCTTGTGCAACGCCACTGTAATTTACCCGGCGAGTTGAGCTTCCATAGCTTCCAGCCCCGCGACGCCGCGGAGCCAAGCATTCGGCCGCAACTTTTCTCCCCACGTCATGCCTTCGGGTGCCTTCGGCTGCCCGAACTCCCCCGATGACATTCCCTGCATACCAGATTGGAGACCGCGCACCGCGCCGCACCGCGCAGATCGGGGCGCCCTGGCCGATTCGGAACTAACTTCTGACTTGCCGCAACTCGACGACCAGGCGGCCCAGGCCGAGGTGCTGGCGCGAGGCTCCAAGGAAACACCCTGGACCGCCCCACAGTGGGCCAGAAGACCGCTGGAGGCGGACAAAATTCGAAACGAGGTTTGAGCTTCACAGGACTCGAACCAAACGTGTGACCCCACCAATGCATTAAATCAATTTTTAAAAAAATAGTAGTTACTTTTATTTGATTAAAACAAGAAACAAACGAAAAATACTGAAAGAAGCTTCAACAGCAGACACACAGGTATCAATTAAAAATAATTGTTGTTTTTGTTTAAAACAAGAAACAGACAAAAACAGCAACGATAAATGAGATCAATAGTCCTTTGGTTTTCAAAAACATCAAACAAAAAAAAAACACATCAACGTTAAAATGAGTTCAACTTTCCATTGGTCTTCAAAAGTGAAACGAAAAATTCTGAAAGCAGGTCACCTTTTCTTTGAAAAAAAAAAAGGCGCCGGTCGGCCTTGGGCTTGGAACAGTCACTCCTGGTCGTGCTCTTGGTGCTCGAGGACGTTGAGGGCGATCCTCACGACGTCCAGCAGCATGGCGTTGAGCTGCCGGTACTCCGCCAAGAAGTCCGGGCACCCTTCGGCCCCTTGAGCCAGCCGCGTGAGGTGCTTCTCCAGGAACCGATCCCTGATGTCCATCAGCTCGCCGAGCAGGCTCATGGTGCGCTGCCACAGGCCGGCTGCCAACAACAACAACAACCAATGACAACAAGCACAACAACCAATGACAACAAGCACACAACGATTCGCGAGCGCAGCGGCGCCAACGGATCCCGCGTTCGGAGAGCAATCCGTTCGGTTCGAGTCCCATCTAGCGACTCTGGAGCTCAAAACGCGTCTAGAGTTTCGACCGCCTCGACCGGTCTCCTGGCCCACTGTGGGGCGCGGTGCGCCTGAGAGGCAAGCCACCCATCGTGCGTCGAGCGCGGGGCAGTGTTGTGTTGGGGCCCACTGCCCCACACAGCCAGGCGGCCGGCGTGCAGCGCGTCAAGTAACACGCCAACAACAACAAGCTCCAAGCCAACAACAATCAAAATGAAAACAAGGCGCTGGGCTCACCTCTAAGTTCGGCCAATTTGGTCGGATGGGCGCAACTCGCGGTGTTTGGGCGGGACAAACACGTCATGGTTTTTGACGCTGCGGACGCTTTGGACGAGACGGGCCAGAAGACAGGGCACGCACGCCGACACACTGCCAACACACGCACCGGCCGGGACTGCGGACGCCGGCGCAGACACTGGGAGCTGCCCGCTCAACACTGACTGGCCGGCCGGCGCGGGAGCGCCTTCATGTTGTTGTTGTTGTTGTTGTTGTTGTTGTTGTTGTTGTTGTTGTTGTGTTGTGTTGAGAAAAATGACAGTCGCTGTCGCCGCGCCGGTATTCGAACCCGCCGCCCGGCGCGACCGCGCAGCAGAGTGATTCCGAACAATGCTTTTTTCGGTGTGTCTCTCTCGCACCCGTACCAGACGCCCCATCAGTGCGAGAGAGAAAGAGGGACCTCCCACTCGGAATCGGTTGGCAGCTGCGCTATGATAAATGTCTCAAACCGTCGCGGCCTGCAGCAGGCTCGATCCAGACCGAGTCGCTCTGTCTCTCTCGCGCTCACGGCGTTCCTGCTTTTTGCAGGGCGTGTTGGCGCGCCTGTGCGGTGCGGCGGCGGGGCTTGGCGGTTGGCTAGACTGCGATACGGCACGCCGCGGCTGGCGCGCTAGAGGGCGCGGCCGGACCGACCCGCCCCGAGTGCGGGGACTTCCTGGGACTTCCCCGCGCTGCTGGCGGCTGCTTGCTGGACTCCCCCCCCCCCAATCCTTGAGCCTCCATTCGCCCCCGCCCTGTGTCCATAGCAGCTCCTCTTTGTGCAAACACGAATTAAAGACACGGAAGATATCGGGCGGCCGTGCGGCCCGTGCGGGCCGCGTCCCACAGTGGGCCAGAAGACCGGTGGAGCCGGCCGCGTTTTGAGCTCCAGAGTCGCTGAATGGGCCTCGAACCGAACGTGTGACCCCACCAATGGATTGCTCTCCGAACGAGGAATCCATTGGTGGGGTCACACGATCGGTTCGAGTCCTGCTTAGCGACTCTGCAGCTCAAAACGCGTCCGGAGTTTCGGCCGCCGCCACCGGTCTTCTGGCCCACTGTGCTGTGCCGTGCGCCGCGACGTGCAGGAGCTGCTTCTAATTAGGGTTAATGATTTATGCCGTCTGGAGGCGGAGGGCCGCGGAGGGCCAGGGGGATAACTTTCACCGGGAGTCTCGTTCCGAACGGCGCTTCGACGCTCTGTCTCTCTCGCACCCCCCGGGACGCCGCGAGGGAGCGAGAGAGAGAGAGAGAGAGAGAGAGAGAGAGAGAGAGAGAGAGAGAGAGAGAGAGAGAGAGAGAGAGAGAGAGAGAGAGAGAGAGAGAGAGACGGGGCGGCGAAAGCCAAGGCGAAAGCCCTACGCGGAATCAGCCGAGCCTGCAGTGGCACGCTGATAAATTTCATTGCCGTCCCATGTACACAAGGAGGCAGCTCTCCCTCCCCCTCTGCGGGTCGGCCCGCGTGCCCGCGAGTGCGACAGAGACAGAGCGACGCCTTTGGTCGCCGCAGATAATTCTCCAAGTTTCGTTTCGTTCAACTCGCGGAAGACGCGGCCTAAAAAAGCCTCCTCACCTCTTCGGCCCCTGGCCCCTCCACCCTGGCCATTCTTTCCTCGTTTTCGAGTGGCGTGGCGTGGAGTGGGGGGGGGGGTCCCGCATTAGACCGTGCCTCATTTGAGACGAGCGAGAGGGAAAAGCAGAAGCGCGTTTTGTTTTGCGATCGCTAACAACGTGGTGCATTCACGGGGCATGTCCACTACTCTGGGAAGAAAGCAAGTTTTTAATTTTTTTTGCCTCAAACTGGCATCACAGGACGAGGATTTCTTTTCTCGTGTCCTGCTCGTCGCCCCCTCCCCCCCCCTCTCCTCCGGGCCGGTCGAGAGTCGAGGCTGGTCGAGGCCAGATTGACCGGGCCGGGACTTGTGGACGGATTTGCTCGAGATTTAGAAAGACCGGCCGACGCGGCGAAGTACGCCTCGGTCGGCGCCGCAGCCGCCACCACCCTCTCGCACGCACTGCAAAAAGGCGAAGCGAGGCCCTCGAACCGAGCGTGTGACCCCACCAATGGATTCCTCGTCCGGAGAGCAATCCATTGGTGGGGTCACACGTTCGGTTCGAGTCCCATTTAGCGACTCTGGAGCTCAAAACGCGTCCGGGGTTTTGACCGCCTCCACCGGTCTTCTGGCCCACTGTGCGTCCTGCGACGATCACTGTAGGGCGACCCTCGCGGCGCGTCTCGCATTTGCATGCCTTTGATTAACACCCTGCCTGTTACAGTGCAGTGCCGCGCAGTGCCTGCACGCCGAGTCGCTGCGGGGACCGCGCCCAAACGGCGAGCGCGAGGAAAGACATCGCTCTGTCTCTCTCGCACTCATGGGCCGTTGCGTCTGGGTGCGAGAGAGACAGGGCGAAACGCCGAGCGGAACCAGCGTGCCCGAAGCGCGTAGTTTCGCCTCGACCCCTCGTTTACAAATTACATAAATTACGTGCGCCGCCCCCGACGCCCCCAACCTTGTGCGTGAACGAGGGACCGCCCTTTCGTACGGGGCGAGTCTCAAAACTGAAAACTAAATTACCCAATCAGAGGCAACTCGCGCAACTCGCGGAGCACGAAGGAGCGGGGCCTGCGGAGCGCCCCGAGCCACGCCAAAACCCGCATTCATTTCCACCTGGAACCTACACTGCCGACGTTTTTAGCCGAGGCCACGGACGGACGAGCGCGAGGGCGCACAGTGGGCCAGAAGACCGGTGGAGGCGGCCAAAATTTTGGACGCGTTTTCAGCCCCAGAGTCGCTGAACAGGACTCGAACCGA